AGCATTTGACCTGATGTAGCATCTCATTTGAGCTTTTCACGAATCATAGTGAACTTGTACACCACATGATGAGATTTGACTACAAAGCTTGACTGTTCGGGTTTAAGAAATGACGCATAAGAGACAGAAGGCAATGGATTCCACGCATGATCTCCTGCCATCAAATTCGAATCAGTCTCTTTCGTTCAACCCCAAGTGGAACCAGACTATAACTCTAGGATGCTAGCCTGGAAGTATTGACGAATCTAAAGGTAAACTTCGGACCCAGGGTTACAAGCAAGCAATTTGCACATGACCAAGTCAATCAAGCATGCCACGTTCCCTAGCTAACGATTTTGTGCTTTTTATCACATGAAAGCGCCGATGCGCACATGCGCAGCACCGACATGCAATTCAACAACCAACCAAAGCGTTTCATAGACAGCCTTGATCTGCTTCGTTCCTGCCTTAGACAACCTAACTTTACCCGCTGACATTGAACACGTGCAGGTATGTATAGTAGGTGCACCTTGCTAAAAATCAATCCTGGCATAATCCATTGTGGGAGCCCCTACCGACGCGCATTTTGCTGCGGAACTTCCACTAAAGCAGCCCACTGACGCACAAATATGTTTTCTTCATATTGGGACACTTACTTGCAGGGCCTTTACGCATAAACTAACTGAGCATGCTGTTCTAGAAGTAAGATCCTTGGAAAACAAATCTACACTCTACCTTTGCACCCGCTACAGCAAGTTTCGGCTCAGCTTTGCAAAGGCTTCAATTTCGCAAGTGCGCCCGCACCTCTAAATGCCGGCTTTCGATCTTGGGATATTTGCTTTCGGAAAACTTCATGAGATTTGTTGGATTTCCGCAGAACGTGCCGAATACGTACAAAATACGTACAAAATACGTACCGAGTACGTACTTTTGGTATGCCGAGCCAGTACCCGTACAAGGGGCGTATTTTTGCGTACAAAGGGCGTATTTTTGCGTACAGAAATACGTACTTTGTACGTATTCTAGCATGTTTTTGGCATGTTTGCGGTTTGAGCATTCGTGCTCTCAACCATTGTTTTTGTAACATCGCCCCGTGCGCCAAACAAATTTCGGCTATGGGGCAGGAATGTTTCATCTTGACCTGTCGGCACTGTTTGGGGGTTCAGTGGTTCTGCAAGCAGGCTGCTGTTTCAGGGAAACGACCGCAATTTGCGCCCTCGGCATTGACTGGCTTTCGGGATTTCATGGGTGAGTGCTTACTTACGATTCTGGTGCCTGCTGCTTGGGTGAAGCGCAGGTATAAAGGTTGCCTTGCTTTTGATTGGCGCAACAGTCCTGGCCACTTTGCATGTCAGCAATTGTTTGTTTTTGTGATGTTGCATATGGGCACGTATGGTCCAAAGTCATGCTGCCGCTTGTTGACTGCTAGCGTTACTGTAGCGCGGGCTTGTTGGTATGATTTTCCTTTCAGCTGTGATACTGATCGGGCATGCCAATGCACGGGCGTGTTCTTGCATTTTGCGCGGTGGTTGTTGCAGTGTTGGACTGGCGCACGCTTGCTGCGCAAGGGCAGAAACAATCAGTAAGCAAAACACGCAGCACCTGCGGTGCAACATCCAGTTAAAAGCAGATCTGTCAAATGAGTTGTTGTAGTCTTTCCCGCTCTGAGAAGACAACTGAACAGCACATCGTTTTGAAATAGCCGTTGAAACTGCAGGCCTAAGCAGCGAAAATCCGGACGTTTAGCGGGATCTTGGTCAGGTTGGTGGGCCACATGTCTTCCACGTGTGGTTTGTTGGAGCGGCGTGAGAGCGTAAGCGCGTTGTTAGCTGTTTCGCCCAAACAAGCCGTATTTTCATCCCATTCTCGAGAACTAGCAGCAGTTTAAAGTAAAGCAAAGGTGTATCACGTGGAGCAAATAGCATTTTGACAGACACGCGCTGTTTTGGAAAGGGGCGTATTTTTATGAAAGGGGCGTATGTTTATGAAAGGGGCGTATTCTCACGAAAGGGACGTATTTCAATCCAAAAAGCAGGCCAGACACAAAAATGAGGGACAAACCGGCCCCAGGTATATATAATTTAATTGTGTTTTTATTTTTTATTTTTTTTAAATAAATTAAATTGGAATTAAATTAGATTAGTAATTGTTCATTTTGTTTTTTTGTGTTGGCAATTGCAAAATTTGTGTTAGACTTGCGGAGATATATTTTATATATCTAGATTTTCCAAATTATGATTTTTTATGTAAAATCCGGAAATTACTAGTTTTTGAGGGTCTCAGTAAAAAGACACGGAATTTTCAAATTCCTAATTGTTGAGGTAAAACTATTAGAAATTAATTATCGCTTCTAAAAATTGGTTTATACACCTAAAACCCCTAGAAATCGCAATTATTCGGTACTTGATGAAAGGAACTCTCCAATTCAGATATATTTTGAATCAGAATCATTCGCCTGAATCAGAATCGTTCACCTAAATCAGAATTATTTATTCAGAATTCAGAATTATTCCAAATTCGGAATTATTACCTTTAGGCGACGACAAATTGGCAAAACCGAAAAACACTATATCTAAAATTCAGCGCAAAACACCCGCAAACACAGACAAATCAAGAAAAGACGGAGCGTAGTAAAATCAGTGGAATAACCATTCTAGTGCAGAGTTGTATAAGTGTTAAGATAATATATAAAATTATATATTTACATGTTCAAATAACGAAAACAAAAATTCAAAATTTAAATCCAATTATTTCCCCCAAAAACCATTCCTATGTTTTAATATTTATTACAAACCACTCCTGCTTTTTAATTCAAAACACCTAAAACTCCTAATTTTCAGAGGGTTAAAAATATCCCGGAGAACGCCGGAAATAGATAACGACTAACCCCAATATTATGTGATTAATATTATTTAAGATATATTTTGTATTAAAATCAATTATTTTATTAATCTATAAATAATTTGCAAATTCCAAATAATAAATTAATATAATTTCCTAATATATTATTTTTATTTAAAAATATAATATTTCATTTAAAGAAATATATATTTGTCTATATCATAAATATTTAATCATTCTTTCAATAAATATGATGGTTAAATCAAAAATAATCAATAATACAATCATCAATTTTATTTATTGAACTATAAATTACAATAAAAATAATATAAACTAATTAATCTTCCTATAAAAAAATAAAAAAATCTTAAACCAATAAAAATACATCATAATTTAAATCTTTTAAACATTAAAATACATTTATTTCAACCATTATATAATTTAAAATACAAAAAAATAATTCATTTTAATATCTAAATTTTCAAAATATATATTTCAACAAATACTAATGTGTTTATTATATATAATATATAAATTCTACAAATTATTATATATATATATATTCAAATAAATTTTCTATAATTTTAATAAATTATAATTATTTAAATTAAAAATCAATCAACACAATATCAAATTATTTATATTAAAATTATTCCTATTATTAAAATTCTAATAAATAAATCAATAAACACTCATAAATTCACAAACAAATCAATTCCCAATTTACAAAACCAAAAATATATATAATATTTTTCAAAATAATAAACATAATATTTTATCTATATATTTATTTATTTGTTTCACTTAATTTGTTTTTGTATCTGTGTAATTTTAGTATGAAAATTAAACATCATCAGATTTTATATATTTTAATAATCAAATATTGAAATTGCTCAGTATATTTATTTAAACGCGAGTCCCAACAAATATAAACAACCATCTGGCACGGATAGATATGTTTTCCTGACGCAAACATACATCTGGGCTGACAAGGTCCCTTACGACGTGACTAGGCAACACTTCGGGGGTGTCTAGCTTGAAAACACACTTTGCTTGTCAATTCCCATACGACGCGACTCGGGGGTGTCGTTGTGGGTAGATGCGCTTTCCCTAGACTGAAAAATACATCTGGGCCCGGCCATGGGCTGGGAGCCCTTTCAAACACGCTCTTTGCTCAAAGCCCTTTCGACACGACTAACCACGAATTACGAGGGTCAGATCCCAGCCCGCAAAACAGGTACGAGAAGATTGCGGGAACGTATCTGGACTCGGAACGGGCTAAGAGAAGCTTGCAAGAATGTATGGGATAATTACGGGAAGACAACGAAAATACTATGAGAAGGACTACGCTAAAACGCATCTGGCGGGGTACAAGAAGAATGCCATAAGATTATGGGAAGACTACGGCAAGGACCACCGGGCGCCAAATACGTTTTTCCAGCCCGAGAAAATGCATCTGGACTCAGCACGGAAAGACTATTGGAAGAATCACCAGATGCGTTTTCCCGGGCCGAAATAGCATATCTAGACTCGGCACGGGCTACTGGAAGATTCCCAAAAGACTACAGTACATATGGGAAGATTACGGGGAACACTACGAGAACCTTATTCTTAGAGACAACCTGGCACAAAGAGAACAGGAAGGAATACGTCGCAGGATGCCTTCGGAACTTCTCCCGAGTCTTGCTTCAACCTGTCCAGGGTATGAGGAGAGGCTCTGACAAACAAAGGGAGGCACTCACCCCACACACGCCGATTATCCAGTTCTTAGATGATTAGAAGCTATATTGAATCAAACGGACCTAGGCCCAACAGGACACCTATGTTCGTTCTGATTTGCACATGAATTCCCAGCGACAGCTGCCCTCCAATTCCTGGCTGCTCTTCTGCTCCGAGGATCCCTTGTAGGCCATTAAAACACATCCCTCACCATTGCTTTGTAAATGGGTTTTTAAAGGAAACTGTCCAGACTCGCCAGTAGTCTGGGTGAGCTTTGATAAGCCACCCTTTGGTACTTATGTCCACCAAGCATTTTGGTTTCCCCGCTAAGATGCCGAGCCATCTTGAAAACTCCAAAACACTCACTTAAAGAAACCCAGATGCCTCGCTGCGCGGTCCAACTCCTACACTCTTGACTCTTTGCAGTTTCTTTCCTCCGGCACGTTCTCAAAGTCCAAAACTCAGAGCGCGTTCGGGATGTACTGGCCAGTCTTCTCGTTGTACCTATGGGACTGCCAAGAACGGACACACCAAATATACGAAAAGCTTGAGGCTCCGAGTCACCCAATTCAACCATCTGTTTACCCCAAGTTGGTGTTGAGAAACGGATCGTTTGATGAGATGCAACTGATTTGGGGTCAAGAGGCAAAACCCAGGTTCCTCACCTCCATATTCCTAAAGTCAACATATTGGAGAGTAATACTGTGAATGGATCGACTGCACTGCTTGGTATGTGGTTGCTCCATGTTTCTCCCAGTCAAGGCGCTTCATCCAAACTGGTGCAGGATTTTGTGCATCCACAGTATTTCCAAAAATGAAACCATGTCCCAAAAAATACTAAAAAATACTGGCTTTCTTTCTGGCTTCCTTTTAAAACCAGAAAAGTGGGGTACCCCAAAAAAAACACACCAATATTTGCACGAAAAAACAACTTTGCTTTGGAGGACATGAATTTGCCAACTCCACGGAGGTCACAGAAAGATCTCGCGCCGTACCGCCGACTTGGTGAAGATCTGACGTAAGGAATCCCAGCACCGCACGTCGAGCCTCACGAAACTTCAGAGCGCGCGAGCGCGACTCGGGCCGCATCCGGTCGGAACCGGACCCTTGGGTTCCGGGAGCATACCTTTTGAGGAAAACCCTCAAGGTCTGGTCTAGGCCTCTGGGGAAATCGGCTACCATGGAATGCCAAAACCATCATTCTCAAAGGGACCCTTGTTCGGGTTCTCAGCATTGAGCGAAATCTCACGCAAATGAATAGGGAGCCCAACAGCTCTCAATCTGTCAGACACCTCCTTGTTGGTGGGTGTTTAATCAATTTGTTGTGGTTGTTCTTTTGCCCCCTCTGTTTGCCGTGTCATTCTGTAGTCCCATATTCCCCCCGAAAAAGAAGGCCTGTGGAGGAAACAAGAAGGCTAGGGCTTATCCTATGAGCGGATCTGTCTGTTCACTTTCATAATCCATCTGACTCCGCGTGTATGGTCCGATGTGGTTCAGGAAGACCAGATTGGGCTTTGAAGCCAAGATGAGCCAGGATGTTTCCCCCTGTCAAAACGATGCGCATGGTCGCATCATGTCGCATACCTCTTCGGGTTGTCAAAATCATTGCGGCTTTGATTATCAGGCTATGCATCCGAAACGCAGCAACTCAAGACTGGTTGGACAGAATCAGAATTCCCATGACTCCCTCCCCGGTTCGTGGACTTTCTACTTTTGGGGTCGGCATGTTTTTTCAGTGCGGACTGTTCGCCCATCCACTAGCGATCCATTCCTAGGTCATTCCTGCTGAGTCTTGAGAAACGGTCCTGGAAGCCATGGAATCGCAAGGGAAAATCAAGAAAACCAGCTCATTTTCTGAGTTTTGAAGGAACACATCCAAGGAGAAACAAGGGCACCGGAGGAGTTTGGGCAGATCCGAATCCCACTGGATCACGGGTCCTGAGTCCCCCCCCCCCACCGCAAGTGGCATGCATGCATTCCACGCAAATCAAGGTTCAGGCGTCAAGCTCATGGCGCAGGGTCTGCGCAAGTAGGGATTGTGCTCCCCGTTCTTGTCCACATACCTTGGCACGGATCCCAGGCGTTTCGCAACTTTTTTGTTGGCAACCATTCGATCCATTTTCCTTTTGGTGTTCAAATGGTGGCTCCCTTGGTAAACTACTCCCTTGTCCACATACCTTGGCACGAGCACTTGGGCCCGGTCCCCCAGCAGATGATTCCAGAAGCCCCAAAGATTGGACCGAGTTCTACAGGGGCTGCGCTCGCAATGCCACAAACGCATTTCTGAAATGGGGGTGTGGGTGCGGCACTTTTCTTCGCGTGATTTTCCTGTGAGAGGCGATGGTCTCTCAGAACCTAAACGCCCGCAAGTCCGGAGGTTCCATGTCCGTGGGAGCTGGGTTCACGGCGTGTTCTTTTGAGGGTACCCTTTCTGATTGGTGTAAATAGAGACCAACATGAAGATCCACCCATTTTGGGGATGCACTATTTTGCCACCTACCCCTAAGGTTGCTGGACACAACATGGACATACCCTTTTGGTCGCCCATAGGGAACGCTCCCAGAGGCATGAAATCCTAGGGACGCTGGCCTCATTTTGTTGAAGTGGCAAATCCAGTTCCCTTGTTAGTGTTTGCCCCATGCAAAAGTTGTTTAACTCTTTGTTGGTTGATGGGAAACACTTTCCACCTGCTCCCCAAAAGGCTAAAGGTTATTTTCAAGACCTAGCCGAATAGCAGCAAAGTTTCCCGATACTTTGTGTAGAAATGGGGACTTCCTTTAAAGGTACCCTCAACACATGGACCCCCAAGCTACCCTGACAACCAGAATCTTGTGACTTTCACGTCCATAAGGGTAGCTTCAAAGTCCAGCCTGTTGCTCCCCGAAAGCCAGCGAAAGCTTCAGTGGACCCACCCAAGGTGAAAGATCCCAAACCTCGGTATGAGAGCTCGAAGCGGACCCCTTTTTGGCATTTAACAGCAAACCCACTTTCAGATCCCAAGTGCTCAAAATGGCATACTTTGGCCTTCAACCGGACCCCCAACCATTCTGGGGGACGCCCTCCCAGACCTCTCGCTCGTCATTCCCTGCGGTTTCAAGCCGCGCAACGCCGCGGAACCGTCCCGGGGCTCTCGGGGCTCCGGGCGGGCAGTCCCAAAGGCAGCAGTCCGGGGCGCTGACGGCCAGGATCTGCGCCATGAACCTCAGCGCTCGAGCGGGCGCTCAGCCACACGGCTGAAGTGAAACTCATGGCCACGCAGCTTTGAAGGTTTTCATAGGCCTTGCTACAGCAACTTATTCTAGTTTTCAGGAAGAACCACCATGCACGACAGTGTGGTTTTTCTCCCACACTGCCACATGGGTGAAGGGCGGCAATGATGCTTGCTCGACCCGCCTGCGCCTTCCTGACAGCATGGTGATACTAGCCTGTCTTCGCTTGTCCTTAGGCATAGTGCTGTCGGCATCCAGCGCAATCACTTCAAGCCACCAAACTCCAAACTTCAGAACCCATCTTGCTCATCAAGATGTAGCTCTCCGCACCAAGGATTGCACGGCATCGCTCGGCCGGCTTGCACATTGCGTAGGGGATCCGCCAGCACAAATGCCGTGGATCTTTGTGCCCCCAAAGCTCCCGCAAGGCGAACCAAAAAGATGTGATGGCTTGACTCCAAAATCCCAGGGTCGCCTGTCAGCACTGCGCATGGGGGTTTTGGGTGCTGCTCAGGTGGAATTGTTAATACCCCAACGACCCACACATCTCGCTTATCTAGAATTCTGGGAGTGAGGGGTTGTCCGCTGCATATGGAGAATTCATTATTTGGAAGGCCTTCCATTGGTATCAAAAAAGTGGTTGCAATCCCCATGCCCATCTTCCTTTGTTTATACCGCTTCCTTGTTTCCCTTACCAACCCAGCTTGTGGGTGTCCACTTCTTTTGGGGTATGAACAAGAGGCCATACCAACGCAGTCTCACAAAGACCCGTTCCAGGTTTGGATCTGTTCAGGAAGTCCGAGAGTGAGAACTCCTACGCTTTTTGTTTCAACATTGTTGGCGCTTTTATTCGGTAGGCACGTACCCTTCCTCCAACAAACATGGAAGTGCACAAACCCCTTTCTGCAGCACACACGCCTGTCGCAGACTTATGTTCTCTTGTACTAGAGCCATATGCGCTATGGTTGTTTGCCCCAAATAGATAATACATATATATATATATACATATATACATCCCAGTTGGCGGTATGGCCAGACATGTTTCTTTTGGTTCCAAAAGGTGGCTTCTTTGCTGGCAGGTGAGGGGAACCTGCCATCTTGCTCTTTTTGCTTGTACATGGGTACATGGTCATCCATGTGCTGCTCGGTTGCTCGTCCCAACTCCGCGAGCTTGGTGACCTACTATGATTCAGGTAGAACCGTCAAAACATACCGTGGTTTAAGAAGGAATCTCCTTTTGGGGGTCTCTTTTTGGGCTCCATGCTGATTTGTAGGGGAGTAGGCCAAATCGACTCACCCAGCTTGGCGTCACCGTCAACGTCTCGCGTGCCCTGACCGCTGACCAAAACGCAAAACCGCCGAGGTCTGGGCGGCAGAAGGAAGAGCGACTGCCCCGAGCTGCAGCGCCGGGCATGTTCCGTGCATTGGCCCTGGCGGAAAGGCGGTGGTGAAAGCGATTGAACGCGGGGCCAAAGGTCGAATCCCTCTCTCTGGTGGTTCGGGCACAACGCCGCAAACCCCAAAACCAAAAGTTGAACGGAAAACGGGGCAAAAGGGTTCAATTCCACTTCCTGGTGGTTAGGGAAACCTTCAAGGGCAAAAGATGGCAAAAGATGGCAACAGATGCCAAAAGATGGCCAAAGATGGCGTCACCCCGGATGTTTTGGGGTAGTAAAACGAATGCCCCCCAATTAACTTTGAATTGGTAGCAATAAAAAAAAAGCCGAACGACAGCCCTCGCTGCTCAACATTGGTTGTCGGATGGCACCCCCCAAATACGGCGGTATGTGTCAACATGGGAATGTCAAATGATGTCAGTCCCCCGCAAAAAAAGAAAGAAGGAAAGGTTCTTACAGTGGAAAATCGGCTTTTCTACTATATACCCTGAAAGCTCAGGGTATTTGGAGTACGGGGTAAAGGCGTGCCAACCAAAATTCAACCCTTGAAACTTGGACATCCCAGGCCTTTTGACCGATTCAGCAACTTGGAGCGCCTCCAACAAGGTTTCTACATGCGCTGGAGGGCGGCCCTCCCTTTCCTTTGCACCACTAGAGGGCGGTCAAAAAGGAGGCCTGAAAAACAAGAGAGTTTAACATTACAAAAAACCCTACAAACATCCCTTTTTCCAACTTTCTTTCAGCGCTTCGACCCGCAGCTTCGAAGCCGAAGCTGCCGACGAACCTCCGCGCAGTCGCTCCGAGCCGATGGCGTACCCGCGCAAGCGCGGAGGGAGAGGCAGGTGCGGCGTCACAGGCACCATGCCATGTTAGTTCTGGTGCGGGTGCACCGCGGGCTCGATTTGAACAACCAGAAGATCCAGGTCCACGCTCGCGCCAGAAGATCCAGATCCATCCAACCGTTCCAACCACGCCTGCGCAAACGGATGCAATCGGTGCCATCAAGATGCCATCAAGGTCTGCACATGTGCAGCAAGGGAAAGGGGTTGCCCTGCCCATCCAGCTCGCTGCGGTCGGTGACCACAAATCCCATGTGTTTGTAGAACGCAGCCGCTTTGGGGTTCTGCTCGTTGACGTCCACCGTGCGCACGTTGCAGGTGGCGATGGCGTGTTGCAGCAGCCGCTTCCCCAAGCCTCGGCCCATCGCGTCCGGAGCAACAAACAGCATCTCCAGCTTCTCATCGGAAACCCCGGAAAACCTCAGAAGCCCAGTGGATTTCAATGGGGAACACGACTTGGCACCCTTTGTTGCTGGGGATTCAACGGGACACCCAAAACTCAAAAACCGGAAAACTGGGTGGAATCCACTGGGCTGGGAAACGCCACGATGGCACCTCCATCATCTTTGCAGCAATGTAGCTGCACCAAGTCAAAGTACTGGTCCCTTGGCCATTGTTCAACCTTCAACGTGTTTGAACCCTTTGCTACCATCACTTGTGTCAAGGGATTCAAGGGCAAAGATGTAAGATGGTACCAACCGTTGACAAAGCTTCAAGATGAGCGGTTTCAGCTTGCCGATGTGCTCTTCCGGCAGGAAGTCGTGGGTGGCTCGTACAGAGGCTTCCCAAACACCCAGAAGTTCCGGATGTTGGCGCTTTTCCACGGGATGGATCATTGCCAGGTCAAAAGCCATGGCTCCTCACTTGGAATTAGTTCTAGTTGTCCAAAACCCCTACTGTAAGGCTCCATGGCCTCCCTAGGTCCTAAAAGTCCGGTCTCCTCACCATCGCACGTACTGCGAAGTGAGCGAATCGATGCTGACATTTGCGCCAGGTGCACCTCAAAGAGGCATCAGACAACTGGAATCAACTTCGTTCCATCGTGGCTGACTCCAGCGAGATTTCGCTCTACTTTGAAGAGGATTCCCAAGAGGATTCCCTTGGTATCACGGACATTTCCCAGCCCAAAGGTTGGTGAGCCCCAAAGATGATATGGGATGATCTTTCCGTTTCCTCTGAAACCCAAAAATCAGGATGATTTCCAAAGTACCCTGCAAAAAGCAGGATATTGCCATGCACATTGCCGCGATTTCCCATCACACATTTAAGGATTTCATTGCAAACACCTGGGGTCGTTCAGAAAAAGGAAACAACAAAAACACAAACAGCTGCTAAATATGGCCCCCCAGGTCTTGGGCCATTTCTCCCATTCTTCGATTCTTGAGACGCATGCGAGCCGCGACACCCCGCCACATCGATTCAAGCGCAGCTCGCCTCGAGCGGATCGGCACCTCGGCAGGCCTGGGCTGAGAAGCAAACCCAGTGGCATTCTTGGGAAGCCCTCGGAGCTGCTCAGACGGCCTAAAGATTACACAACTTGGCGCAAAAGAGAAGGAGGAAACCTGGCAATACACAAATTGAGGTTGAGAAAACTTGGTGGCCTTAGACTGGAATGAAGAAACCTGGCGATTGATTCAGAGCCAACTCGCAAGGCTATAGTGGTAACTGGGATTCAGTGGGTAGCAAATTGCTAAACCAGGTAAGCATGTTCTCGAACAACAAGCATTAAACCAAGTACTCCCCACCTACTTACTGGAAGGAACCCGACAAATGAATCTCCTTCCCCCCGTTTTGTGGTTTCATGTTGATGTGCGAGTAAACCGCTACGCATGGCCTGCCGCCCGCTTGAGCACCACAAAGAGTTTACAATTACAAGACAAACCCTTACTAGGACCTGAATTAACCAACTCTAACCTCCAAGCAACAAACATGAAAGTGCACAGACCCCATAGGACGGCAACCTTCCACAACAATTGCACCAAGCCATATATATCTGTTGGTGGTAGGAAGCCGCAAATTCGGCTGGCATTTGCGGGTTCCGGTTTTTCGGTTCCAGGGGGTTTCGGGACTGGGGCATATCTGTGTATGAATCTTAATAAAGGACTCCTTGGTGGCCATCACTCAGGTGCGGATTTCTGCCCACCAACCATTTGGGAGCGCCATGTGAGTCATCTTCAAAACCCGGTAGTAGAATGGTCTACCCAGAACCATGTAAAGAATTAAGAAGGCGGCCGCAGCTATTTATGGTTGGGATTCTCCCTTACGAACCTTCATCTACCCAATTTTTGATTGTGGCTCATGTTGTGTCTCCCTTTGTCGAATTGTGTTCCGCGCCTTGCTGCCCAAGCACACCAATGCGCCACCTCACAAGACACGCTTCGCGGCGCATTGGTAGCAAACGTCCGCTTTTTCAACTCACTCATGGCGGCCATCTTTGATGGGAGATCGCCGAGTGGTTGCAGTGATTTCAACCATGCACGTGTTGTCTCCAGGGTACACGTACTTTTCCCGAAGAAACCCCAGGACCAACCACAAACCGACTGGTTGGAAGAAGCAGTCACACAGAAGCCAACCAAAGCTCAAACCCATCTTGAAATAGCAATCTAACCCTGAACCGACGACTCAAAGGGCCAAAACCCTGCTCAAAGCGGGCCATGTCAAACATGCACAGGGAGCTGCTCCAGTCAAACAAACCACATGGAACTCCAAAAGCAGCCGTTTGTGGAGGAATCTTCCTTTTGGGGACCCGCAGTCATCTCAATCCATCACCAACAAGCAAACTCACAAATCAAGTAGGACGTTCCAAGAAGTGATTCAAGCTTGGCCTTCCCGATACTGCCCCACCAGAGCTTGTGTTGCAAGTATATTGTACTTTGTTCAAACATTGTATTGACCATACAGTTTCGGGGACGTATGATACTGCGGTTCTGTGCCGGAAGTCCGGGTTGAGGGGATGTATTGAAGTCCGGGTTGAGGGGATGTATTGGCCGATTTCGAGGAGGGTTTCGGAGCAGCGGGAGGGTGTCGGACATTCACTGTGCAGTTTCTCTCAGAGCGGCTTTTTAGGGTAACTGAGGGAGCCACTCAGGTTCCCGGTTGCTTTCTGCTCCCCTAAAAGTTTAACTTTGAGTGGTTTAATGGAAAACCCATTGGTTGGCAAAAAGTTAAAGTCCTAACATCCAAGCAAAATGCACCAAAGGGTTTCTGTTCAGCCACAAGAAAGACCCCGCCAAAAGGCTCACCCAGCCAGCTGAGTGCCCAGCACAGCAGGCACAGCGCCGGCTCTTCCGGCACTCGCCCGCAGGCGCTACAGGGCCTGCGCAGCTTCGCCCAGAAGAGACCCGAAGCTTGGCTTCAGGCGCCAAAAGATCAACCCTTAGCTCGGTGATCCCTTAAAAGGCGTAAAAAACCTTATACTGCTGATGGACAGAATCCACTTCGCACCGGCTAGGATGAAGAAAGCAAGATGTTCCATTTTCAAGTGCACCTGTAGGGCACTTGAGGATCTAGAAATATGTTTTCCTATTCAGACGTGCTCGCCCCAGATTGCTCACAATGTTGATGTGGCCCAAAGGATCCCCTGCATTCAGAAAGAAAGGGGCCTGTGAATTGGCCCAGCCTTGCTACATGTCATGGCTGCCTGGGGTGTCGTTTGAGGGGATCCACAACATGGCTGGTTTTCCTTTTGGTTGCCTGTACAACCAGAAAGGGTAGCCTCAAACAAACACACACGCATAAATCTGGCTAGATATGGTCACTTGCCCACTTCTTTGGCTCCGCACAGTAAACTGTCTCTGGCAACACAAGTGCTAGAAAGTCATCTGGGTCTACCCAAAATTGCTACTCGCCAACCTGCACAACCGACAGGGGCCTACCCGAAAGCCCCGTGAGAAGTTCAAAAGCGAGAAGCTCAGCTTGTAACAAACACAAGCCTCAGAGAGGTTGATGACTATCCCTACTAACCCAAGTAGGTTGTTGTCAAATGACCACAGAATCGTTCGGTCCCTGCTTCCCATAGAACCCAGCCGCCTCGAAATGGTGCCGCAAAGATGGATGGAAAGATGTAAAATTACTGGGCGGTTCGACCAAACACATGATTCCCAGAGCAAATGAAACATGGGAACCCGACTGGGTCCAATGAGCATGGCGAAGCTCTCAAGCTCGCAAACTTGGCTCTCAAGTGCGCCCAAGACCCATCGCTCGTTGGTTCCAAGTGGTCAATCACGGCTTGTTTTGACCTCATCTCTAACAGCTGGGTAGTAGAATGCCCCTCTATAATTGTAATGGGCAACAGCGAGGTCTTGTGCATGCTGCGCTTTGCTGCTTGGCTGCCCTTGTTTGGTTACACTTAGAGTTATACTCCCAAATACTCCCAGTAAACCCTCCGAATGCTCTCCCATGCCACGCCTCTTGCGCACGTCCTCAGGCAGGTTGGATTCCGAAAAGAACACCCCGTCAGCTTTATTGAAATGAAAGCACAAAATAAGGTACTCCCTTGGTCTCACAAAAAGCGCTTACCCCAAGCTGAGGTCCGTCCGGGGTCCTACTTACCCCAAATAAACATATCCCATGCACGACGGCATCGACGCAGGTCCTTCAAGATCTCCAAGTACATCTTGGGCAGCTGGATAAAAGGATCCGCCGTTGCCTCTGTGAGCTCTCCTTGGAAGAAGACCTCATCGTCACTTTTGCAGGCGCGGTGCGGTTGGTGCAGCACTCTCTCTCTCTCTCTCGAACCTACTTAAAGGGGCAGGCTACTTGGTAAGTGGACAATATCCATGGTTATAACCCACTTGCCATGGTTATAATAAGTCTCCTAAGTGGGTCATAACCAGGCTTACTAACCACTTACCAAGTATCCTGTCCCTTGAAGTAGGGGGAGGCCCTGGACTCGTTTGACACGCCCGCCTGCAGTGGCTCTGGGAGGTCATTCACCTAAACGCATCGGCCCGAGCTGGTTGGAAAAAACTAATCAAATCATGATGCCAAAGTGGAATTCCCCCACCCCCCAACAAAAGACTTCTTTTCCATGTCCTCCAAAACCCCAAGTACTGTTCAAAAAGCAGTTGTCGGGGCGTGGCCATTCCTGACTTGGCTTGAAGGAGGTTTCCTCAGAAAATGGACCGAACATCCCAGTTCCAGGACCATGGAGCAGAATGAAAACCCTTGCCGTGGACCCAACGATGATAAGCCGCATGTGCCAAAGCCCCATGTGCCAAGCCCAGTGCCAAGCCAGCTACCACTATAGATAGGTAGAACCATTGTATTTGGGCCTCCAGGTTTACGTGCTAGTTTCCTCTGCTTACCTATGGTGCTAACTGGAAGCACAGGCAATAGATTTGAATTTTTGTAAACGATTCACCAATCGAAGTTGGATCCTTGTGAAAGAAACCGACACACCACCGTACCCTTTCCCAGTGATTCCATTTCCATGTGTAGTGGGTAATCAAGGGCTTGCCAACCTACAACTGGCGCAGGGTTGCCAACTATAGTGGCTTGCCTGGGATATACTGGGTATGAATTGCCACAAGTTGCCCAAGAGCAAACAAAGACGCGTGGACGGTAAGCCATCCCAACCCTATGTCTGCCTTCTCGAGTCCATGATCTATTTCTGAAGGAAGGAAGTCAAAGGCCTTCACAAGGAATCCAAAGGCCAAGGGAAACCTTAGAACTTCTTGGAGGTTCTGACGGGTTCTCATACCTTTCATTGGGCCTGATGAATTTTGGTTCAAAAATAGGTCCGTACCGGGGGAATGGCTGGCGAAACCCTCTGGGCGGCCAGTGGATCTGCTTGCTGCTCAAAAGGGACGAAGGAAAGTTACCCTGCGAACATGGAACCTCACGGCTCCTGGAAAACATTCTCCTCCAAACAGGGGGGACGTTTCTCTGGTGGGCACATGTTGGGTGATCCTCTGACAAACGGGTTCCGTTCGGATGCAAAACAAATACAATCGAGAACGGTCTTTGGAGCCCCGTTCTGTTGGTCGAGAATAGACCTCTTAAAAGGCTGAGGGCGCACCTGCAAGTCGCCGATGCTGACGTTCGCATCCAGCCTCGCGAGAACTTCACGCCCCTCTCCAAAGACCCTTGAAAATGGGAGATTGATCCCAATGTAAGTTGGGCAACATGAATCCTAGACACAGAATATTTTGACCGAACCTTCAGAAAGGACCATTCAAACATGCAATGCCCACCCACCCAACTGCAAAACTAATGGATGATCAAAATCCGATGCCAACAAGTACTTTCCCCCGGCATTATACTTCCCCTTCTCACAATATGCTAGCCCGAACGGTTGTGTCTAAAACTAACCCATAGCGAAACCAAAAGACAAGCCATCATGTTGTTCAATATGTTCACTATAAGGATGTCAAAGGAACCTAAAGGAAAGGAAAGAAAAGGAAAGGACAGCAAAAGGGGTATCCCAAAAAAATGTCCAATAGTCCCAAAGGACACCAAATAGAAAGCAGAATAAAACAACATCCAATCACCAAAAGGAAATTGGCCTAAAAACAGATGCTTGAAACTACCAAAAGGGGGCAGAAAGGGCGACGAGAGCCTGACAGAACAGTTTGCATACTGTAGATGGACAATATCTACGCCTCACCAGCTGGAATGCACTCCATACCGAGTTCTGGCACCAATCAGAACTGTGCGAAATGGAGGTTGTCCATCATGAACCTGCTGGATGCGACTTACAAGGTTTATAAGCCTACGTATACCCAAACATACTGTGGATGAACGAAATCCTGCTGGCCAAGTGGAACCCTGGCATTCCAACCTACTCGCCTCAAGAGCGCCACCAGCATCGCGAAGGATTCAGACCTCTCGGACTCCAGGAAGGTGAGCCTGGCTCACGTGAACATCACGCCTCCTTCTGGCATTTGCTTGGTGGTTTGCAACATAGTCCCAGTGTGTTTGATTCCCTGTAAACCCAACGGGGGAAAATAACAGATTGACTTGAGCAATTGGATGTCATGTCATGGTAGTAAAGAGGACTCAAGGCTTTGTGGATTGTTGTGGTTGCTTTGCGTTTGCTTGGTGGATTGCTCATGTAAACGATCAAACCAACATGGGGGGATCTTGGCATGTACTCTCACCCAACTATATTTGTGTGGTTTCTCTTGTTCATCGTTGCTTTTTTGCTTGCTCGCTGGTTTGCTTGTGTGGTATGTGGTTTTGTATAGTCTGTGGTGATTGATTTTTTGCGGTGCGGCCAGCTTTGTGTGAATTATGTGGCATTATTGTTGTGTTGTTTGCTCGGGCTTGCTTGTGGTGCTTCTTGGGGTATATTTTGGGCGTTGCTGAACGAGGAATCGGACATACACACATGGGCTTCCAAGCTTTCAGCTCGGGTGACATACCAACGGGTGGCAAGAGTTTCGATGTGGGCTGGAAACAGCATCCAAGAGGATCCTCAATGTTCAACGTACCCTTGAAATGGCGTGCGCGCGGTGTGTGTGTAGGTGTGTAGGTGTGTGTAGGTGTGTAGGTGTGTAGGTGTGTTTGTGTGTGTAGGTGTGTAGTTGTGTGTGTGTGCTTTCCCTCAAAGATGGAAGTGTCAGGGTCCAGTTGGTGCCGTTTCAATGCCCACATGCCACTCTGCGGTCTCTGACCGCCTGATCCGGGCGACCAAACTGCGATCACAACGAAAGAATTTGGGGACTTTGGCAGAGGTAAACCCATAAAGTCCACCAAACCAAAATGCTCAACCTTGTGTGTTTTAACTTGCCGGAGCTCCCAGACTTTTGGAAGCCTCGGAGCCTGAAGCTCCGGGATGAAACAGCAGCTATGCTCAAAACAGTGCTCCTCCTTCGGCACGCCTTGGCGCTGGGAGATTTTACAGAGCTCCTTTGGCCCTTTGACCAAACCACAATAGTTCTGAAGATCGGTTGTGGAGGGTGGGTTTGAGGTGTAGATTGTGTTCATGAGGATTGGAAGGACATTGGTTGGTAGTCTACCCTAAGAAGGTGTGTTTGGGGGTGGGTAACCTGAAAATGGGTCTGAGCTTGCCAACATGTTGGCCATTGAACCCGTGTCAGGCCAAATGATAGCGTGTATGTTCAAGCAATCCCGCTCCAAAGCTATACAAAGCGGGGCAAACGATGGCAAGCCCAGCATGTTGCTGCTTCCCAGGGCTGCCGAAACGCACCTTGGCTGCCAAAACTCACCGATTCTGTGATACCAAAGTAGAATTATCATCTCCACAACTTTGTCAAAGGGAGTTCCGATGGCATCACCGTGGCAAGCCGGCAACTCCCCCCCCCATTGGCTTTTCATGCAACATAAGCTGTGCTTCAACTACAACAGGAGATCCTTTATGCATGGGCCTTCCTTTGGTAGTTTCCAATCCAGGGATTCCGGTGCTTGGACGGCAATGTGCTTCTCCCAGGGGGATGTCAAATCAAAAACTACCGGGCTTCCTTGTCCCAACTCTCAAACCCAGACCTCCCAAAGCCAATGTGAAAAAACAAATCCTCTTTTTGGTAGGCGACAAAAAAGGATACGGGACCCCCCTCTCAAACAAACCCGCACCAGGCCAGCACTGATTACCGGGTGCTGGGGCAAAGGACCGGCACCACCAACTGAGCGCAGGCTGTCCTGCCTGTTCCTCTCTTGTTGAGAGAAACCCCAAAGGGCAGCACAGAGCCACCTGGCGCCCCCCGAGGCCCTGATGAAAACTTGAAAACCTGGCAAAATGTTTAAGTGACCCTCGGGCCATTTGGGAGAGTTGATAGCCGTTGGGGCCCCTGTTTCTGGTATCATCTCGGGCAAACCTCAAGTATTTTGCTGGTGATTGATGGGCTTGCTGGTGACTTCGTGATGCTTTTGGGAGCAACCCTCAAAGTGCCATGCTTGTCCTATTTGATGTGCTTGTTTGATATGATTATTAGGTAATTCGGTTCAGCAAACTGTTCACTAGACGTTATCCTTCATGGCTTACCCGCAAACCTGGTTCCCTGTTGGCTTCTCTGGATCCTCAAGCTGTCCCGCAAAATCGGAAATCACCCCCGACCCGGAACACTTGAGGCAAAGTCCAATTTGCGAGATCGTATTTTGAGATCTGCGTCGAATGTCGCCAGCAGGGCGCTGCAAAGGTCAGGAATTCCAGAAGCTGCTTCAGCACAAAGGCTTCGGTGTCCTGACAACCCTCCACACCAGACGTGCAGGCAAAGATTCAAAATCCAGGCAAGGAATGAACAGCTCACTTGTACGGATGGGAAGTCCATTTTGCTTTGTCTGCCACAGCTAGACCCTCAAAGTACCCTTGAACACTGGATGTTGCCCCAACATCTTGGGGTGAATTCGTGCGTGTTTGAGGCTCCAGGTAGCTCTTCAAGCAAGAACTGCTCTCAGCTCCGGTCCTCGCGCCCTGCACGAAGGACCGAAGGACCGAAGGACCGAAGGACCGAACGGCGACAGTCGCTTTGATCGATCTCAGCACGTGGGCTCTAGATCAGCGTACTCAAAATCTTCTATACCAACTGAACAACTCAAAACACGTGCGTGTGTCTTCTTTTAGGGTACCCTTTGTTGGTTGGTGATACAGGGCAACCATTGGACAGCCAGCGATTTTGAGTTCGCTTGGCTTCCTGGACACTACTCACACTACCCCCAAAAATGAAAAAAAACCAACCACACTTCTCGAAGCCATCCCACAAGGGGCTTGGCGCTGTCTTTGTCAGAGCCAAACATGAATCGCCCCTCTGCTGAAGCGCTTGGCCCTTTTGGCGATTTGGAGTTGGGAAACCAAACGAACCTCCATCTGGCCCCTCAAACTACCCCTCAACATGAGGAAAAATCACTCCCGGGGCAGTATCCGGCTGTATCCAGCCTGCAACCCAGGGCACGTTGACCGTACAGGTGCCGTTTTAAGCTTGGGGAGCTCAGCATTTACGAATCGATTCATGGGGTTTTGTGGAGTGTATGTGAACTGCATGGTAGCTTCTTACAAAGTAACAGGCGCTTCTGACGGTTTGGACTGTTCTCCTCTTAAAGTTTGTTGTTGGGAAGGCAAAGAATCAAGAGAGAGCGACTGCCTCTACTTTACTTCCGGTGGGGACAGTTCCCCCAACCTTCTACCCACCCAACATGGGAACTGCCAACATGCGGCCGGTTCCCTTTTGAATTCCCTCTCCCGCCATAATGGGAGCTAGCCAGGCTTTAGAAGTGGCTCACTCAGGTGGCTTCCCATCATATTGTACTTGTCTATGACTTTGTTACAGTTCAAACTCAATACAATATGGGCGTGTTTCTTTTTGGGGGACCCCAAACTGTGGTTTTCCTTTGGTTTCTCCTTAAAACCAGCCCCGACAAGGGCATATACCCTCAAAAAAAGACTCTCCCATATATCAAGTAACAGATTGACAAGTTGATCTTCAAGACAACCCCCTCCAAAGAGGTGCCGGAGGTCTGAGCTCCACGCCCGCGTTCCGGGCTTGAACAGCACGCACCTAAGCCAACCGCCGAGACCCGGGCCAGTGGATTTCCATGGCGAAATGGAAAACCGGGCACCACTGGATGGAGAGGAGAGTCTGGGTCATTGGTTACCAAGTGCTAGGTCAAAGGGCACAAAACCAAGTTGCTCACTTTGACAACCCCAGAAACTGTGAAAGCCATGATTAGACATACTCTTGTCTGAGGCGACAGTGCACAAAGCCGTGCTTGTTGGCGGCGTAGTCTTTTTCTTAAGGTATCATTTTCTTGAAGGGGACCCTTTTCGGGGTCGTCCGGGAGATCAAACCGCGCACCGCTGGAAGGCAGTTTTTAAACTGGGATTTCTGGTCTTGAGGTGTGCAGAGCCGCAGACTGTTCGTTGACATGTTGCCACTGGGAAATCCAGTCAACCAATCTGCAGCTTGTGGAATCCCCAGCGAGTCCTCTATGACAGGTTTTGTTGGGTTCATCGTTCGATCAGGGAAGCAGCCAAAAAACAGGATCTTTCACATCGAACAGCCGTTTTTGGGTTGCAGCCAACAGGATCTTTCAAATCGAGCCTCGAATCACCACACTCATTGCGCGAGGTAGCCTGCCTTGAGCAGCAGAAAGACCAGCTGGGAAAAGAGGGCCGGCGATAGGCCCTCCTGGGATCAAAAGGCCCCAAGTGGACTTTGTGCTGGTTAAACCCTTAAAGGAAACCTGCCACTGAACACAAGTCTGCAGCTGATTTAGAGGACCGAATCAATGCTTAGCTGGTTTCAAACTGGGAACCTCAGACGCTGCGATTTGCCGGCCAAACCTCACTCAAACCCAGACCAATATATAAGGGAGACTATCCCTTAGGCTGATCCATTGGCGTGCTTGTGCAAAAATAGATCGCCTGGTAGATGATTCAATGATGGGAACCAACCTGCCAACCTTGCCAGCTATCTTCAATCAAATGGAAAAGGCGCCAGTGCTGACAGAAACAAAATAAGCCCGGTGTTCAAACATGAAAACCCTCATAGGCGAAAGGTTGTCACCAATCCAGGGTAAGCTGATAGCTGTTGCATGCTTTTGCCAAACAAAAAACAAATCCCAAAACACCCACCCACTTGTTGAGGCCATGGCCTACACCGCCAAGCTGTTCACCCACCCCCCTGTCGGTTTCCTTTCAAGCAGTAGGGGGGACCGTCAGAAAGTTACGACATCAGTTGAGCAGGTGCCTTTTGGTGGTTCGGGGAGTTATGACACCTATACACGACTTGCATGCCTACGCGGAAGCCTCCGCAAGCCTACGCCGCTGCGGAGAGTGCCTACGCAGCTTCCAGGGTGCCTACGCGGACGCCTACGCGGGCAAATGTTCAGTAGTGCAGTGTTGGCAGCTCCAGCTCTAAGATCACTTTTGCAGTACAATTGAGAACCAACATCTGTTCAAGGATCTGGCGGCTAGAAAAGGGCCTACGTAATCGAAATGCCTTGAAAGCCTACGCGAATGCCTACACGGGGAGCCTACGCGAAGACAGCAGAACAAACGGAAGGAAGGCAAAAGAAGCTCTTCATACTTAGCAAACAGCATTGAGCCATGAGTTGTTCAAACGCCTTCGCGAAAAGCCTAGGCGAGGGTGGACACAACCCCCAACCAGAAGCCTACGCAAAGTACATGAAGTTCCCTTTTGTATAAACCCTTTCATGTGATTAAACCCCGCTGCTCATTTGCACATGTTGCAATATAGTCCAAAACCTGAAATAAGGGATTCCCAAGAAAAGGGACCTTTGCCATGGTGAATGAAAGTTCGTTTTACCCCCGAATCGGTGTGAAGTTCATCGATCCGCCTTTGAGACGAGATAATCCAGCAGCAGGTCCGCCAGGGCAGACTGGCGGAGCTGCAAATGGTGTCTCGAAGGAGAACCCTCCAAACAGGGGAACCCAGGGATTACACCTCAAGGCCTGAAGTGGGCTTGGCTCAGAATAGGGGGAACCCTCCTTGGTGGCTGCTCTTGTTGGTTTCCCTCAAGTAAACCAACCCTACAGCCGGGTCGGCTCAAAAAAGTCGCACCCAAATGCGCTGCTTCTTTGGCCAAGGCGAGCATTTCCCTTGTTCGCAGGTCATGGTCGTAGTTTCCTTCATTCCCTACTTTGGGTGATCTGTTGCATGGGTTCATTGGGATGCTACACTGCCGCTTCGGGCATGACGAAAATCCCTGCTGTATCCAACCAATGATGCGAGGGGGCAATATTGTGTTCTTTAGCTCCCTATGTCGAAGGGATGTTGAGTACCTCTGGCACCTTTCATGGCAAAGCATATGGTCACCCCTAAGTCATGGGTACCCGGTCTGGGAGACTCCAGCCTTGTGTCCAAACTAAAACATCACCAAACAGAAACTCATGTTTAATTGCGCGAAAAGGTGATGCTTGAAACCAGAAAGGGGTAACAATTGCACCTTCTATGACTGGGAGAGGCAAGCTCAAGCTTGCCACAATCCGAACATATGATGTGCTCAACATGATTGGAATGGTGATGCGTGGCTAATGCGTGGGGAGCTCGAATCTCAGTTTGCAGCCCGGATCGTAGATGTCCATTCGCTGAGCTGTGGTTTTGAATTTTACCGCGCCAAGAGACCGGGAAGCAAGAGACCGTGTCGCATGCAACACAGCGAACTGGAGAGAAGCATCCCACTCAGATTCCCGCAACATCCAAAGATCCGTCTGAGTGGGGGAGCCATGCGGAGGGCCAGGGTTCCACTGAATCACGGGAATGGGGGCCCAGGCCAGCGACTCTTGCCCACATTAGACCCTTCCGAGCAATTTTAGGTATGGTCAAAACGCAAACGGCTCGCCAGGCTAAAGGAAACCCAAAAGGGCAAAACAGCAAAACAGCAAAACACCGCCAAAAATAACACTGTAAGACTTCAGTGCCAACAACATCAACCGCGCCAACAAGTGACCTACCTGTGCGCTCACCGCCAATGCGCTAGCCCCGCGGCCCAGTTCTTTTTGCGGCTTACTCGAGGCTCACAAGGCTGAAGCTCGCCACCTGCCATCCGCCACTTTTGCAAACCCCGAGGAGGTTTACCCAGTTGTCACCCGGCCACGCTTTGGTTAGACATCATGTGTGGCAAACCCCAAGGAGGTCACCCGGCCAAGGCATGAGGGGCAAAATTCAGTTTGATCGAGGGATGGATGAAGCGCCCATGAGAAAAAAAAACAGTTCACGGGTGGATGTTGGCTGGAAGGTAGGATATGTCTGGGATAAAACCATGTAGAGCACGGTCTGTGATCCATTCGCTGCTGGATGAGATCTTGGCCAAATTGAAGCTGCACAAAGTTCAACTCGAGGAATTTGGGTGGTCAACAATCCAAGAGGAACCGCCAACAGCAACCGGATCCCTTCTGGAACCCGAAAATGCACACCCTTGCTGCTCCGAACCACACAATTTGGGGGAAAAATGCGGTCACAGCTTGAGTGGTGAAAGGTCACAGGCTAACCGGCAAAACAAGTCTGGACTTCACAACGGGGCAGTGGGAAGAGCAGCTGAGAGGGCGGAACCAGGGGAAATGGTTGGTATACTTATAGTGGGTTCATGGGGGGGTCTCAAAGTGAAACGCCACCCAAATGGAGCTCGATCTGTTCTTTTCCCTCCAAATCAACCAAAAAGGCACCTTCATGCAATTCCATGTTTGCCGGGTTTGGGGGTAGTGGAAAGCCTCGGTGCAATTGCGAGACGAGTTCTATACTGGAACTCAACCTTGACATACAGGAGAACGACTGGCTACTTTGCTGGCAGAATTACAAAATAGTTGAAGCTAGAATTCTAGCATGGCTGAAACTCAGAATGGCATGGGACACAGAACCCCTCTGAAGGTTAATTATTAACTAGGTAGCATATTTTTCTGAGCCGCCGGGGAAATCTTGGAATCCTTGTTTGCTGTTGACCCCCCGGCAAAAAGTTTAACATTTCGGGGGTTTAGTGGAAAACCCCTTGATTTCCCAAAAGTTAATGTTTAAAGATCCAACCCAACAGCAGTTAAGAATCCTGTTTCTACCTGTTTTTTTTGTCGAGCTTCATAGGCATGGCGCACGCCCTCGCTGACCGCGCGCCCGGCATGGGTGATTTGGCCTCGCTGTCGCAGGCGGAGAATGAACAACCAACTTTCCCACGTAACCTTTACAACCACCAAACCACCAAAACCCCAACCAAACTTGGGTTGAAATCCCCAAACCACCAAGGGGTACCGGAGTAGACTGGCACCCGAGGGTTTTCCAATCGGAAAGATATGAAAAGTGGAGCGAGCCGTTCAGCACATATGAGCAGCCGGGACACTTGTGGGAATTTGGGTAGGCCCATTCCTTCCAACAGACCCACACATTTTGTCAGTCACTCACATCTGGCTTGGAAACATCCAAGGTCAAACCTGTGCTAGCTCTGCGTCGCATGAAACAACTTCTCCAAACGGATCCGTCCCGTGAAAAGCCCACTTTTCTCCTGGTTACCGGATAAAATGAAGAAAGCTGGATAGAATGCCTGTTCACATCCAATGAACCTCAAACGGAAAACACGGTCAAAGAAGGCCCGAACGTTTCGGGGGCAAACATACTAACTCCACAAGCTGACCGTGGTAACACCAAGCGACCGTTGAAGAGAATCGCTGTCCCCTGCATAGGCCGTAGAATCACCACGTCCTTCTCTTCCTGCTCTTCTTTCTTCTCCTCCTACAGGCTTGGTGACTCAACCAAATGCGCGGCTCGTCCTTTTTTTGGGTTCCCGTTAAAACCACCAAAAAGGGTACCCGCCAAAAAACACCTCCCACATCAGTTTCCCCTCTGTGTCCTCATAGAGCCACAGGCTCCGAATCCCTTGGCCGATCCAATCTAGACCGAGTCAGGTAACTTGATGAAAGGAAAGGGGCTGTAGGGGAAAACATTACCAAATCGGGAGTAAACTTGGCCACCGCAGTTCCCGTCTCAAAAGAGCTCTTCTGCCCAAAGCTGTTTTGGGTGACATTGGATTTGATTGGACCTTTTAAACCTTTGAGCCAATTACTATAATCCTGGAAACGGGAGAATCTCCATTCAAGGGCCCTTCATGGGCTTTCTCTTGTTTTGCCCTCGAAATGAGTTCGCTTGAACCTGGATACGTAGCCGTTTTGGATTTGCTGCAGCCATAAAGAAAAACTTGAATCTCTGAAAGGGGAAGGTTTTAAAAGGTGCCCTTTGAGCAGTTGGCTTACCTTCCCCCCTATCCACAAGCCTCTTGTCAACTTATGGCCGAAGATGAGGCGCTAAATGATTCCAAACATGTGATCTCTATTGTGATGGCTGTCCCATTCATAGGGATTCATCCATACCTGCTGCGATATGGAGTTTGTACATCTGCAGTATGATCATGTAAATCCTCCACAACATTCTAATCATTTAGGCCTTCTACCAGGACCCGCCCTCCCAATGGCTCTCAAATGGCTTGTTTAGTGACCTCCGGTAGATTGGCTACTTTGGGGGAGCCGTCTTGAATGGCCACGGGGGGTGTGGTCGCCATTTTTCGACCTTTTCCCAACCCGCTGGGCGGAGGTCAACAGTCATGCTCCGAGTCTGTGGGTCATGGCTCCAAGGGTTGTCTGAATTGCAATGGAACATGTCATGTACTATTTCTTATAGTCCACTTGTGGTTCAAGTGTTTGGTTTTCTGTGAGTTTCTCTTTGAACGACCCCCAAAACAAAGGCATGGGTGTGAATGTGAAAGGCGTCCCTCTTCGCAGTTGTTTGAGCGGAAAAACGCAGAAGAGAACTCGCCAACGTTTGGAGCCCGTTCCCTTATTTCGGCACATGCCTGCATACCATACAAGGCGCTATCCCTTTAAGACGACCTCAAGCATAAACATTCCATAGTCTTGGTCCCTAGGACTATGGGCTCCCAGGGATAGCCCTCCTTGGGTGCTTAGCGACTAAAGTCGGTGCAAAAAGAATGGAAATACCCTCACTAACCCTACTTTCCGCAGTTGATCACCTTACTTATACCTACAAAGTTACCATGCAAGTACAAGGGTCAAAATCATTGGATCGGTGTTGTGGCCTACTTTATACTAGTCCCAGTAGGTAACAAAGGGCTTCCCTTTCAAAACCAAAAGGAACATGGATCGAAGGGTTACCAACAAAAGTGGGAAAACGCCAGGGATCCGCTGGGAGTACTTCTTTTGCGCAACACGAACGTTAGGGTTTCAGCCATGGCTTCTTAAATTAGGTGCTCTCTAAAAAGCCGGCCCCTGGGACTGTTCGCTCGTCGCGGGCGTCCTGGGGCCAGAAGGCGGTGCCGCCCCCAGCGAAGGCGCCGGGCTCGGAGAGCAGCACATTCAGCGTCACCGCTTCCTGAGCCAGATGGGCGGCTGGCAGGCGCGGTATGCTTTTAAAGGTGCCGGAGAAGACGGAAAACACACACATTCTAGTGATTTTGTCTCTTCTTCTTTTCTTTTTTGTGGGAGGAGGGGGTCCGAATTCCTGTTTTTGACACATACCCACACTATTCTGGTGGTGGCGGGGGGGGGGGGGGGTAATGACTAGCCCCGTTGAGCCGACTCGCAAGGTTATGGCTTTGAAAGGTCCTTGGCCCCAACATAGTCAGGTTTGTCAATAATAGTCACCACTAGGTCGCACATGCTCCTCTTGCTGTGGCTCTGAATCATATGAAAGGATTGGTGGCCTTTCAAGTTCAATTTTTGTTGCAGGTTCAAGGGTTTGTCGACACCACGACACAAGTTCCAAAAAGGGACCCTGCCGAAAGTTGGGCCTTGTTCGGTGTTGTATAGTTGTCTCGCTTAGGATCCATGTAGGGTTGAGCGTAGTTGGTGTTGGGCTTCCCTGTTCTTGCTTCTTATGCCTGTCTTTCCCGGCCTCTTTGCTCTTCCGAGTGTCACTGCCTGACTGGATTGCCCAAAACAGTCTGAACTTGGTGCTTGCCGCTGAAATGGCCTTCACACAAAGTGTGAAGTCCACTTCTTGAGAAAGTAATGGCCAAGGCGATATGGTTGAATGGCCAATCACAACCATTCCCTACATTCGGATCCATGGGAGTCATTCCCATATTGTCCACCAAGAACAAACAAGACAAGAAAAACATGGACACTTCATGAGGCCCCCTTACGATCAGCTTGCGCTTCCTTTCACAAGGATGGGCTTCCCCATGATTGCATGATCTGTCTTGGTTTGGAGATTGGGGTGTCGAGAGGGAACTGGGGCCTGGACAGGGTGGCCTTTGCAGAAGTGGTGCTTCACACCATAAACCCACCCCAACAAACGCCGCTTAACGACCCAACAATTCAGCATTGACTAAGACCGGATCTTCCCTGACTTTGGGACCCCATAATATCAGAGCTGCTCTTAGCAAAAATGAGGCGCCGATTGCAGGAGAGCTAGCAAATATGGGGTTTGCCAAGCATTGGAATCCGAAGGACCCCTTTCCTCCGCCCATTGGTGTCAAATGGCGTGGGGAGTTCTGGCATTGCCGAAAATGTCACTTACTGGAAGTGCGTGGGACCCATTCTGGAGCATGTGACCCTCTAGCGTCACTGTTTAAGTTTTTTCTCATGCCTGAAGGTCCTTCGCCGACCAGTACGTAGCTCTTGTACAACCTTATGTCCTATACCCCACAACCAACAAGACAAACAAAGCAAACCAAAAACAGTGAAGTTGAGAGGGATCTTTTCTTTGACCTCCCAAGCCAGAATCCATCCAACCCCTGACTGCCTTGGAAAGGCCGATGACTAATTCCCCGCCCCCCCTCCCCCCCTACACGCATGGGGTAGGGACCCTTCTGAATGATTCATTTTGGCAAAACCTCTCATATTTTGACAAACAACCAAGGGTGCCCCCACATCCCACGGAAACAGTCTGAATACCTTCTTAACAGGGGTTCCGATCGGAAAGTTCAGAGATTCGTTCTGGTAATTAGCCAGGGACCCCCAGTCACTAGCCCGATCCATCTCCATCTCCTGAGCGCGGCACCCGATCGATGTGTGGCGCAATTCCTCCGCCCATGATATACCTGCCAACTCAAACGAGAGTGTGAATCGCGCTGTTCTCGGGTTTGGCCAACCACCTGCTTGGTCACCTACAAATTTTATACGGAGCCGCAAAAGACTGCTGCCGCATGTGTTTGTGGGTTTACGGGTGGCTGGGATTGGCTTTGGGATGGGTTTAGAATGGGTTGAGGGTGCTTGCTTGCTTGTGCGCGTGTGCTTGCGTGCTTGCTCGCTTGCTTGCCGGCGGATGGCGGTGGCTAAAACCATAATCCAGAGGGGGAACACATCTTTAAATGATATAACCCCTCACAAAAGAACATCATCTGTACTTCTACGTGAATCTGCCAGATAGATGTGTTTTACGCATCCTCATTTAGGCTTCTCTCTGAAGCGTTCCACTGTTAGGACCCAAACTGCTCAAGCTTCAATAATATTTGTTTCCCAAAAAACCGCCTGCTGCGTATCTCGTGCTCTTTTTCCCCCAAAGACCGAAGCGAGCGCTCCGCCAAGGCCATCCCGCCTGTTCACTGCCGGCTCGCCCGGGGAGAAGAATGCCTTGAGGTCCTCGGATTCGGAGCCGTTTCCCACAACACGGGGAGGGTGGGTTCGGGGGAGGGGGGGTCTTTTGGGCTTTGAATCACAAACTGCGAACTTCCCCAAACAGCCCAGAATGGGAAATCCCCCTATCAATGGTTTGGTGCGCGTCCAACGATACTTTGAGGGTCTTTTTGGCAAGGGTACCTCTTTGTGGGCTTTGTATCAAGTCAAAGGAACACAGGGCAAACCACGAAACCAGCCATTCTGGGCAATTGTTGGGTGGCATGGCTTAGACTGGAGCAAACTCTGCTTTCTTCTTGTTGTCTGCCTATTTGAAATTAAAGCAGTACTGCAGCTGGTCTGCGTGAGCGTTCGTCAAGATATCAATCGTTTGTCCAACGACTCCTTTTCAAAGGGCCCAATATGTGTCTTTTTTGGTGGGTAACCGTTTTTGGTTGGTTTTAAAGGGAAGCCAAAAAGTAAAACCACCATTTTGGGGGGGTCCCCTAAAAAAAAGACAAACCCATATGGTTCGGCAAGTGCAAAGAAGGCTTATGCCGTCCTGTCAACATGTCTTTCCAACCCTTGCTACGATGTCAAGAAACTGAGTTTTGATTCTCCGACTAAACAAATACAGAACCAACAACTAGGAAAAAAAGAAAGAACAAAAACACATGCCAAGGACAGTGGACACGTCCAGCAACCATCGGGTTCTCCGAGCTCAGAAATGGCTTGCCTTCAATGAACCTTTGTGGACCAGGGTTGGGCCAATAGCTTCATAGGCCACGTCTTCTGCCGGTTTCCCGCTAAGTACCTTCATGGGCAGGTTTCAAACGAAAACCCTTACCGGGTCGGGTTTTAATTGGGTAGCTAGTTACAAGGGTAAAGGAGTTAACTGGCTACCAACCACGCGTTTTTGGAATCCCAGCCCCAAACAACCCAAAACAAGAATGCCTTCAAGCGAGCCCTTGGGGCCGCTATGCTTGGTTGGGAGATTAAAAAACGACGAGCGATTCAACCGGTTCTGCACCCAGCCCCTAGCTGCACCACTATTCCGAACCTTCAGCTATCCCGAGGGTGGCGCAAAATCAAAGCGGGTGTCATTATTTGAGGGTACCCCTTTCGTGGGTTCAAAGGGAGCCAAAAGAGAACACCACACATTTTGGGGGGTCCAACCTGAAAAAAGACACGCCCAAAAGGGAAGAGGACACTTCCGCGCCGCTCCATTCGCCCAGCTTCGCTGAGCCTGTCGTGGCCGAAGAGTTCGCGGGCGAAGGCCTGCTGCTCCAGGAATGGCAGAAGGCCTGCAGGGTGGGCAGTTCTTGAGATTCCCAACTAACAACCCACCGAACAACCGGGCTAACCAGGTGTCCAAGCAGCCAAGCAACCAACCAAACAACCCAGGCATCCAAACAATCAACCAACCAAACCCAACCCAACCCAACCCAACCCAAGCCAACCCAACCCAAGCAACCCACCCACCCAACCAAAACACTTAACCAAAATGGATGGTGGTTTTCTTTTTCCTTTGGGCTTCCCTTTCAAACAACCGCCCGAGGCCCCCAATTAGCCGGTGCAAAAGCTGTACATAACTTGGCTGGTAGGGGCTATGAAGTGCTTCCCGTTGCCCAGGAACCCGTCCCAAGGCTAAGAGCTTGGCCCAAAACGTTTTGGAACTTTCGGCTTGCCAGTCGATCTGTCTAACCAAAAAGTACGGCCAAAAACTCGGGAAGTGAGAAGGGGGAAAGCAGCCTTCTTTTGGAAGGATGTGGTTGACTCACTTGCATTTAGGCAACCAGAACGAAGGGAGCTGATCGAATCTTCGGTTCGGGATGGGTGTGGTCGTGCCTGCGACTGGTTTGCTGATATTTTCCCTCTGCACATCACCCGACCATTGAATCACATTCTAAATGGCAACCAACATGATGCCTAAAGAAAACATTGGGATGTTAAAGAGCATTTCAAGAGGATTCTCATGGGTTTGTCGTATTGAAACGGTCCCCCTCCCCCCGTTTTGGGCGATGCATCCCATTTTGGAAGGGTCCCCTGTGCTCAGACAAGCCCTTTGTTTAAAATCACCCTTATGTGGAATGTATGACTAACTTCCTCATTTGAACAGTTTTCCCACTCAAAAAATCAACTTCAACAATCTTCCGCCAGGGTTGCTTGTTGAAAGTTTAAGCGCACTTTGCAGACCAAGCCTGGCTCATCGCCCGTATCGAGGGGCATTGCTTGGCCGAGGGGCGGTCCTTGATCACGGAGTCGGACAACATCTGGGCTTCCAGGTCCAGCTTTCGCACTGGATACCCTCATCCGATCGCCGAATGCTTTTGTTGTAAATGGATTCTAAACCGGGAGGGGGGACGGGGGGAGGAAAATTACCGAGAGCCTTGGGTTGTAAATAGGGGGCGGGGGGGGGGGGGGTTAGTGAGAATCCTATCTATAGCCAAACGGCGGCGGACACGTAGCTCTACACATGCCTGGAGCTTTGAAGAAACCTGGGAAAGCTTCTGCCATGTTCGGCGCCAGCATCAAACCTTTCGTTTGGATGTTGTTTCTAGTTTTAGGGGCAAACGGGGGGCCTGATGCGGGTTATGGACACCTCGGATTTGGCTCGCAGCAAGTTCTGAAGTGTTCGGGAGTATGGGAATGAATCTCCCGTAACCATTCCCAGTGAGCAGCCAATAGTCGATAGGTTGGGTGTTTTAGGGTCATTTCCACATTCCCCACTGAGAACAAGCAAGTGTCGTCGAAGGGGAATCCTGAAGTCCGGATATCATATTTGGGTTCCCAACAAGGACTACACGGTTTGTCCATTTTTTGGGACCCTCCACATTTGTGTTTTCTTTTTGGCTTTCCTTTAAAACCTGCCAAGAACGGTACGCCGCAAAAACAACATTGAGGGAGACCCCATGTCCCTCACCGAGGAGCACAAATGACGGGATATTCTGATATGGCTGCGAAAGGAACACCGCGAACAAAAATGAGGGTTTGGATCGGTGGCGATTTGGATTTGAACCCAAAATCGGTTCTCTTGGCGGTTCTCTTGACCAGCCGTCCAATTACCCGGGCCTCCATTTAACACAAAGGCTTTCAACCTTTAGCAGGGGATCTGAGGTCCCCCTCGTTCCATCTCCGAACGAATCCAATCCACCAAGAGGGAAGCTGCGACATCGTCTTACCAGACTTGAGTCGCCTGCTTGGCCTTTTGCCCTCATCTTTTGATCCCCCCATCAAGCAAACATCCTTCACCTGAAGCTACTTGTCAACATGGGCTGTCGATGCCTGTTGCAACCCAAACGGACCACACTCCCAAAAATGAGGGGGGGGGGTTATGCAACCCAAAGCTATGGTCCTTTCCCCAACAGCTAAAGGCTATGGGGTCTCTCTGCCCAGATAAGCTTTGCGGTCATTCGGAGTAGGTTGAGGGAGGGCCCCGGAGCTGTTGGGGATACTGCCTGTTGTTCAGGACGTCCCAGTCTCGTAATCAAAGAGTTGGATGTTTGTCAGAATCCAGATCACTTCACAGTCTGGTTCCTTAGGTTCTTAGTTGTGTTTGTTGGTTTTGTTTGGGCACCGACCCAAGGAGGTGGACATCAAAATTCGGTGGACACCAGAAACTGATTGAGGGGGCCGGGGGCCCGAGTAAAAAAAAAGAAGAAGACACAAAACATGGCCAGGAACAAGAAAGCGCAACTTGTTTGTCACAATAGTGCATTGCTTCTCCTCTATCCATTGCATCTGCTCACTTTCACTCGTTGCTATCGCTACAAATACAAGAAAGTGTAGCTCGTAGGAAAGCAATGTCAAGAAACACGCAAAACAACACGAAAAACAAATGCAACAACCCACCCGCCATGAGCCCCCGCTCTCTCTCTCTCTCTCTCTCTCTCTCTCTCTCTCTCTCTCTCTTCCCTTTAGGGCGCTTTTTGAAAGGAAGCCAAAAGGAAAACCGCCATTTTTTGGGGGGTCCCTTAGGAAAACGCGCGCCGTTGATACCCCCAGGCGCGGTTCAAGCCCGGCTGGTTGGAGTAGAACTTGCCCGCGGAGCTCCCCGAAGCGGCCGCGCGGTCCGCTGCGTCCATGAAGACGTGGCACTCCTAAAACTTTCGGCGTTCCATTTGCTTAAGCCCAGGGGAAAAAATGAAAATGTGTCCAGTAGTGAAATCGATTCCCTTTAAAACCAACACTGAAATAAAACATGTTCTTGAGCAAATGGCCCTTTGGAAGCTCCCGAACGGACCTCGGAAGACTGGGCTCCATTTATAGAGGCCCTGGGCATAGGGAACCAAAGACCAAAACCAAACCTGCGGTTTGCCCCAGCAGTTTTCGTTTGAGCCACACCCATGTTGAGAAAATTGAGTTACCAATGGAGGTTTCAATTACTCTGGGTCCTTGGCTCCCCGGATATCCATAGCAACCGGGCAAAAGGAACCTCTTGGGTTCCTTCCGATTTCTCCTCCTGGTTAACCTGGCACAAACCATTGACTTGCAGGGGAAAAAGTGGCAGTATCCCGACCCACTTTGTCATGAGGTCTTTTATAGAATATCGTAGTTTATCACAATGTTCAATGGAATTTAGACCAGCATCACTATAGTTATTTTTCTTTGGTTTGACCAGGTTTTAGTTCTTCTGCGATGGTTAATGCGCATGAACGACCGAATACCACTAAATCGAATAATGAATTAGCTCCCAATCGATTGGCACCATGGACTGATGCACATGCAGATTCACCTGCGCTGTATAATCCTTCGACAACTATATCTTGTCCTTTGACAATATGTCGAGCTTGGCAGTCTTTTCTTGACTCAAGAATGAACAACGAGTTGTATCATCTCAACATAAAATGATCTAAACCAATAAATGCATGCCATATTCTAACGGTGTACATCTGAAACGTTTCTATGGTTTTCAATAGTAGTATAATGGGTATTAGGAATTCGAAGCTTTCCCAATGTGACAATAATCACTTTATGTTGACATGATGTTTCTCTTCTATGGGAAACGTATCAAAAGGGCGGGGACCCTCAAGCGTCATATTGAATCGGGATTGGGGTAGGATCATGCTGCGGGTGACTTACATTTCTGGGTGTTCCCTAAACTTCCGTTGGTGGTTTGAAACATCACCTGGGCCCATCTAAAGTGAGTTTCCCGTGGTTGGCTGATGCTTGAAGGGGACATATGTGGAGCCCTGCAAGTAGGTCTGGAAATCCTTTTCAAAGAACCCTGAATGTTCCTTTGAGGTGCTCCTAACGGGCGGCCTCTCCTTGGGTTCCCTTTTTACCACGGCTAGATGTGGCGGCGCCTTGTTTTGAGAAACCTTTGCCAACAACAAATCCAAGATTTTTGGTAGTCCGTTTCCTCAATTTGAGACAATCCCATGTTTGACAACCACTTGGCAGTGCTCTCCCAGTTAACAAGTGGGCGGGGTAGATTCGGCCGAGGTCCCATAACATTGACTCCTTCCATCCCTCACCCCCGGTTAGGATCACTGGGGCGAAGTCCTCCTCCATGTTACATGTTTCAGTGTGCCCAGGAAAGTGCTGGCCCGAACGATCCCCAGGACATCGAGCCTCTGCGACTGGTGAACCCTCACTTCTTTTTCGTTTCTATTTTTTGCCAATCCACTATATCCAGGGCTCATACCAGAGGGTGGTCAGGGCAAATTAGTTACTATGTGGGCGCGTTTTTTTTTTTTAATCGGGGAAGTTTCTGGTGGACATCCTAGTTCGAACGAGGTGTATGTCCACCAAACACTCAGGTGGTGCCAGTTATCGACGGTCATAGCCACTTCCAAACCCAGGGGCTCCAGCGACCCCTTGATCTCTCTGCACAGAAGGCAACCCAAGGAGCGCTGCGCTCGAGGAAGTCGGGCACAACCCTCAGCGCAAAGTGGCCCAACTTTTCCTACGCCAAACAAATGAAGGAGACCCCGGCCTGGATTTGCGTCATCTTTGTTCAAATCCTTAGCTTGGCCCAACTCTGGGGTAGTGTTGATTCATAAACTGGGAATTCATCACTTTTGGAGGGAACCCCCCCCCAATAATGAAATGGGTTCATAAATCCGGGGTCAACATTATACTGAACATATGATCGGGCCTGGTCCATAGCAAACCTCGGAATATACTTTTGAGAGATGTCCAGGAGGATTGAGGGCTATCCCATCTTGTGTGTCAGGAAGGGACAATTGCGGATGCGCTGCCTAAAACTCTTGCCGGTCTGCAGCAGGGAACGGGAATAAAACTACTAGCCAGTCCCACTCAGGGCACCCTGACAGCCTTTTGTAAACACACGCACAATAAGTTGTTGTCGGTTGCTCTTGCCTCAAGCATGTTGCTATGGATATTCGTCAAGCATTTATACGTATAATTAAGCTTTGACTAGTATTTTTGCACAAGAACTACGTATGGATTGATGCTTGACTTTCAAGCCCTGAAATCAAGCAAAAGCCAAGGGTCTGGACGACACTCACGGTGATTAAGCCTTTTGTGTTTTTAGTAGGGACTTGTTCTATGTGTTTAGGCCCTTGTAAAATGAGGGGCTAAACCATGCACATAATCCCCCATTCATACCAGACTCATATAGACCCCCTCCAACAACTTTCATTGTTTGCCGCCAAGGGACATTCTGGACCACCAAACTGGGCAAACCACATGTTCAACAAAAGCTATGCACTGATTCTACGTATTTAGGTCCGAGTAGGGTGGTTTGGACCCAGCTGGCACATGCGTTGCCAAACAAGACGAGCAAACACCGATCGGACTGGTCACTGGCGCCGAGATGCAGGACACCTCAGCAGCGCGCTCGCTCCAAAAAACAAGCCCATGTCACAGGAAGAACCCAAGGCCCCACTTGTGTGAAACACACTCCGAGAGATCACCGGAAACGCCCTCCAAAGAGGGGCGATCGAAGGGCACCCAGAGCAACTCTGGGCGGGGGGGGCGGGGCCATGTTTCTATTCGGGGTCAGAATGAAAGCCTGGCATAATTAAGATGGACCATATCCGGACCTTTCTATGAAGGGACCAGATATCCCTAGCGTTCGCTTACCCGGGCTTTGATGTTGGCTCATGTGGGGTTTCCCATGCTGTGGTTCCAAAAAGTGATCCCCGAAAAGAAAAAGACAACTTGATGGAGGTCGAACAAAACGAACAGGTCCCCAGTCAACGGGACCTCTCCCCCTGTGAAACTATGGAGATCACGCGAGCGGGGTACGTGTCTCACTCCTGTGTACCCTACCCAAGGTGCGAAATGGGTTTGTGCTTTTCTTGAGAGAACCCTGTTTGGGGTGTGAAAGGGAAACTAGGAAAGCCACCGTTCTGGGGGTCCCCCTATTTTAAGATCTTTGCCACTAGAATGATCTTCCCTAAACTGCTCGGGTCCGAAAATGGGAAAGTGAGTTGCGTTTCGGTTGTCTTTTGAAGGCTCAGAGAACCTCTGTGAGTTGATGCTCTAAAAAGCAAAGTGAAACCCATGCCATTTGGGGAGGTTCCCCTTACTCCCAGCTCCTGCCGAACTCAACTCCGCATTCAGACGGGTGAAGCTGCATGAGCTATGATGGTTTCACTATCAAACCACTGCCCCCAGGGGAAATTGAGGTACCCATTATAATATACTGTGGTGGTTCTACGGTGGCTATATATCCCATTAAACCTCCTGCTATGGTCTCACAATGAACCTCCCAAAACATGACCCACCCAGGTCCGATCGATTGCGCAAGTTGGAATATAGGGATCCAAGTATCCACCAGCAACCCCAAGCGGTCGGCGCTCAAACAAAATTGTGTGGGTTGGTACAGGCCCCTCATTTCCCTTTGAATACATGCCCCGTGACATCCCCCTGTTTCAGAGTCTTTGCTCTCACAGGGCTTTGTCTCAAAGCAGAATCTTGACATGGGTTGCTTCCCTTTGGTTTCCCCTGAACACAACCCCAACATGGCTACCAAGGTACTCCGGACCCCAGTCTCGCCCTTTTCACAGGCAGCTGTTCAGGTGGCATAGCTAGGGGTACGGGAAGGATTTGTCCAACTTTGGCGCTTAGAAATGCTTGCTTGGCCGCCTCTGTTGGGCCATAAACGGGTAAACCTTCTGAAATTGGGGTATAATGCGTACGTGTCAGTGTGTGTGTGTGTGTGTGTGCTTGTAGTTATTTTAGGCTCGATCCAACACCTAGGCGCTGTTCCACATGAAGAGCTGGCGCTTCTCGGCTAGAGGCACCTCCAGCAACTTTGGCACCTTCCGCAGCATGCCAATGGCCGATGCTTGTGCAGCCAATTTGGCTCTGGTATTTGTGTGGGTGCCAAGAAGCCCGCGTATTCTAAAGTGGGGCAGCTGTTCAACTGCAACCTAGCACTGTCTATGAATCTGCACTGCTTACTGATTATCAATCCAGAAACAAGGAATCTCTATGTAATACTTAAGGAACCTTCATGGGTAGGCTTGTTCTTATCCCTAAATAATGCCCACCAGAGATGCCGAAACAAAGCGTTTGAAAACTGTTAGGACTAAAACACATCTCTGGGTGGCTCGCCTTTTCTTGAGGGTACTCCTTTCTGGATGGTTTGAAAACAGCAAATTGGGGGTCCTCTAGACAACACACCCATATCCGTCCGGTTTCCTGTCGGGGACATCAACAATGCGACCACCGGGTGTTTCTCGCAAGAGGACATGGGAAAGGGGGGCGGGCCTCTCATTTTTATGAAGTTTTGAGTCTCCCCCATGGCCTCCCTAAACAAACACTACACTACTAGTAAAAACAATCTTGGAACCTAAAAGGGAACCCCTGGAATCGGAAGACGATTCTCCTCTAACAGGGACCCGGAAAATCACCCTTGCGATACCAATATTTCCATAACTACTTGCTTACTTTGAAGGAATTCCCTTTGCCACTCACGGAAAGTGGCAGCCTAAAACCGACCATTTTCCACAATCATGCTCGGGTTCCTTCTGATTGCATAGGGTGCAAATACATCCTCGCAAGGAGTTTCCCGCCTCTTCGCAGCGCAAAGTTGGCACGAAGACTGCATCAGACCTGGGAAAACAGTTATAATCAAAATCTGGTATTGACATGGTCCACCCAAAACCATGGAATCCATGGCAAGGGGACTATCCCGTACGAACCTGCATCTACCCCGAGTCATGGGCGGTCCCCCCATGTCGTGCCCAAACTATGTGACTCATAGGAGCCATGAACATTCATGGCACCCACAACATGGGTCTGCTCTCCAGATGGGGACAACCCTCCCAATCTTCACTCTAACTTCCCCCCAAAAACCCTCAAAAGAAACAAGCACCCTTCAAATTGAATGACCCCCCGGTTGTAGTGCGTCATCCGAGGCGAGCGGCGTCTCCGCAAAGCGCGCGGCGAGGTCGGCGCAGCAGGGCGCACACGGTCTGGCCGGCTGGGCTAGATCTGGTCGCTCGCTAAGGCACCCCTAAAAATTGGATGTTGTTCAGCATTGGCAATATCTCAAGGGTACCCGGACCCTCTAACTGCCCATTGATATTGGGAAACCACGGAGGTCACGTGGGGCAACTCAATATCCAAGGGTACTTCGAGGATCCGGACTGCGAATAACCTCTGTTTGGTAACATTTTGAGGGGTACTCGTCGCATGTACGTGAGGGGCACCAAGAAATTTCTCTTGGGGAGGCTGGGAGGAAGAAAAACACGGTTTCTGAATTCCCAAGGAGAGGTATATATATATATATATATATATTATAGATGGAACCCGAACGAAAAGTCATCACCTGGCTCTTCCTTTCGGCCCTGGAAACCATTTGGCTGACCCTTCACTGTTTACGTCTGTGGAAGACCAAGGTCACATGAGCCACAAACAAAATGACTTGCTTCCGCGAAAGGACTCCGACGATTGAGTTGTCACACCCTTGGATTTTGAGGGGAATTTGGGTTGTCCCCGCCTTCATGCAGGTGCTTCCCAAACAAACAGTCAACTACCAAGAATGATATTGTCTTTTGCTCATGTTTTTTTCTGTATGAGACTGGCATGCGCGAAGCACAATTCACCCCCAAACACAAACATGGCGTGACTCACTGGTGAGGCGCGCCTGAAGCGCTCCGCATCTTCAATCTCCGTGGATTGCAAATTGCAGCTGTCCACCAAATAGAAGGCGACTTGGCCTCAGGGATTTCGACGGAGAGATAGTCCCGGAGGAATCGTGAGCCGGTAAACCCCGGTAAGCCTTGAGTTGACCCTGGGAACCCGGGTCAACTAACATACTAGCGATCGCCTTGGGACCATCAAAGACCCTTCCGTCCAAAAGACCCTTTTCCACTTTTTTGGGAAAGGCACAACACCAGCACCTGAACCCTCGAAACGGTGTATTGCTCCAACATGCTGGGGTGATGTCCCAGTGTCCCCAACATGAGTGGTTTCCCATGTTTGTCGTCAAGGCGAATGAAGGGAAACCCAGAGTCAACCTGGTTGTTCTCACGGAATTGTTTCAGGGCGTTGGGAATGAACCGTTTGGGTTCAGTGTGGGATCTGTCCAACCCATTCCCTGCCAATCAAACCAGCAAGTTACTACCCTTCAACTTCCAGCAACCCCCACCACCACTTGAGGCGCCGCCTCCACTTGGCCACGCTAAAGTGGGTGTTACAAACCCAGGAGACCCTGTCCACATGGAACCTGGCTGAGAGAGGGCTCCTGGAAGATGTTCCTTTAAAGCGGCCCCTCTGGCGGCCGTGTCGGAAGCTTGGGGGTCGGGCAGCCGCTCACCTCCACGGCCACGGCATCCAGAGGCCTCAGATCGGCGCGCCGAATGGGTTTGGCTATTCGGCCTTCGGCCCCTTTATGGCTTGCTGAGAAGGAAATCAGCCAGCAACACGAGGCCAACCACCTGCTTAGATTTACAGTCCCCCACAACGGACAATTCCCTGGAGACCCCCACCCGCTTGGCTCACTTGAGTGGATTGACGGTGAGAAAGGGTCCAGGTTTGGGCCATGTTCCTGAACGCCGCGTCTCTCTCAGATCCGCGCGGGCAGGCGAGCACGCTCAACAACCCAGGCTGCACCTTGGAGAAGCCGAGGAAAGGGGCTCGTTTCCTGGGGTTGACGGCTTTTTCCCTGAGACCGGTTGAAAAATCGGACAAATCCCAACATGCCGGGGCAATCAATTTCCAAGTTTGCAGGCTAAGGTTTGAGGGTCTGGGTCACTTCATTTAATAGGTATGGGTGCGCCTTTCCGGTTCACCCTTCTCTTGGATGTCCTGGTCGCCGCGCAAGCTTGTTTCCTCCAGACTGGGAACCGGGTGGGTTCAGAAAGCCTGTTACGGAGAATTTCCCGTGAGCACATTTCATAGAAAAGGACATCCTGCCCGCTCATTGTCGCCTGTCCAAAAGGCAGTCACTATCTGGCAAGAGGACGGGCTCGCCGAGGTGAGCCGCTCAAAAACGGAGACCTCCTCCTTTATGAAATCTGGGATGCTGAAATATCGCTATGCTACGTAAGCTCTACCTTGCAAATGCAAGTCAGCTGCAGGAAATTCTGATAGAGCTCTGCCAAACACCAACTACATACAATCATTTCGGCCGATGTTTGTTGAATTTTCAAATGTTTGGCCAGTTGGCAGGATTGGGTCAAACCCTTGATTGAACAGGCTTAATCCACTCATGTTTTGTCAACCATCTGTTTGGGGCCCCAAACAGGCCCCATGTTCACTTTTGTGCCACGGTTTTGCCTTTTCTGGAACCTCTTGACTCCCAAACTCAGCCAACTCAAAAGGACAAGCCCTGATTGCAAGCGAACCAGCAAACAAATGCTGAATGCTGCCAAGTAGCAGCACTGCGAGTTGCAACCACATATTGTAAATCAAGTTGACTGCTTGGGCGTGTCCTAAAGGCGTGGCCAGAAATGGGACACCACCGCAAATGGCTGCGTTTCATCAGATGAGTCATATGAAACCTGATATGACAGTCTACCCAAACAGGCTTCCTGGAGCAATTTCTGGTTGAAACCCTCCCGCATTCACCTCTATCTACCCGTTCGCTTTTGATTGTGCGTCATCTTTGTGTTGGAGTCTGTTGAGGGACACCGCAAGGCTGGAAAAAGGAGAAGGTTGTTTTAGTTTTAACTAGTGGGGTTCTATATTATACAACTTGCTGGTGCTCAGTAGGGAATGACCTTCCGGTTTTGGTTGATTCGTTTTGGGAATCAACCAAAAGGTGATGCCCTTAAAGCAAACAGAAGCAAACCATGGCGGATTTGATTGTAGAGTCATTCCATTTCTCATTTCCCTGCTGAGAACCAGCAAGACAACCCAATCTGGCAGAAAACAACCAAACCCCACCTCCTTTTAATTAGGTTCCCTTGTGACCGAGACGCCACCACAGCCGCACTGGCCTTGGCAGCGCCACGAATCAGCAGCCGGCACCAGACCTCGGAGAAAGAAAAACGCATCCACCTGAGCCGTCAATGGGACCTGACATGAAAAAACGGCGGTGAGGCATTGATTCCTAAACTGGTTATAGAGGGCGTGGCAACTAAGATGCATGGCTGCGAGGCCGTCCCCCATTAAGAAAACAAAAACAAAGGAATCTAAGGAATCCTTCCTTGTGTTCGGTTCTGTTCATGTTTGGTGGGAGGCGTTCACTTCAATGGTTTGCTTTTGAGCAGCGGCTCGGTTTGTGCTTAGTGGGAGGCTGCAACAAAAGTCATGATTTTGGCAATGTATCAAGTGGTGGTGAAAAAGGTAGCCCAAATCCATGGTGGCCATGATCGTAGGGTTCCCGGTAAGTTTGGCCATTTAGCAAAAGGGGGGTCAGCGAATCGTCCGTCTGACGTGAAAAAGCACATCTTCGTGATCAGGAATGGCAGGGCTCCCCAAAAAAACACCCCTCAAACATCACACCAAAACGAAGCTCCATTGAGGTCATAACTGTATGAAAAACTGGTTTGCTTTGCGAGTTCCTTGTTTGGGGTCGATTTATACGTCTTTGTTTTCTTTAAACAACAAAAACAACCCTTGAAATTGGCAACCACAAGGTGATGCTTTAAACGGGAAAAGGGAGCCCTGAATGGAACCGCTGGTTGGACCTTCCCGTGCCGCTCCCTGTGCGGGCTGAGCTTTGCATACCTTCAAGAGGACACCCCACAACGCAGAATTCTGGTAGGCAGCACTTCTCTCCTGGCTGAATGTTCCCACATTTGGGTTGGTCTCCCCCTGCAAACACTTAAACGTGCTGTCGGATGGGGAAACCCTAGACCCTGAAACTCCCCTCAACAATGGGATGCCTCAAAATCTTGGAGTCATGTCTGGCAAACTGGCCGATTTGGGTCCCGTGGTTCCCTTGGAAGAACCATTCCGCCCAGGCAACTCTGAGGATGTCACTTTAATGGACGTTGAGGCACCGGTTTGGGGTAGATCCCTCCCTCATGACTCAGTCAGACTAATGCATCGAAGCCGCCTCGGCTCCCTCGGAGATGTCCATCCGCGGGCCAGGGATTGCGGAGGCACCCGGCAGACAGAACCCGTGCAATCTTGACGCATGGGCGTGAGAGTGAAATCATTTTGGTGTGAAGGGATTCTGTTTTCTTGGACCTCATTTGGGTGTGCCTTTTTGAGAGCCCCAAAAAAAGGGGTTGGCTGACAACCCATTAGGAAAACACCAACCGTTTTAGAAGTCCCCTATTTTGAGATGTATCTGAGCAATATTTTTCTTGGATAAACGCCGAACCTCGCAGATTCAGGGGCGCTTCCTTCCAAAAAGCAGATATCTCTGAAAGGGACACCGACTGTCGATCAACCAGGGGAGCATCAGTCCTAGGGCCATGATGCTTAATTCTCTGGACACTGATGACATTGTCGGATGCAAGCCTCGGCCCCTCTCTCCTGAATCCTGTTGCTGCCGTGTCGAGCTTGATAGAAAACCGAAGGCATCCCCGAAACCGGTTCGGGGTTCGGAAGGAATCTTCTTAGGGTTACAGTGTCGTGATTGAAGGGTTTTGGAGAACTGCCTCTTCTTGTTGTTGGGGGCATAAGGTTCTTGGAACCTTCTCAACAAGGGGTTCTGATAGGCTTCTGAGAAGCTTTTTGCAACATAGGAGTCTCCACTCTTGTCTCTGAAACGTTGTGTGTGTGTGTGTGTGTCGCCCGTCCGGGCCGAAAACCGGCGCCGCAACCACTTCCAACGCTCGCTGCCCGTTGTGCAAGAGAGGGGAACTCGGGGTCATCCAAAGGAGGGAAATCCGTTTCGCACCTAAGAAGCTCTGAAATAATGATTCCCCTGTACATACCAGCAAACAATAATTTCCCATGGTTTCAAAGTGGTGCAGGATTTCGTCCATCCACAGTATTGCACTTCGACTGGCGACATTACAACTACCTCAAGAATCTTGGGACCTAAACAAAAATACTATTGAGGTCCAAATCCGTCCAAAGGAGATCCAACCTCATCCATAGGTCATCAAGTTGGACAAGTTGAGTTTTTTCATGCTGAAATGCCCACCCGATTGTCAATGGCTTCCAACATACTCCCGAGCGGAGGTCATAGCTGTTGGGCGTTCCTGGCAGTGATGCACAAGCTCCCGCTGGCGCACGGCCAAATGCTATCCCGTTCATTTTCTACTTTGGAACGCCTCCAAGTTGTGCTGAAGATTGGTAGTCGAATGGCAAACTGGTAGTTGAATGCTAAAATGGTAGCGAGCATGATATGGTAGTTAGGCATTTCCATGTTCGACTATCCGTCTCCCGACGCAAAGAGTGCCTCATCTCCCAAGCGCAAAAAAAAGTGTCAATGCGCCCCGAGCACTAACCAGACCCGAGCTGCTCAACATGGGAGATCCCGAATCCTCCGCAATCCGTAGCGGGACACAAGGGAAGCCACTACCAATCTCCCTTGATTTTGACCAAGTTGAGTTTGTCTTCAAATGGTGACCCTAATCGAGCTCAGTTTCCCTTTGGAGTTCCACTTAAAGAGCCCCAACAAAGGGGATACTATGACAACGGATCCGGAGCACTTCTTAGATTTTGACAGCCGCTGTATGTCAATGTCATTGTTCAAGCCTCAGCCTACACTCGATCCGCACATCAAATTGAGCACCCAACACCCATTGACTTTTGTGCCATGGCGACAAAGATCTAGGCTTTACCCCAAACTAAACCAGGTCTACTTGGCTTAGGGGGTAAAAGCATGGCAAAAGCCAATCTAGTCGAACTGCCCAAAGGACTCGGGCGCATTGGACCCACCGAGCCGACACGGCCCTCGGGTTCCCCCGTTCGCCCGGTTCGCCCGGCTCAGCGCACCCGGGGATCCGCCAGCCAGGTCGACGGCTGCGCGAGGCGCTGCAGTACTTGGCCCTCGAGCCATTCGGTCCAACAGAGACACCGATGTCCCGATAGTCCATATAATATGGGGGTGGTCCATTTTGTGAGGGTACCCCCTTTTTTTTGTGGTTGAAAAGGGACACCACCCCGAAAAGAGGCACGGCCATAATTTATTCTGCGAACTAGTTTTAACCTTTTGGAGGAGACCGCTGTACTCCAAAAAAAAGAAGAGAAAAAACAAACAAGATGTTCAGATGTGTCATATACCCAGACAACCCCTGAAACCTTCGGCGGCTTTGAGCGAACTCCCCGAGCTCCCAGGCGCCTATGTCGACCGAGCTCGGGTTGAAACAGCCAAATATGGGGGGGGGGGGTCTTCTTAGGCGATGCAACGGGTTCAACGGGTTTCCAGCTCCAACCAAAAAGGGGTTTCAACTCAAAAGACCAAACTCCCGATGTTCTGCAACCTTGGGAAACTCGGAAAAGAAGGAGACCCTTCCACATGGAACCCGAGTGAACCAGTGCTTCTTGGTGGTTGTTCGTAGGCAGTAACAATGTCAGGCCTCAGCTTGTTGCGACAAAAACAGTAGTATGAGTATCGAGCCCAGAACCCCCCTACGCTATCAAAGCATGTTTGTTTTGGAGACCTTATCAGCCATTTGGGGGGGGGGTTATTCCGTTTTGGTTGGTTTGCTCCATTATAAGTGGTGCGCGCAACAAACATGGATTTTGAAGGTGCCACCGCACAGCTGGCTTCGCTGTGATTCACGACTTCTTTGGGAGACCTTTGAAAAGCCGCTCGTTAAAGCATGGCGATCTCCTGATTGGGGAAAGGCCATGCCTGCTAGGTTTTCTAGTAGAGAGGTTAGAATAAGGGTACCGGGTACCCTTTTTTCTGTAGTCTATTTGAGTAGGGGAGCCCTCCCCAAAAAAAAGGAGAAAGGGCGCTTGAAATCAAGCAAAAAAGTACTTGGAGGGTCCAGGTGCCTGCGTGGAGGCATTTTCAGGGACCTCAGCAAAGCCGTCAACTCGAGACAAGTCCACCGGCCGCCCACGCCTCGTCCAATGGCGCACACACCTGCAAGTGGTGTGCTCCCAATGTCGGGGCTCAATCCTATGGATTTCCAATCCAAGGGCAAGCACGCTCAATTATTGTCATGTTCACTATTTCCTTTGAGTGGCAATTTGATCGGCTTGATGTTTCAAGGGAAAGCCGCTGGCCCATTTGTGAAGCGTCTGTGCAATAGGATCATTCGCTGGTTTTGGAGCGGAAGGACTCCACTAGAAGTTTCTCAACTGGATTTCGGACCCGTGGTTGGTATTGATCAGGGGAACCAACAAGACACCTTTGCCATTTTCGGCGTCCCCCACTGTGGCTGGACGAAATCCATCTTGCACCTAAGAAACTCTGGAATGATTCGATTCCCTTGCACATACTAACAAGCAATGGTTTCAACCATGGTTTCAAAGTGGTGCGAAATGGATTTCGTCCATCCACAGTATTTTGAGAAACATGCAACTTAACTCCTCCCATCAGAGTCCCAAGATTATGGCAATTTGGCGAGGGGGGCTCTCTGAGTACACCCTTTGACGTCTGAGTACACACTTTGACAACACAACAATGGGTACCTCAAACAAATTGCCTTTAAAACCACAACCAAAAACGGGTACCTCAAACAAACTGCCTTTGAACACCAACAAAAACGGGTACCTCGAACATATTGCCTTGAAACACACAACAAAAACGGGTACCTCAGACAAGTTGCCGTTAAATCCACAACAACAACAGGTACCTCAAACAAATTGCCTTCAAAACAACAGCAAAAACAGGTGCCTCAAACAAAGTGCGTTTAAAACCACAACAAAAACGAGTACCTCAAACAAGTTGCCTTTAAAACCACAACAAAAACGGGGGTTCCTCAAACCAAAATTCGCAGACCCACTCTACCCTCTCTCTCTCTCTCTCGCCTCCTGACCGGGCGTCTTGGATCTCGACTCGTATCTGCGCCGCATCCGCCACCAACCCCCCCGGCCCCCGACCGAAATTCGACGAACGGATTCCAGGCTGGCCAACCTTGGCCCAAGTCTGAGGAATTCTACCTCAATAAACAACAAATGAGGACTCCGAAGTCTGGTTTAAGTCTGATCCTGAGTCACAATATTTTCTTTTACCTCAACTCCAAAATAGGATCAGAGTCCGATTTACATGTCTGTTGATTCAGCCTTATAACACATGTATGTTTTGGGAGACCTCGGAAACGGAAACCAACGGGACTCAGTCTACCTTTAAGAAATCCCCAAAGTGGAGCCGGTCAGTGTTGCCTCAAGCTGTTCCCCAGGAGCTGGAGCCGAGGAACATGGGGGGGCCGTTTTGGGGGCCGTGCTGGAACCCGAGGAATTCGGGCAGCACGAAATGATCAGATCTCTGAATCTGAGGGTTCAACCTGAAGGCAAATTCAATTGGATCCCATCACCTGGACAGGGGACTTTGACACCTGCTAGCATAGCCAAAAGGGTCTTCACACCCTTGTTTGCCTCAGACAAACCCTGCAAACGTGACTTCCCCAGGGCTGATCAAGTTTCCTAAGATTTCCGGGGCCAAAATGTGGCTCTATTCGGTTTCACGGTCCCGGGATCTGGGTACAGTTCATGTCCACCGCTGAGTGGTTCCATCGTGGAATTCTTAGCCAAATCAACCAATCGAGAGCTGTGAAGCAGGACCAGGTGGGGGGGGGGGGGGCTGCAGAGTAGGTGAACATGAAACGGTGTGTTGAACATGAACCTGTCGGATATTCCTAGAAAGAAAAAAAAGATCTGGTTCCGTTTGAGGGTCAAAGGGTCAACTTGTTGGAGACTTAAGGCAGGAGCCTGAGTAGCAAATTAAACCGCCACGCAAGAACGACCCTCGATCCCCAGAGCGTCATAACTCATAACCCATTGGCCGCCGATGCTTGGGTTAATGGGGAAATACACCTCCGTTCAATGGGATGTACTGGGATCATAACTGTTACAACCAAAGCATTCGGCGGCCACGTGCTAAAGCTAGGTTTCCTTTCAAATTGAAGCTTCCCTTCAACTTTCAACCTCAGTTGCAGCCCACGTAATTCTTCTTCACGACCGCAAAAGGGGCCCAAATCTCAGCACCCGCAGCACTTTCTGGGAAAACCAACCAACTGGTTGAACAATTCCTATAGTTCACAAACTGAAAAGGCAATTGTCTTGGTGATGGGAAACCTTTTACTTGTAGCCAAGGGCAATAATGTATGATGGTCCGAAACGATGACCCAGGCGTTTGGGTTCTCTCTCTACTGCAAAATTTAAATAAACAATACCTCAGCAATCCCAATTGTGTTGTTGCTAACTTCCTCAGTGGATTGAATGCTTTTCCGATAATTTCAAGGGGCTGACAAACCACCAAAAACACTGAGTTCCATCACTCCAACTACTGCTTTTTGGACACTTGGCACTTCTTACATGGAAAAAGAAAAAAAACACAAAAACAGGAGTTGGGCCGGGGGGTGCCGTTTTTTGTTTCTCTTTTCTTTTTTCTGGCATTTTCAGGTGCCGGTTGGTTCCCATGACCTCGTTCCCTTGCCCTTTCGCTCGCCTCAGCAGCGCGGCGCCCCGCAGCAGCGCCGCGTAGAGCGGCGGCGGGGGCCCCGGCGCCAGGGCGCCGTGGGCGCCGTGCGCCGCGGTGGCGAGCTCCGCGCAGGCGCCCCGCAGCAAGGCGCCTGCGCGGCGCGCGACGCGGAGGTCGGGGGCTGGGAACATGCGGACGGTTTTGGGGTCGGTTTACTTGGAGCTGACGGTTTGGGTTTTGGTACATGCGGCCGGGACGTGTGGATGGAATCCATGGAATCAGCAAGAAATGGGTGAAGCCATGGTTTGTTAGAAACTACAGGGGAATCTCCATGATTTCAAGGTGGCTAAGGTGGTGCAGGATTTGGTCCATCCACATTGTTGTACTTGCTGGCTCTTGATAGGGTTCCTGAGAAATGAAATGCCCCGGAAAAATAAACCATCCAACAGCGTGGTTTCCTTGAAGGGAATCCCCTGCGGTTCATTCCCAGCACCCGGAAGGTCATTCCCTACGGAGCACCAGCAAGTTTAACGGAAACTGAACGGAAAACCAGCATCTCAAGATTGGCTGAACTTCCAATCTGAAGGATGGGCAAGCAAGCAAAGATGGGCTTGTGTGTTTTAGGGAACCCCTTTTGTTTTCTTGAAGGAAAACCGAAAGGACACTACCCATTGAGGGATTCCCCTGGTTTGACACAAACCCACATGCTTGCATCCAAGGCAAGCAGGGGCTGACACGTCATGGGCAGGTGCTTTGGACGAAGTTTAGCTAACGAAAGGTATCATTCCTCACAACTCCTATGAGTCATCCAACAACAGCTCACCAGGCGGAGCAAAAACTGGTTCAGCCAAGGGAGACCAAATGGAGGGCACTTACACAGTCATGATTGTCTTATCAGGAAGCCTTCCAATGGTTGTCTAAACTCCCGGTTTCTTTGAGCATGCCTGCCAACCCTTCCCTCTGGACCATTCCCCTCAAAAATGGAAGGTCTGCTGGTGGGTGTCTCGCAACGTCTTTGCATCCCCTGGTTCGATTTGTAGTGTATACGACAGCAAACATGGAACCAAACCTGGAATTTCAAAAGGTCACCACCAATTCTTTGCAAGCTGACCATCTTGGCAAGGCTCTTTTGCCCACTTCCACGTTTGTTGGAAACACAAGTGCCATAACATCCTCACATTTCTCAGCCTAAAGATTGCGCCATCTAGAGTAAGGCCTTGACTGTTTTTCCGGATGGCTCCCTGGAAAAAAATGAAAAAAAACAATAACTTTTTGCTAACGCACCGCTAAGGCCAAGTAGAGATACCAGTCCAAGACGAGCATCTAACCAGAGGAGAAGAAGAACAATCAAAACAAAACAATCACAATCGCTTTCGCGGCTGCAAGGAAACTGCTTCATTGTCCACCAAATTGAAGTCTAAAGGTCCAACCCAATTGCAGCCAAGGTTTGCACCGTGGCCTATGCCCCCACACCGCTTTCGACTTCTAAGTCTGGCCTTCGGCCGCTGCGGCGTCCACTTCTTGGGAGACCTGGAGCCAAGTCCGCTGAAGAAGCGGGTGAGGGTCAAACTAGGGGACCACTTGTCGGATGGTTTTGAAGGGAAACTGCAAGGAAACCACCTACCTGGAGCAGTCCCCAATTTTGACAAGCACTCAAATATTCTCTCAGATGCCCAGTAGCCATGGGAAAAAAGAATTGCTTTTTTTTTTATTGGTTGGTTGAGATTAAAAAGGAATCGGAACCCAAAACCCAAAAGAATGGGACAAAAAAGGGGCGGAATCCACTGGCCAAGTGGGTTCTTAACCAAATGGATGTAGGTGGTTCCCAAATGCATGGAGTCTGGCTACGCACTTCGAGGGGGGGATATGCTGCCCTGTTGAGTCGCTACATGTCTGTTGTGTTGTGGTTTTCGGTGGCGTTCAACGGAGCCCAACAGGAAAGCTTACGCGCCTTTAGCTTCTCTTCTTTTTGTGTGGGGGGGGGGGGTATTTGTTTGAAGGTGGGAAGGCTGTGTTAATTGTTTGTTTGTTTGTGGTGGGAAGGCTGCTTTGATTGCTTTGCTGTTGTTTTTTCTCCGGGTGGCTGTAGGCACCCTTGGTCAAACAGCTTGTCGGGTGACCTCTCGAAGTCGGGCACGCCGCTATGGCGCGGCGATCTCCTTCTAGCTTAAGGGTGACCGACCCATTTGCATGGGAAAGGAAAGCGCTTGGAGCATAGCACCAACAACATTTGATTCGTCTGGGATGCCGGAGTTTTCTCCTTCTCCCTGAATCAACCCCTAGGGTGTTATCAACCTTGGGCTTCCATTTCATTTCAAGTCTCCAGGTGGCTGGTTCCCAAACGCTTTCCCTTGAACACCATCCAGCCCCTCTGTGAGCCAACCAGAAGCGTGTATGAATCCTGGATTCCTTTTCACCCAGAAAGACATGATAAACCAACAGGCCTTGCCGGGTTTAAGCGCCAAATTCAAAACAACTACGATACATGCCTAATACAGGCTCTTCCAACATGTGCAAAATTACTTCTGTTTTGTCGAGAACAATGTTTTTGACCCAACGGCTTTGATTTTCGCCTGCCGGTAGTCTTCAGTGTTTGCGCACTCCGGTATCAATCAAAGTTGCAAAACAGCGAAATTTGGCGAAACGGCGTAATTTGCCAGCGAAACGATGCAGTTTTTTTGCCTGCACGGCGAGCGTTTTTTTCTCCATTTACATGGTCGGCAGGTCCAGGTATGGCGTTTGTCTGACAGTCCTTGTTCCTGGAGACGCCATCCTCGCGGAAGAACACTAACTTTCGCGACCTCCATTGCAGAGCTCTAGTTCCACAACATTCAGCACAGTTGGTGCACAAAGTGCACTTCCGCTTTCCCAGCTGTCGCAACTGTTCAGTAGGAAAGCTGTACACAAAGAAAACTTCCGCAACCCCAGCTCGAAAGTGGCCACTTTTCAGTTTCCGAAGTAGTACACGAATTGCGCTTCCGCAGCCCCAGCTCGAAGCAGGCCAAGAGGGGACCCTTTGGCCACCCCTTCGGCCATAGCAAAACTTTCTCAGATCTCAATTTCCGCTGCCTGGGAAGTTGCTCTCAACTGGACCTGATAGGTTCCAAACTCCAACAGGCAGCTTTCTGCCGGGGGTTGCTTTTGCAGCGATGCATTCTTGCGAAAATCCTCAGGCCGTGCTTTCCTCCGACCAACTTTAGTCCACGTGCATTCTGCTCGCACTGCCAGCAAATACAAACGGTTCAGCATTCCATCTTCCTTTCAGAACACTACCCCTACCCAAAACATTCGCCAAACAAAAAGTTAGCTGCGAAGCTTTCGTGGAGGTTTAACTAAGACCAAAAGGCCGTCCGCCCGCACAATTACTTAATATGCATTTGTGTATTACCCCTGAAAAAATGTATGTATATATATATATTATGCGTTGACGTGACTCCTCTTCTGCAGCACCCGGAAGAACAATCCTCCGGGCGCGTCCGAAGCACGCAGCCACCACTCGCACTCGCCTTGAGCGCCGCGTTGCCGCAGCGCCGCAGCGGCCTCGCCAACTTCCCCGGCGCGCGCAGCTGCAAAGGGACGGCCTGCGAAGCGACTTCCTCGCGACTTGGCACACAAAAAACGGCGGCACCTGGACCCTCAACTAACCATAAACATGGGTTCTTGCCCTAAATTAATAATAATGATCATAACAAATAATCATATATAATAACAATGATAATAATAATGGGTGGCTTGAGGATCCAGGTACACAGAAACTGGCCACTAAGTGCGAACCAAACCAGATCTTGGACAAGCTGTGCCATTCTCATGTGAGATGGTGTAGAACGTTGACTTGCAGTATACAACCTATGGCCCTTCACCCACCAGGAAGAAAAGCTCTTAGAATCGTCATGATAGGGTTCGAGGGTTCTGAGAAGCTTGCTGGGATCACTGGGATATGTCCCCAAATGGCGTGAGGCACATCCCAATTGTTTAGGGGCAACACAGGGGCTACCGGAATTTTGACTCCTCCAAACCGAGGACCCATGTGATGGGAAGGTCACCAATGGACCTTGAGGGAGCCACTAGGCAACTAGGCAACGGCTCCCCATGGCCCTGAATCAGTAAATGATACAGGAGCGTCAATTTAGCGGCCTGGACCCAAAAACCCTTACAAATGCGATACTCCCGTTGATTATCTTGATAGGTCTGGTACAAATGAAAACACAATCCATACCCCTTTGGCACCTAGTATAAACGAGAGCAACTCAATTGACGACCCTGAAGCCAGCAAGGGCAACTATATTTTATTTTTTATTTTTATTTTTAGTTGAGGACAGCCAAATAAAGTGGTGTTCCCGCAAGCTTCCTTTTTGACCAAGCCCAAGAAGGTGCCCAAAAAAAAGACACCCATATGAATATGGCTATCATGGCTATCACGGCTGTCATCCAGAACGCTGCAAGGTCCAATGGATCTAACCTCGCAAGTACCTGGACCCTCAAACCGCGCCAGTCGGGCCATATAACATGTTCTCCGGACAACCGGTAGCAAAAAACAAAACGCCAAAGGGAGGGGTTGACGGAAACGAGGGGTTCCAAAACTGGCATGCACTTTTTTGCGCTGGGAAGTTGGACTTGCGGCAGATGTGAAGACCTGGACCCTCCAGGTCAAGGTGTTCCATTTAGGAAAGGACCCCTTTGATTGAGGGCAACCATTCAGAGGCATCCCAATTCAGAAAACAGAAATGCCCGCCCCCCGCCCCCCACCCCTCCCCTTCTTTCCCCAAACAAACACCAGGCTAAGGCACTGTGACGATTCCTTCGCTGTTCGAAATTCAGGAGCCCACCACACAGGAGAGAATTCAGCGAGCGAAGGAATCGTTGAGGTATCTGCCGGGCTCTTCAAATAGACCGGGGGGGGGGGGGGGGAAACAGGCGCGAGTATTTGATTGGGAGTGCATAATTAACCATGGGTGTTTTTGTAGTATGGGGTATTTGTAGTATGGGGGGCATAATAGCAAAAGGGCGTCCATGACGACTGCGCTGCTTGCATTCCAGCTGCCTCATCCCAGGAAGATGGTGCCTCCAGGAAATCCTAGCGGTGCGAATCAAGGTGCCCCATCCAATTGTCCACCTGCACCCAATCCACGTTTTTTTTGGGGTGTGATGTCAACAGAAAAAAAGGCACTTGGCATGAACAACCCGGATTTCCGGAACATATCCTTGGAAAAGCGGGGGGTCATTGGAGTAATTTGGGGTCGTGACATGAGCCCTGAAGCATGGGGTAAGATGCGGAACCAGGTGCTCTTTGCAGCCTTTTGCTCACAAGCTGCATTGGCGTCAAGTAATATAAAGGCCAAATGAATCACAACTGTAGAATAAACTTGTAGGGCACTTCAAAGCCAAACTCAATCATGATTTAAAAGCAAATAATATAGCCCCCGATTTTGCTTAAAGCTGTTCGCATTGCGTGTGCAAACCGGTCGTGCATAGTTAAATCTCTGGCCCGGCGTGATTTGGCGCCTGAGGCTGAAAGGCGTGATGTGTCATATCCAAATATGCAATTGGATGCCCAAACCGATGGATTTCCTTGGGTTTCCCTTTGAAACCACCCCAAGAGGGGTACCACGAAAAAAAGTGTTTTTTTTTGTTTCCCTTCAAACCATTAAATGGGGTGTCCCTTCCTTTTGGTTTCCCTTCATTCCCTTTTGGTTTCCTCCAGTTTCCCTTCAAACCCAAGTGAAAAGGATACACTACCATTAAAAACATACACACAAATGTGGTGCCCTTTGAGGGTGACAGGTATGACTCACATGGCGGTTTCCAACGTCCTTGTCTGGCACGCAGGGCACCAAGCAGTTTGCCACGGACCGGCACCTGAGTGCAACGGAAAAATGAGGTTCTGCAGGGATGCTCCCGTTCGCACGCACTTGAAGGTAGGTTGGTCGGAAAAGGGAAACAGGACCCAAGCCGATCGTTCTGCCCTGGTCGTCCCTCGCCAGCCATGTTCTTCTCATTTGCTCATCCCTAGCTGGAACAGGCTGAGTGCTCCAAGCGGGGCACGCGGCATGTTTCTGTTCGTGGGCATTTTTTTGCGGATTCCAAATGCCCGGTTCAATCCCAAGGATCTAATCCCATGGACGTGATCTATGAGCACACGATGAGGCCAAACTGATTTACGAACCATATTTTGCCTGGATGTGGATGTGGAAAGGATGTGTGATCCAGTGGGATGTCGAATGCGTCTTAAGACTGACAACCCCTTTGGTTTCCTTTTAACAAAAAAACCAAAAAGGGTACCGAGCTCCAAAAAAGATACACCCAACAAAAGTTGGATCAAGGCTGTCAAAACGAGGCAAATGATTCGGAAGTAGGACATGAGTTCCCTCATGTCCCTTAAATGGGGATCCCCCAAACTGGTGGCTTTCCTTCTGGTTATGGTTTCCCTTTGAACCAAGACAAATACACAAAGACAGTTAAATGTACCAAGACTACTGGAACACCTGACAAAGTCTTAGAGGGTTGAAGGATTGAAACATCAAGTAGTCGAAGCGGTGCGTGTTGGTTCAACAACCAACCGAGGACACCTAACCCAAGCGTTGGATGCTCCGCCTAGGTCGTACGGGGGATAAATCGAATCGGTGACATGGGGTATAGCCCCATTAACCAAACAAAGGCAAGTGGGCAGACCCCGGGCTAGCTGATGAATTCTTGCGCATTCCAGGAAGCTCAAACGGGCGGTTGGTAAAAAGTGATTTCAGATCAAGTCTTGCAGGCGTTTGGTAGAAGCCGGAGTCGCAAAGTCTGCTTAAAAAAAGATCCTAATAGTTGTTTCTGTTCAAACACTATCCAAAAAAATCACCCCAATTTGGACCCCCACCTTGTTTGCGCCGCTTGGGCATTGGGAAATGGCAGGAATCCTCCCCTTTCGGGTGAGAGTGTCTGGCTTTGAAAACTCCTGGAAGCTGCCAAAAGCGCATCGGGGTCTTACCTATCTGTCAAACTACTATTCACAAACCCGAAACAAGCAATCTCCAAGTAAGGGACCTTGGTGAGCGGGAAATAGTTTGTCCGAGGGGAGTCTCCCTGAAATTTGCTGGGTCATCCCCAATCCGTTCTTCAGTTGACACGGCTACTTGGAGGGCAAGTGGCTGCGCAGAATCACACTGAGTGCATGTGAAGTATTCTAAACCCCGCACGGGGAAAACATGAGGGCAGCTCCGTGCTTGACTTTCCTGCATCGAAACCTAGCGAATCTACCTCAAGCCCGCTTTGAACCTCCAGGGGGGAAGAACGCCTGCTGGTGACTCGGGAACCCCAGAAGGCCGTCCCAGGAAACCATCCTCGGCTCCTAGGCTCCATTGATACCCAACCGTCAGCTGGGCGTCCGGGCATGGGGCAAGGGAACTCCCCCCGCGACGTGTCCATGAAGAAGTGCTGGCCTTGCCCCTGGATGCGAACCACTCCTAAAATATTCACATATCATAAATGATGTTTCTTATTTAGCCTATCTTAAATTATGAAGTTTGGGAGGACCGGCCCAGAGATAGTGTCCAAAATAGGGGAATCGCGAAACTGGTGTTCCTCTTGCTTTTCCTCGAAACCAGCCAAAAAGGGTCGCCTCCCTCCCAAACAAACAAAAAAAGAAACAAACAAGCGGCGAGCTTTTCTTGGCGGGCAATGTCCATTTTAAGGGGGAGCTGTGCAAGCAACATCTGCGTTGTCTTTGTTTTGTTTCGTTTGTTTGGGGGGGGCGAAGGAGAAATTTACGGTTCCCAAGAGTCGGCATGAGCGTCCTCAGTGACTCATATGGGGCATGCTGTTGTTTTAGTTAAAAGGGAAAGCCAATATAAGCCATCAAGAGCCATAGTTAGTAGACCATCAGTTTCCTAAATGCAAACACATATGGCATGTTGCTCATTTTGTTTGTTTGTTTGGGGGTGCAAATTTTGAAGGAAAACAAGGGGACGGGGCCGCGGGTTTGATTGAGCCATTGGAGAGGGGAATATTATCCACCCCACTTGGGCGTGTTCCTTTAGGTTTCCCTTTGAAACCACGGGTACCAAAAAACATACACCCACTTTGCGCAAAATGCACTGGACATTTTGGGAAGCCCACAGCATGCATTAAAGCTTACATTTGCTCTTTGAATCCCCACTGAAGCTCACCTCGCGAGTCAATGTGGATTTGCCGAACTTAGGGAAAGGTTAAATACACCAAGTCATGGACCAGTTTCGTGGTTGACCCCGACGGATTCATCCATCCCAACTGGTGCAAAATGGACTTCGTCCACCCACATCAAAAAACAACAGCTACGAGCCGTTCGTCTCATCCGCACCTGGCTCCGCACATCACGAGAATGCGCTTCCCCGCAGGAGGCATGCACCATGTGTCGACAGGAGGTGAAGCGCGGGAAGCCTGAGGCAGCGCTTCAGAGAACGCCTCACCCTACGCTGAGGCGTCCGAATTCATCCGCACTTCTTAGTTTAAAGGGAAACCAAAAGGAACATCTTGTCATGTGGTGAGTTTCATGTTGGAGGGTGACTTCAAATGCTCCCAATTGGTGGTTTGGATTAGTTTGGAGGAAAGGAGAGTAACTTCCCCAATTGGTTTCAAAAGGCACTGGGGTCGAATCCCGAACCACCATTCCTTCTCCAAATCTCCAAATGTGGCTCGATATCACGTGGGATGTCAACCTAACCCTTCCACAAGGTCTTGCAAGGAAAACAAAAGCCGAGAAGCCTACATCGGCATGGGGGTTCCCTTATGAAACGTTGGAACTCCAACCACCTGAAACAAGGGAGGAGGGAACTGCAGGCTTACTTTCGCAAAGTTGATGTTGAAAAGCCACCCTGTAACGAAAACCAGGATCACTAACGCAAAGTCCACTTCGCACCAGGAAAGTGTGTTGCTTCCTCCACGGCTGCGATATGGATCTTCCGGCGCGACCAGATAAACCAGCTTGATTCTGGCAAACTGGAGCAGGACACAGTCATTTTCCGTTTCAACTCTTGAAGGGTGCTTTCATTGGTAAGCAAATGGACCTGCGGCATTCTTCTCAGCCCTTTCAATCGTTGATTGTTTTCTTTCCATGTGTTGTGCTTTTGTTCAACAATTGTCAGCTGTGAGCTTTTAGTTGTTTGATTCTTCTGGAAGGATCCATGACGGACCGAAGCGGGGTCGCACCAGCCTGGGCTGCCGCCCAGGTGGCTGGACTTGCCCTGGAAGGGCCCGACCTTCGAACAAGACTTCGGGATGCGACGCGGGACGGGTCCGGGTGTCGGGTCCTGGACCCCAAGGACTTGAAAACTCTTCGGATGTTCGTTGCCGAGCTAGCAAGTGGCTAGCGGATTGGAGTATAACACCCCAATAACAAGGTTAACCCCACTTAGGGAGACTCTCAAGTTGTTGATAACCAAGGTTATCAACTTACCAACTTGACAGACTTGACCGAACCCCAAGTACTTACAACATTTTCCCACTGTTCCTCAACCTGCAGAAACTGGGCTGCCAAACGGTTCCCAAGTTGAACGCTCGCAAGGTCACTCTCAAATCTTTCCAATGTATCTGGGCCTTCAATATTCTTTTCTGGGAGCCTTGCTGGAAACATGTCTTGCAGCCAAGAAGTGAGTTCCATCAATGGCACCCGGGGATCACTTCCAGCCATTCTTTGGAGGCCGACTCAGGAAAGGGAAAACCCTCATTGGGATTCGGGGTGAAACGGATCTGAACCTTTCAGATTCAACGCACTCGAGGGCGAAGCCGGGGTAGCTAGCAAAGATGACCAACCGTCCTTCGAATTCAGCGCAAGAGCCGGGGTATTTCCCTTTGGGGTACCTGAGCATCCCGCCGCTGCAAGCATCGTGAGGGGATCATCGGCTGTGCCAGCCTTCCGTGAGGCGGAAAACATGTGATGCAGGGCACGCAACCCCGCGCCAAATGCAGTAAAATTGGGTGGCTTATTCCACTCAGAGGGCTTCATCCATGCCTGCTGTAAGTTGTCTTTTCTATCCATCGTGAAATCCCCAACGACTTCAAACCAATTGGTGGTCATTTAGCACAAAACATGGCAAACCGAGTCCCTCCTGATTCTCCTTTTAAGCAAAACCTAGAGCACCCAAGCCCGGGAAAAAAAAGAAGTGTGCAAAATTACCGGGTATAAAATTGAGAACCAGGATTCTATAATCAGCACGACAAATACGGGGTTAGTACGGGTTAAATATGGGGGTTGTACGGCTTAAATACGGGGTGCAGTTTACAAACCGGGTTTTCTTGTCGAACCCAGGGTTTTCAGTAATACCAAGCGAAAAGCCGGGTTTTCAATCTACACCCTGCATTTCTTCGAGGTTCAGTCGCACCAGGCGGAATGAAATGGAGAAGCAGGATGTCCGAGGCCGCAAGGAACACCGACGGTGAGTTGGTCGCAAAAGGATGGGGCCCCCCGGTGGCCCTTTTTGGTATGCTTGAAGAACCGAAAGGTATCCTTGAACAAAGACACCCAAATGCTGAAAGCATCACTGAAAGATTCCCAACCAAACCACAAGAGATTCTATCGCCGGCCGCGATCGCCGATTCGCAACCCGGGCTCCAACCAACCTGTCACATTCGGGACCCCTAGAAATGGTTGCCTGAACCATCTTTATCAGTGATTCTCATTTTTTGGGGTAGTTTGAGGCTCCGAGTGGTTCCTTTGGCACTATGTCAAAAGAGGGAGACCCGCCAAAATGAAGGCGTTTCATTAGATTTCCTCTTTAAACCGTCAAGCAAGGAGCAGCCAAGCAACACGCAAACAAGCAAACAAGTAGCACGCAAACAAGCAAACAAGCAAACAAACAAACAAGCAAACAAGCAAACAAGCAAACAAGCAACCAAGCAACCAAGCAACCAAGCAACCAAGCAACCAAGCAACCAAGCAACCAAACAACCAAGCAACCAAACAAACAAACAAACAAACAAACAAACAAACAAACAAACAAACAAACACATACACATCTTTCTGCTTCCTTTTGAGCACCCAAAAGGCGGGCCCAAGCCAACTGTCGAGCCATACCTCGAATCCCAAGGAGCAGCTCTGCAAGCTGTGCTATGGGTTGGTTCTCGGGAAACCCGACCTTTGCCATGGGGGATGTTGAGAACCCTCCATTAAAAAGGGGGCTTTATTAGAATGCTCACTTCCTGAGTGGATTGGTCAAAACAAGTCTGAACTTCTTGTTTTTCCACTTCAAATGTACTCCAAAAACGTTTCAAGTCCAGCAACTCAGGGAGTGAGAATGCGAACTCAACCAACAAGAACGCCCTGTGTGTGTGGTGTGCGTGTGCGTGTTTTTCAAGGCTTCTAACCCCAGGCGAGTCGCTATAGTAGGTAACCCTTCGACACTTTCCTGGTTTGCAGGGTGGTGAACCCCTTGGTTACCTGCAAACAATGGTAAATCATTTGAAGGCAGGGGCCCTTGGTTATGAGCTGGTGCGATGGCGTTGCCAGCCAAATGGGTGAACACACACCCTTGGACTGCCCGTCCGGTGTGGGTCCACTCGACCCCGCACCAGCCCATCCCACACAGCAATAGCTTGCGGGCACCACCCTCAATCAAAAGAGGAACTACTAGGTCGAGGATACCCCACGAGGGTCCTCACCCAGGGAGGGCGGGTGGGAGAAAAAGACACAACGCCTGTGTATCTTGAGCCGAAGGGTCCAAACTACACAGGCTCCTTCCCTCTTTCAAATGATGACATGACACCAAGCCTGCCCAAGCCTGATCATGCAACCGGAATTACTGGCCTCAGCATCAAGATCTGGTCTGGGCTCAGCATCAAGACCTGGTGCTGACTGGGTCATTTGAATTACAATGGCCTATTTTGAGACAAAACCCATCTTGGCGTGTCTGTTTCTTGAAAAAGTGCCCCGTTTGTGCTATTTGTAAAGGAAAAACCAAAGGGAAAACCCACTCACATCGTTTTTTTTTGGCCCGCTCCTCGCCTCCCGGCAGGTCGCACACCTCGGCTTCGGTCGCTAAGGCAGCCCCTTGGGCGTAGGCTTTTCTTGCTGGTGCCATGGGCAGGGAATGAGAAATGGAACGACCCCGAAATAATCCATCCAACTGGGTGGCTTACTTTCAGAGTCCCTTGGTTCATTCCCACATTCCTCAGCACCAGCAAGCTTTCTGGGCTTCAGTCTCCCTGTCCCAGGGGGCTTTGATGGCGAAGTGGACAACTCAGCCTCCCAATAGTTCGATTTGCTAAGGCCTTGGAGAACGGGTTTCACCCTCTGCACGGTTTGCCACCTGTCTGTCCGCTTGGCAACCTACGCCAATGCCTGAAGTATTTCCGACCCAAGGACCTCTGCTTGTGGCATCGCATGTGCAACTCTGCAACTGCTCGCAGTCCTGCTGTTCAGGGGTGCTCTCCATTCGCGTTTGCTTCATGGTGGAACTTGTCTGTTCAAGGGGAAGCACGTCCCACGCTCATTTCACGCTATACAATGCCTGAAGAAAATACATATCCTGGGCTGTCCTTAGATCCCCTGCTAAAAGATGTTAGTGTGCTAAATGGAAAACCCCACTAAACACTAAGAAGCCAGAGGAAAGCTAAGGATGGCTGGGCGCCACCAAGTATCAGGACCCTGCTGGCATTGCTTTGCAGCTGTTTTCCGAGTACGCGTGGGTTACTCACTGCGCCTGACGTCCCCTCGACATATTGGCAAGTCAACGTCTATGGAAGGTTTGCGCACTTGACAAATTCCAGCTCCAGCTTCTTGACTGTAAAACGCCCAAACCGACTAAAATTTGATCAAACCGGAGGGGCGAAGTTCAACTTAAGCGGAAGGGCGGAAGGCCAGGGCTTTGGTTGCCCAACACGTTGATGGCGTCCTTTCAAGCGAACTTGGTTACGCAACTTGTTGCCTAGGGAAACCAACACGAGATGAACATGCTTCATGGGTTGCAATGGAACTGTTCGGCGGAATACAGGGGGGGAAGTAATTATGAAAAATTATCTTATCATGACGTCATTTGGTTCAACTCTGAATTCTTCCACTAGTTACGAATCGCCAACAGCCGCTCGTTCTGAAACGGGCCCAACCGCTGGGTCTGCTGCTGCCAAGCATCCTGGCATGGTCAAAACGGCAAGGTACCAAGCAAAATGCAGGAGGATGTGGTTGAAAACGCGGTTGCCATCCACCCCAGTCGTCTTCGTGCTTGAAATTGGGTGGCCGGATTCCTCGTCTTATATAACTGAATAAGCTACCAGTAATTCTGTCTGCTCACGCGTGCCTGATCGTCATGGTTGCCTGACTGACTCAGGATCCTCAAACTGATATTGGTCTGTGGCTTTGGAAGATCACCCCTCGGTGCCGACGTGGCGCTCACCGATCCGCACGAACTTTCTCAAACATGCTCGAACATGAAGATCACAGAAAACGCCGTTCAGGGCAGTGGGTCCTTTTTGGTCTTGTTTGCCAGGAACCTGACTGGAGGAAGTCGGGGCCTAGAAAAGGCGCTCCCGACTCCGGGCAAAAGATTTGGCCCAAGGGACGAGGGGTGTATCATCAGGGGGTCAAGAAACATCTCCAAGCCTGTCAAGCATCTGGAATCTTTTTTCAAGCTGGGCACGACACTGGTGGCAGTTTCTCTTTAGCCTTCCATGTGGACATGCGTTGCACTGCGAGCAGGCGTACTTCCTGTTGCCATGCACACACCCGCAGCACTGCATGCAACGTCGCTTCACATTGCCGTGCGGACACGGGTCGCACTTCAAGCAGTCACGCTTCAATTTGCCGTGTTGACATGCCTTGCATTGAAGGCAATATCGCTTCTCCTTGCCATGCGGACAGGCGTTGCACTGTCGGCAATTTTGCTTCAGTTTCCCGTGCGGGCAGCCGTAGCACTGCACGCAGCTTCTCACTATCTTCACATGTGGGCAAGGGCTGCACTGTTTGCAGTTCTGCTTCACCTTGCCATGAGGGCAGCCAGAGCAAATGCGACAAGACTGCAACTCGCCATGCTCGCATCTCTTTCTTTTCCCACCTGTGCTTCGCTTGACTTCGGTGTCATCTGTTGCAGAAGCAGCTTGCGAAATGGCACCGGAGCAAGCAGCAGCGGTGTTGAAACCATCACACTTCGCCTGTAACCGAAGCCAATGCTTTTGGCTGGCAACCAAGCTTTCCCTGTCCAACAGCTCCTGGAATTTCCGCAAATGGCCCTGCAAACACTGCAGTGCAGGGGCCACTGAAGGTGCCGTCAAATCCAAGGTACCCACAGGCATTTCAGTACCAGTTTGCGAAGACGGGCTTGCAAATCTGCACATACTGACAGCTCGCTGTGAGAGGAACAGCTGAGCGCTGTCTTGCCTTTGCATCGGGGCGCCGACAAGGCAGCCACAGCACGGCGCAGAATCTTTTCAAGAGTAGCAGGGTCGTCCGATTCTTCCCATTCCTGCTCCAATTTCCTGACATAGGATTCTCGAGCCCCATTCGCTAGCTGGTCCCAAGTCTGTGGGCGGCAAGAGCTCGTCGATTTGGCCAAGCAACGCTCCCAGGGAGCCAACGCCAGTGCTGCAAATGCGTCGCACAAGTTCCAAAATCGCTGTCAAGTGCGTGCAAAGCGTAGCGATGAAGCACCACTTCGGCTTGCTTCTCTTGAAAGCGCTTGGCATGATACCTGACTCTCTCATCTTCCAGCGACACAACAGCAGCGAGGCCAGCCGCTGAGCTGCGGCTATCAGCCATTTGCCCAAACCCGTGCTGACCCAGAAGGATTCTAGTCAAGCGATACACAGGATCATGGCGATTGCTTGCAGGGACATAGGCTTGTACCAAGAATGGCCACAACCTATCTCTTCCCACAGAAACCCGTGAAGTCAAGCATTTTATAGATTCTGAGATGGATGGGGCCAAAAGCAGAGGTCACCTCGTGTTGGATGGGGAAACCGCCTGCCAGGGCTCCGTTGGCTGGGAACACCCTGCTTTGGGCCAACCAACTTGCTGATGCTCAGTAAGGAATGACCTTCCGGTGTTGGGAATGAAGCTAGGGATCCCCTTAAAGGATTCCACAGGGGATAGTCATTCCATTTCTCATTCCCTCCTGAGCACCAGCAAGCTAGGTAGCAAGTCTTTAGTGAATCCTGATGATTGTTACGTATTATCCCAGCTGTCCCGCGAACGACCAAACTGGGGTCCTCAAACTACCAGAGTGGCTCACGCTCGGGTGTGGCATGAGTGTTTGTCGATGGTGTCTTCTGTCGTTCTAAACCATGTTGCTCTTTCCAGAAGCATAGCACATGTTTGCTTGCAGCATTGAGGTAGTTCAGGGTTCTACCTGGGCAGCGAAGCATTAGAACATCTCCCCTGCACAGATTGAAGCCTCACCTGCTTGGGCCTTCTTGTTCCAAACCGCTGCTCCGAGGGACCCAAGCGGGGCCAAAACAACTCTTTGACACAACGAAACAACACGGGGGGGGGGGGGGAACTACAAAGCTGGAGGCAACTTCCAAGGGGGTTCGCTCAGTAAGAGCAGGCTTCACCGCTTGTTGATGTTCCCCAAGTGGGTGTTTCTTGGACGCCAGCCAACTGAAGCATTATCGCGTTCCAAATGGTAACCATGGTGAAGGGCTTGTTCTTTAACGAGAACCACCTACTTTAAAACCCCCTTAACCTGTGGCTCAGATTTTACTAATTGAGTTCTACTCTATCATGGCCATGGCAGCACGACTCAAAGGGTTGTTAGAAACTGCCAACAATTGGTTCGACCCGTTTTGGCCCGAAAACCGGTGGAGAGCAGCTTCCCAGAGGGTTCCACGGGATTTCAGGGCTGTTGGGGATGGACAACCTATAGAGTACCTGGGCCCATTCTTAAACGGGCATCCTCAAAAAAAACCGCAAAAGGGCGGGACATGTTGCGCGATTTCCCCCCATCCCCCAAATGGACCATCGACAGGAAACTTTCGCCGGAAGACTCCCATCCTGCCTCGACGACGGAGTCGTCCTCGCCTGCGTCAGGACGCTTTCCCCCAAGGAAACTCGCTTCAACTCCACGGGGTGAAACAACTCTTGGGATACCATGAACAGCTTGCGGCGTTTGGCTGAAGAGTTCTGCGACATCTGCGTTTTTGTTTGGAGGGTGCCCGTAAATAGAGTGTTTTTGTTTGTTGGTTTTGTTTTTTGTTGTAATCAGGAGCACCCACTCCCATCCAAAAGCACAAGTTGCTCGTGTCTGGGTGGCTTCCAACGGGACCGGGACATTCCTTGACATTCCTGGTTCAATTATCCTGCGGTTCTGACGTTCGGGGGGGTTCTGGTTTGGACCATTTTCCTTTAAAGGGACGTCAGGTTCCATGTTAATTGGTGGGATGGTGAAAGCCCTTAGGGATTTGTTTTGTGAATCAAGGAAAGGCCCTGAAGAAAGGAATAATCACCCAACTGGCAAGGACTCATATGTGAGCCGCTCGCAACGTGATGGTTTTTATTTGGACTGCGCACTTTGGCTCTCGGTGTCAAAGTGGGTGCTGCCTTCAAGGTTTGGAAACCAGACCCCTGGCGCCCCCCACCCATCCCCAATTAAGAAAGGAACCAAAAGCTAAATAGAAAAACGGCCAGTTTCCTGATAACCATGGCGACAGCTGGGTAACCACTGCTGGGCATGATCCATTGACGCGGGTGAGCATGACATGAAGGAGGAGTGCCGCGCCCCAGGGTCATTTTTGGGCCTTCCGGGCACCTTCCACGCTTAAGTCATGGACAGGTGTGACGTGTAAGCACTCAACACCTGGTTTGGTTCTAAAGGTGAATGGGGGCAGTGAAAAACAAAAAAAATGGGAATGCGGGTATCTGCCTTGAGTCTTCTGTTGTGGACTACTTCGAGTCGCCAGGCCTTGACGCTGTGTTTTTGGGTGGCTAGGAGGGTCTTGACAAATCAAAAAAGTATCCATCCCTTAGTTTACTTTGAAGGAGATTCGCAAACCCGGCAAATAATGAACAGGGTGGTCTTCCTGCTCTTCTCTTGTTGAAACGAAAGGGGTACCCCAGAAAAACCACAGACATATTCCGCAGATGGGATCAGCTCCCACCTTCGATGTCGAGGCTCTGTACCGACTCTTTCTGCTGCTGCTGCATTCTCCGCATCAATGCCTCCATGTGGGTCATGGGGGGACGGACAAACATCGGTTGCCCTAACGCATGCAGACAAATGAGCGAGTTGCCATTCTTGGATGGACAATTGACTGGGATCCTCAAAGTGCCGACTTGCAAAATTCATACCATGCTGAGCACTTTGGGTGACTCGTCAAGTTGGCGATGTCAACATCAACTTTTGTTTAATGTCCTACTAAATGCCCTGTTTGGTTGAGCGTTGCAAAATACAGAAGACAAACTGTGTTGTTGCAAACCACATAATACAAAGTGCAACTGTGCCGTTGCAGGCGCGCAAACCTGCTGCATGACGCCATTTGTTGCAATGGTCATGCAATGGTCACCAAGCGGTTGACTGCTTGCGGATGTCATGTGCTGAGGGGGGGGCGGCATTTGAAGAAAGACGTTCACGAGTTAGATTCTCCCAGGGCAGCTCTCTGTGCTTCCGTGAGCTGTCCGGCCACTGCGTTTGTATCTGATGTGACGCTTGTTTACACATGGGAGGAACACTGGCCGTGGTTTTCGCATTGCTTCAATTAAGTGCTCGCGTGGCATCGCGCACGAAAAATGGCGCAGCGCAGACCTTGGATCGATCCGCGGGAGGCGGCGGCTGTTTGGGCACAAGGTTCCACTGCCTTCAAGGCGTTCTGCTGGCTCCCAAACAGTTCCGCTGGCGCATGGAAAACAAAGGCGTTTTTTACACCCAGGCAGTTTCAAGCGCTTTTTTCTGGGGCATGTACTTATCAGCCCAGAAAACAGCAATCATGTTTTGGAAGGCCATGGCAGGCAATATAAACTTCCATCCATAGTAAGGGGCCAAGGCAAACCCGCTTTCCAAACGAAGTTGCCCAACATGTTGTGGAAATGTTTAGGTGAAAATGCAGCCTCTACTTCGGAGGCGCCTCACATGCCCCAAGCCGTTGCTAAACCTCTAGACAATAGGAGGGCCTCTATTTCAGCCCCAATGCTTTCAGATCCGATAGGTTCTTGGAACCTCTGAATTGTTGGAAGCCCCAAGAGGTGGTCCAGGTTTATCTGCGGTTTGCTCAGGGATCTATTTTTAGGTTACTTAGTGAAATGGAGGGTCCAAACATACGTTCGATTCGCTTTTGGAGAGACAAACTAGTTCACAAGTGGCAGCTCAAAGTAAGGAAAACAACAAGTTGATTTCGATAGCCAAAACTGACTCGTTGAGTTCACTTGGGCCAGGGAATGCTTCCCTCAAATTGGGTGTTTGGATTGGTGGTTTGGTGGTTGAGTGGCTTCCCATCTACCCTCTTTTGTTGAGCCAGGGGTTCAAATCCAAACCCAAACCACCCATCCAGGTCCCTACAATGAAAACACAAGTCAGCAACAAGCCGGGTCCGACCCTTCTCGGGTCTTGAGCATGTGTTTTGGCCCGGGCAGTCGGGAGGCCGAAGGGTGAGGAACGACCCCAAAGAAACAGGGGCTCCCCAACCCAAATCCCCTTGAAAACATTGGCCCAGCAAGCGAAACAAGACAACTCACCCAAACGAGCCAACAAAGTGATGCTCAAAAGCCACCAAACAGACAAATCGAGGGACCGGACCATGAGTGACCCCTACATGACCCCACCCAAATCTGCGCTTCAGTCAACCCCCAAATTTCGGCATCGTTCCTGCTGGCGCTGGCGCATCTGCTCCATCCGCTGCCTGAACCCGAGATCCAGCGAATCGGAGGAACGCCCAGGTAATTCGCGCGCACGCGTGCATGCGTGCACCCCATGTGCACTACAAACAAAAATAGGGAACTTCCCAAACGGGCAAAATAGCAGGCACGCGTTTGTTCGTGATTGATTTAAGGGGCGTCATAATGGCAGGCACGCGTTTGTTCGTCATTTATTTAAAGGGTGTCATACCATTATGAATCATAGGTCGCTCCGGTGACTACTTTATCACGTTGAAGGGGTTCTTTTCTTGGGATAACAGAAAATGGCAGCGTCAGAGACCATGTTGTCCACAACCGTGCCAGGTTGGCTCCTTTTTCAAGCGAACCCCACCTCTTCCGTTGCTCCGGCTCCGCATCCACTGCGGTGGGCACGTCTCAGTCAGCCAAAACGGTGCGCTTGAAATATCCAACACGCACCTAGCCCATTTCCCTGTCTACTGGCCACCCAACAAACCACCCTTCAAAAAGTTAATTCATGTCCTGCTGGCCTCCTACGCCCTTCCTCAAAGACATTCAGTGAGTTTGTCGTGCGTTGGGGGTGGGTTTTGGGTGGGTTCGTTTGGCGTGCGTTTGGGGTTCGCTTATGGGTGGGTTCAGTGTGGGTTGGGACTTAGTGTAGGTTTTGGCTTGGTGTGGTGGGATTTGGGTCATTTGGGTGGGTTTGATGTGGATTGGTTTCGTGTGGGCTTGGGGTGGGTTTAGGGTGGGTGGTTCAGTGTAGTGTCCCCCCCGGAATCCACAGAAAGGCTCCAACCAAAGCGTCACTGCGTTCTGCAAGCAACATGAAACATGAAAGCAACACCTTTAGAGTCTCCGCCCCCCAACTACGCCGGCACTGTTGACTTGAAGTCGTGTACCTTGCCTTCAAGCTGCATTCTGTCGATGAAGAAATACGATCTCGCCAACTTAGGTTAAAGGTCTATGCCGTGGAGTTAAAGCGACTGTCCATGAGCACCCGACACGCTTCTAGGAAAAACTCACATATGAGCTGCTGACACAAATGCACCCAGGATGTCGTTTTACGGCGGGCACATAGCGTTTCTGTGTCGGTTCTGAGTGTGTCGGTTCAGGATAGGCCCCTATCGGCTTCTCAACTAAGAAACTGTCAGCTGGTCGCGCAAGCAACCGGCGCAGCGATTGGTCGGTTCTGCTCCAAAAAAGCACGAGAATACAGTAGATCTTATATGGTTACCCGAAACTCTTGTTGCCTGAGTTCCCAAACTCAAACCTGCCCATCTCAAAGCTTCGGCCAGCCCCTCGAACTTCTCTGGCAAAAACAGCTTCGGAGTAGATCGCCAATAGCTCCAAGAAAACACACACTATGCCATAAATAGCACCAAGGGTTTTATAAATAGCTCTGAGAACATTTAAACATGTTATGAATAGCTCCAAGAAAAAAAAGAAGAAACAAAAAACACAACCTAAATATTGTATAAATGGCTCCTGAGTCTTTGTAAATAGTTCCTTTACATGAAAGTACAAGCCCCGGATTTTATAAATAGCTCTGGTGGATGTTTGTAAAGTGATGCATTGGTTAACAAGATCAAGAGAGGAAGCAAATAGGTGATGAGACAAAGGGAACGCATGAAAGACAATCTTGAAACATACCGGACTATTAATAAGTTGGTCTAGCCACATGTTCATGAAACAAATATATTGAGATTAGAGCATCTCCAGCTTCAGCATTCGTGTATCAAGGCACACAAAGGGTGGCGGGGCGGGGCGGGGCGGGGTGTGGTGTGGGGTGGGGTGTGGGGTGTGGGGTGGGGGTGGGGGATGGCGTGGGGGGTGGGGTGGGTGGGACAGTAGGGTAGGGTGGGTTGTTGGTGGGTTTGCCAGGTGGTGCTGAAACTCCAGCAGGCGAGAAAATCCAATTGCCAATCCAGCGGGAAAACAAAAGCATAAATAATACAGCCCACCTATATCCGTCCTAACCAATGTGACCCACAACCAGCCCAAACTGAAAACAACAACACTCAAACAGATTTGGTGTACTTGGGGGGTAGGAGCAATTGTATGACATTGATAGGGGGGGGGGTCCTACTTGGCCGCCCTCTGTTCTAAAAAGGATTATAAACCCATGGTAACCCCTTTTGGAGGTGTATTTCCACAACAAATTGACTTTTGGTTCTGCTAAAATGTGTAAAACATAGTTAGCCCATAACACCCATGAAAACAGGTAGAACCACATGCCAAAATGTCCCTGCTTGAGAATCGGCGTTGTGCGCTACTCATTCAACTGAAAAGAGGTGGCCAGAGATACTGGGGATCTCAAAATCTCAACATTAACCCCCAATGGCTGGAATCCTTTTGGCTTCCCGAAGCAAGCCCAAAAAGTGCAATGTGAACCTGGGAAAAATGCACCTGCTGGTTGATACACTTTTGAAGCTGTTCCTCTTTCCAAGCCGCAACTTTGGGCAGGGGTCAAAAATATACGTCGCAGGGGAAGCCCTAAGTCTTCGATCGGTGTCCCTGACCACCCAAACAAAGGCACGCCTCAAAAAGCACACCAACCCAGAACCATCGACCAGAATCCACTCGTTCGGAGTTTCCGAGCCAGGTGCCGATGGAACGTAGTTTTTCTTCAAAAATGGGCTGGGGAGCTAAAGAGAACAATGGGAGGATGGAGAATCAACCTCTAGCAAGATGGATTCACTTTCATTTGCTCAAGTCCCCAGAAAAAAAAGAAAACACAGACATAAACATAAGCATACGTCCAGCAGTGATGCATTTCCCTGAAACCAGGGGAAAATAAAACATATTCTGAAACGCACATGGGCCAACGATGCAGAGAATGCAAAATCAACACCTCCAGTAAGATTGGTGGGGCTTTCCCATTTACCCGAGTCACATTCTCAAACCGGCCAATCCACATTCAAACCGCCAAGGGACCAATCCAAACCAATCCAACGTGCTGCAAATCTCACCAATCCAAACCTGGAGGTGATGGCTGTCATCCCAGGTGTTCATTGCACCCAACTCTCGGCTCCGGGCCCGAAAAGCCCAAAGCCTGCCACCGCTCCCGCCTCGGCTTGTGGGTTGGACGCTCAAAATGGGGGGGGGATGGACACTTAGATGTTTGTGCTGCAGCCAAGAACCCTAAAAAGCAAATACGGAACAAAAAAAAACAGGTGGTTGTAAAATACACCTAAGTGCCATACCGGGGGTGGGGGGGGAGGGGATTCCTCCGGGTAGGTGTCCTTTGGTAAGCCCTTGAACACCATTCGGCTTTTCCGTTCTTTGAGGTCTAAAAGCCAGTTGCTTCCAAAAGGAACAAACACCTGTGGGCGAAACCCATGGCATTGAGGGCTCTTGAACTGAGCATGGTTTTGGCGTCCATTTTAAGACCATCCAAACAGGATCCCCTATGTTGAAACCCTTGCTGGTTCGATAGAGAACAGCTTGGAATCATCCCAACAAAAACCATCCCTGGTGTTGTCATAGGCCATCCCGTCCTGGTTCACGCTGACCAGCCAAATGAAGCTGAGCCACACACACACACACACAAACGCTCGCCTCATGCTTGTCAACGAGGCTGACGCGAAAGGCCCGTTTTTGTGTGGGCCATCGCAACCCTGGCTTTTGATTTAAGGTCAACATTAGTCACCACCAGGAAACTGACCGCAGATTTTAGTCCATGTTTCCATTTACGGCAACCCAGTTTGGGGTTGCCCAATTTTCGACCACCACTGCCAAATACAGATTTGGGTATATGGCAAGAATCAATACTTGCTCAACGCAGGCTTGAGTGGTTGTTGCTGAACTGAGCAAGGCCCACACGTTGACGTTTTCTACCAACACTGTTGGCTGTTTATTTGCAATTGTTTGTTCTTTCACAAGTTCCTTCAATTCTTGGACCTCCATATCATGAGCACTATTGTTCTCCTCACTTACGTCATTTTCATGTAGGCCCGGTAGAACCTACGGGAATGGCCCTGCGGAACTTTGGGCGCTTCTTTCTGGGCTTCGGTACATCCTGACTGTCCCTACCAATCTCGCATCTTTTGATGGCACATCTGCGAACCAGGCCGATACTTTGGCCAAAAGGGAGCTTGGGCCTGGCACACCCCCGCTCCTTTTCCACCTTTGATCAGTTCGGGCCAAGTGGGTACGCTCCATAGGGTAACCCCTTTCTTATAATTTTCCTGGTAGAATTTACCCTCCCCCTCCATATGGAACAAAAAGTGCAAAACCTGAAATGAATAACTACCAGACCTACCTAACCTCCATATAATGTTGCAAACATCCTGCCATACAATCCACACGAATTCTTCAAACATCTTTCTAAATGACATTTGAGCCTTGTCTCACACTAAGAGAACCTCCCTGTCGGTGTCCCTCCAAAAACAGGGTACCCCCCAAACAAAGAAGCGGCACACCCACTTGGGTGTGCCTTTCTTCAGGGCTACCCCCCCCCCCAAAGCAAAATGTGGCTTTCCGTTGGGTTTCCCTTTAACCCAGCCAACCGGAGGGTTCCCTCCGGTTGGAAAAACCCGGGCAGCGCCGCGCCCGTTCGCGCGATTTCGGGGCCCGCGGCAGGCGCTGCGGCAGCATCTTGGCATTGCAGGCCCGCGCCAGCACCGGGTTCTGGAGCTGCGCCTGGGCTCTGTGTCGAGAGGCCTCTGGGTTCTACCGCCTTACTAGATCCTCCAGTGAGGTTGGAATAAGGGTACCCGATTTTTTAGCCAAGCACCCGCAACAACAAGCTCCTTCTTGATCTTCATCTTGGTGTCAAATGGGAATTGGCCATTTAAGGGCCCAGTTTTTCCAGGACCAACATCAGGGCAGGGTTTCCGAGCCGTTGCCTGTTGGACACCACCAGTACGTGGATCAACTTTTGATGTGGGGAATTCCAGTGACCCCTGCTCTCCGTACGGCTTCTCACAGCTTTAAGCTAAGGGGACAGTTTGGGGTATGGCCCTTCCATGTTTGAGGAATACATAGGTTTCACATATAAGCCCAACGAAACCAGGTAGCTCTACCATGGCTGAGGTTTCAAAGAGAAACACCTCGAGGTGTCGTGGGTTTCCCAAACCGTATCCGGAACACATTTCGCCATGGAAAGCCACCTTAAATCTTGGGGTGTTTCAGTCAGGAAGGTTTATCCATAGGTAGCAACACCACCCACTGAAGCGGCCTGAACGAGGAGTCAAAGGGGTGTGGGAGCATCCCAAGCGTCGAGCACAATGTCGATCGCCTTCGGTAGCAATTTCTGTCCAAAAGGTCAAAGGGAAGATTCGGTCACCAACCAAAGGGTGCTCTTCAAAGGGAACCAAAGGAAAACCGAGCTTTTGAGATCCATTTCCAAATCATGAGACACATCTGGGCTTTTGTTGTTCCAAACACCACACCTGGACCCTCGAACTATCTTAAACAAGGGACATTGCCCTAATTTGTTGAGCACATCCTCCATTTCTGATGGTAGTTCGAGGGCCCAATCACTTTTTCGGCATGATGTCGGCTGCCTAAGCAGCCTTCTTCTCCAAACACTACTCTCAACAGGGATCCTTACATTATACGCCTGAACATTGCCTTGTAAATGGTGGTTTCCCGCTATTTTACTGGAAAATACCATGTTTCAAATGGGCGAAATGTATGGTCTTTTAAGGAGCCCTGCTCAAATCAGCGGGGATTTGGAGTTGGGGCGTGATCTAAGGTTGGAACCGACCGGACATGCGCGACCGAAAGCCAAAAGCCGCCACCCACATTGCGGCGCTCTGAGTGTATCCTAGCTTCCGGACCGGAAGCTAGAAATCCCCTTCCCGCATCCTGAGGCACTATGTGAACATAAATCGTCTGCAGTGGCACCTGCCATCCGCCTGCCAGCTGCTGAACCTAGGTCAAGTTCTGCATGTCACCGGACCACTCGCTCTCCTCTGTGCCATGGATCGTTGCAAAGTGCTCCACCACATGCTTATAGTCAGCCTCAATGTGGCCGGGCCTGCAAGACTGGTAGGCAACGAACCGCCAAACTACCAAACACCGCCCGCGTGTATGTTTGTTGTTTCCCTTTGAACGACCAAAAAAAGGGGCGCCTCAGAGAACGACACATCGGCTTGGTTGAATGGGTCATAAACTTCTTAAATGAGGTCTGGGTTTACACCCATGAACAAGTCGTAAGCCGGCTGCTGTGTGTTCTATTGAGGGCATCCGGGCCACGTTTTGACGAACACCCGCTCTGCATAAGAGAACGCCGAGTTGATTCATCCGGAGGGATGAGAAGGTACAGCAAACCAACCGACCGACCGACCGACCGACCCACCCACCCACCCACCAACCAATCAACCCACCAACACCGAAGGGGAGATTCCTTGGATTCGCCCACCTTCCCCGACCAAAGATGACGCCTCGCTGAGCGACTCGAGGGCCGTCAAGATGGCCTCAAGAACACGGGCCGAGACCAAAGTCGTGAGTCATGATCAACACCTGGTTGCAAAACGCTGTACATGGCTGTACCCAAAACCATGCAAATAATCAAAAGGGAGGCCACACCCAATGTATGGTTGTCAGGGTTTACTGGTGGCTTAACTGGGGCTGGCTTGAGGGCAAAGCTAGCGCGTCTTCACAACTATAGCCAGGAAACGGATTCCCTTGATCCTCGAGGTACCGTTTAGAAGGGTATCGGCATATTGCCCTCAAACAACCGGGGCCATACGGGTGGGGAAACTACTATATTTCACAAAAAGGCATCCTCAAGTAAGGGAGGTGAGATCATGTATTTTCGGGGGAGCTCCTGACCTGAGAAGAATTGCCCCATTTCCAGGGTTCACTTGAGGCCACCCATATGCTCCACAACCCCGACTTTGTCTGACCTACAAAAGCAAACAAAGCGCCTGCCTTGTGCCGCGGTACCGGCAGCTCGCCCGGAGGTCCTTCGCGCGTCACCCCAAATGGAGGGTCACGACGCAGAACTTTAACGAGGGCGTCGAAAGGTGCCCAACATCGTTGGAGAGACTTCGTGGGTTTTGAGGGTCTAGCTTGATGGCTCGTTTCTAGCTTTGACACGTTTTTCGTACTCGATGCATGGGCATGTTGACTGAACTTGAGCCATACAATCAACACGGCATGACTCTAAGCAAACGCATATAAGGATTCAAGAGAGAGCAGCACCCATTCTTGGTTGGGACATTCCCCCTAATTACTCTCTGATCAGTTCTGATTGGGTCTCGCACGTGAGGGCTATTCGCAAAAGATAGGGTTTGGGACCAAAGCAGGGTGCTCTTTGATGTTTCCTTCTCAAGGAAGGTCACAGGTCACAAAGGGTCCAACAAGAACACAAGGCATCCCAGGTTTCAACAATTCTCCTGTGCTTACGCTGGTTGTATTGTAGTTCTAAGCCAAGGAAGGCAGCAACCGGTCGTACTATCCATACCACGTGCCTCTTTTAGTGAACAGGGCCTCACTGTTCGCATGGAAATCTCTGAAGGCCCTCATGCACAAGTCCGAGTCCTGTCGATTGGCTCTCCATGGCGATATCGAGAGCCTTGATCCCAACTCCCCCCAAAAGCTGTGGTACGAAGAGGCAATTGCTGGTTCCTTGGTGGTGTTTTTGACTTTGTTGATTGATGTGCGCATGTTAAGTTTTTGCTATCCTGGCTTAAAACGGTCCCAAAAGGGGGACATGGAAAAGGAGTCGATTTGCTCTGGGCCACTGAGAAGCTGCAAGTAAGCCTACCATGGAAGGTGCGGAATCCTCGAGTTGCATGTCGCTATAGGACTTCGCGGACACGTTTGCTGTCAGAGTAAAAGGGCCGGGCTCGGTTCAAGCGCTTGAACCGCTGCAGGCGTTGGCAGAACTCCTGCACTCACTCTCGCGAAGGGCATCAACTTGGTCCTGAGCGACATGGCATGGCTGACAAATTTCCTAGGCTGGAATCAGGCCCCCAGCAAAAAATATATCTTTTTTGCCTGGTTAGTGGAAAACAAAGGGACCCAAAAAAAGCAAAAACACAACAAGGGGAGCTAATTCTGGGGAAGAAACGGCCTCCGAAATCGCCCCTATCGGAGGTCACACAACAATTGATGGCCGTTGGGAGAGTCCTGGACCAGAAGGATGATCGCATTTTTCAGCACCCCAACACCAGCCAGGGTGGTGTTGCGGCTCACCCTCAAGCTACCCTGAAACACGGGAAAGCATCCGAACTAACGTCTGGAAGCTGTGTGATCTAGACAAAGGCTGGAGAAAGAGCAAGGTAAATGTCTACTAGGCTGGCAGGCAATCGTTCTTTTCTTCTTCGTCTTCTTCTTTTTGTTGTGTGTAACTGATCTCTGAGGCTATCACTTCTGGGGACCCGGTTTTCTGTAGCCCAACCTGTCTTTGGCGCCCATAAGCCAAAAGAAAAATGGAGGTCAACAACCCGGTTGGGGGAGGAAAACAGGGACCCCCTGCTGAGCATGCCATCAAATAATTGAAACATGATCTCTGGAGAGCGCGCGACGCGCGCTCTAACTGTGCTGGCAGTGGGGATCCGACTCGGCTAGTTGCGGCTGGTAGCACCACCACCACCACCAACACTGCGGCAACAACTTCTTCTGCTGCTACTGTTGATACTGGCATCACCGCGACTAACTACTGCCAAGCCTCTGCTACTGCTAATTACTGCTACTGTCACTGCTACCGCTGCTGATCCAACATCATCACCACACCATCCTCCTCCAGTTCGTTTTCGTTTCCTGGTTCTGTGGCTACTCACTGCCCTATTGCTCCAACTGCATCCCCCTGCCGCACACGAGCAACGCGTGGAACGCGCTCGGTGAAACATGTGAAACGAACCAGCCGCGCTCCACGAGGCGGGCGCGTCGCGTGGTTTTGCGCATGAACGGCCACGGGTTGGCCTGGCCCTTGTGGCCGCGTGGCTCACTTGGCCGCCGCATGCTTTGGTTATAAGATCTGGGTAAAAAATCCAGTGAACCCATGTAAAACCAAGGATTAGGAGCTTTATCAGCCCGTTTAGAAGGTGGATAAACCCAGAAAATCCCATTTAGGCGGATTCTAAGCCCATTTACAACCACAAGGCAGCCAAGTATCCCTCAGAGGGGGACTCCAGGGGTCTCCTGCAGGCTTAGGCCTTGAGGCGACCAAATTGCCCAAGGCTTGGGAACCCCACTTCAATCGGAAGCTTGGGGCAACCTCCCCTCATCACCAATTTCCACGGGGGCAACTGGGGCTGTCCCCCTCCCCCGGTCGATTGGCACCCTCAGTTCAATTTGTCTCACCACTCACAAAGCTGAGCTTTGGGTTCTGAGCCCGGCCGAGACATCTCCAATTCCCGCGAAGGCTTTCGCGCGGCCGTCGCAACATGAGAGCTTCGGTTCGAAGGTTCTGATGAGGCAACGGCGTGCGCGGGAGTGAGGAACTGGATTGAAGAGTGTTCTCGCTTTCGCGATCTTTCGCGGACCTGAGAACTACAAATCGCACTCAAATAAGCCCTTTCGCCGCCTTTTTGCAAGTCCGATTTCGCAAACCCTTTCGCTGCCTAGGAAGAAGGGTGTTGCAAAGAACATCATCTCACAACCCTAAGTTTCAAATGCCCCACTGACGCTTGGGTGCATGATATGCGTCCAGAATCCCGGATTGCCCGTTTGGTTTTCGTAATGGAGGACCAGCCAAAGGCAGCTGAGTGCCGGGAAATTGGCTACAGGTTTTCCTCGCGCTCAGTCGGCTCCGAGCTGCTTCCTTCGGTCTCCTGTGCCCAGTTTGAAGGGTACTTTCTTCGGGTCCGGGCGACCTTGGTTTGCCCGCCTTAACGCGAGTTCCCTATGTTGCTATGAGTTGATGCTTCATTCTCTTCACCATGCTTTTGTTCATAAACCGTCCGCCTTTTTTTCGGTCGTAATTAGGGTTACAAACCCAGCAAGGTGTATAACCCCATGCAAAGCCAAACGCGGCCAAGTACAAAGGGAAAGGGCCAAGTCTTTTTGCAACTCGAAATGAACCAGGGAGATGAATATTGACTGCAGTTTGAGAACGCCAAATCGTCCTTGTTGCCAGGGCTGAGCATAAGCCATAAATCCTAGCATGGGCAGAAAAGACTATCGTCTTAAGAAGCTCTCTGTGGTTTCCCTTCAAATGGGGCTCGGGTTTGGTTGTTTAAGACCTCGAGGTTCGCTTTTGGGCAAGCAAAGAAGCGAGAAGAAGGGGAATGGGGGCAGCCATTCCCAAGTATTCCCTGCTAGACCAAAACGCGTTCAAGCCAGTCCTTCTTGGCCAGTCCTTCTTGGCCGCCTATATTTGGTTTTTAAGTTAAAGTAAATGGTTTATAAAACCTCCAAAATCCCAGGGACTTACCTAATGGTTTATAACCTAACCATGAAAACTCTCAAGGGAAACCTCCAGAATCTTGCTCGGTTGGTTCGGTGGGTTCATTTGGGTGTCTGGAATCCATGTGCCTGGTAGCTAGGATGTGGTGCTTTAATCACTCGCAACCTGCTGCCCCATTGTTTCCAAGGATCCTGGTTTCCAAAACCAGTGATTTCTGACAAGAAACCAGGAGCCACCCTGTAATGTGTTAGCTAAAAACAAACACACACACACACACATGGTGGCTTCTTCTCACTTCCTGAGATCGGCCAAACAAGTCCACACATTTTGTTCACCGCTAAGATGACCCCGAAGAACAGAAAGCAACTCAGCAACTTAGACTAGAGCAGCGAAACGCCCCCAGCCACTGGGATGGAGGACCTGTTCGCTCTAGTTTCCTTCATCCCGAAAAGCTCCTCGGCACGTCGACTCGTCCAGCACCGGACCTCGCATGGCAAGAGCCAATCGTGCCAGCCACCCATTTTGGGATACTGGAAAAACAACTGGAAATTGGAAACCTGGGGCATTGCACCCCAACAAGATTGGTGTACTTTGCCCGAATGCGTAGCAGAAAGGTTCCCGTTATAGAAAGGGATCTGGGGGTTCAGTGTGTGTTCACGAGATGCGTGGCCGCGTCTGCAAGCGTTCGCAGGCGTCCACAAGTGTTCGCGGGTGCTCCCAGGTGGCAAAAGTTGGCCGTGACTTTGTGAATTGCATTGCAAAGGTGGTCGTTTTGAGTTGTCTAGCTTGGCAGGTGGTTGCAAGCGTTTGCGCGAGTGTCATTTGCGTTGTCGGCTCGTTTTTGGCGGGTTAACAGTTTCTCAGATGCGTGAACGCTAGATAGAACGACTGATAGAATAGATTAGATTAGAATAGACTAGATTAGAATATAATAGATTCAAATTGATTGGTGTGTATTGACAAACCGACAGACAGACAGATAAACAAGATAGTTAGATAGATAGATGGAGAGCTAGCAAGATACGGACACAGAAAGATAGAGAGATAAGTAGACAGACAGAAGGATAGATCGAGCAATACATAGACAAGTAGGTAAAGAAGGACAGGATGCAGGCAGAGTCAATCCAGAGATAGATAGATAGATAGATAGATAAATAGATAGATAGATAGATAGACAGGTACAGTAGCTAGCTAGATTAGATAAAACAGACTAGATTAATCCAGGCTGATAGATAGATAGATAGATAGATAGATAGATAGATAGATAGATAGACAATTAGATAGACAGATCGATAGGTAGATAGATAGATAGATCGATACATGTATATATATATATAGGATCCGACGCTTCTATAGATAAATAGGTTAGATTAGGTTCGACATGTATTAGATAGATGCATAGATAGTTATGTTAGATAGATACATTATATTGGACTTTAGGTTAGATTAGATGAGTGAAGAGACGGATAGATTGGATTGGATAGATGGGCAAATAAATTATTAGATAGAGACATAGAAATACAGATGGAACATTCGAAAGACACATGGATAGATGGATGGATGGATAGATTGATAGATTGATAGATCGATAGAAATGTAGAAAGGCAAATACATATGCTCAGATAGGTAGGTAGATAGATACGCAAATACAATCAATCATTTTTTAGATTGGACGCGATTAGATGAGTTGACACACTGATAGATGGATAGGAAGATTGACATATAGACAGATACATAGTATGAAGATATAGACAGACAGACAGACAAACAGACAAACAGCCAGCCAGCCAGACAGACAGCCAGCCAAATAGAACGATGGATGGAGAAAGGGAGAGAATGAAAGATAGATAAACAAATAGAAAGAAAGAACGATGGAGACGAGGTAGGTAGATAGATAGATTAGATAGGTAGGCAGGTAAGTAGCTAGGTAGATAGCCAGATAGATAGATAGATTAGATAGATGGATGGATAGATGGATGGAAAGAAAGATAGATTGAGTAGATAGATAGATTGATATATAGGGAGGCAGATGGATAGATAGATGGATAGATAGATAAATGGAAACATAAACAAATAGATAAATAGATATAATATAAAGGAATACGAATCGAATAGAATAGAATAGAATAGACAGACAGACCGATTGCATAGATACATAGCTAGATAGCTAGATAGCTAGATAGCTAGATAGCTAGATAGATAGATAGATTTAGGTCGGTAGGTAGATTAGAATAGAATAGATTAGACTAGACTAGATTAGACTAGATTCGATAGATAGATTGATAGATAGATAGACAGATGGATAGGTAGGTAGATAGCTGGATGGATGGAGGGATGGAGGGATGGATAGATAGATAGGTAAATAGATAGATTAGGTCAATAGATGGATAGATAGATTTAGCATAGATAGATAGATGGATAGGTAGATAGATAGATAGATAGATAGATAGACTGGGCTAGAATAAGAAGATAGACAGACTAGATTAGGCAGATAGATAGGCAAGTAGGTGGATAAATCGATAGACAGGTGGATAGATGGACAAATGCTTAGATGGACAAACGGATAGACATATACAAAAAACGATTTGCAGATACATGGATGCATGGACAATCATTAGGTCAACAAGCAGGTACATAGCTAGGCAGGTGCACGCACACAACTTCAGTGTGTGGCAATTAATCTGCATTCTGGCTCGTGGCTTGTATCAGATTTCAGGTGCAGGGGATCATATGCGTTCGTGTTGGATGCCCCCCTTGAGAGCGCTAAAACTGCCAAAGGTATTGTTCAAAACGGATCGGCCAACCCACAATCCCCGGGAAACCAGAAAAGGGCCAATTCTTTCAACCCAAGGTCAGGACTTGGTGGATGGCCTTTGAACAGGATAGGTGCAGCATCCAAACTGTTTGTCAGAACTCATGTCCCCAATTTGAGGATTTGCTGAGACAACCCCGTTCCGCACTGGCAATTTGACCGATGCATCCAATGCCAGCCCTGGAATGGTATACAGGCCTTGCCCTCTTGAGCTTGCTGTAATATTCCACCGATGGGCCAAGTCCCTATCGCCCCGCTCAGAAACTGCATTTGTCTCACAATCAAACCTCGTATTAGAATAACACACCAAAAGTTATGGAATCAAACTGATGGACTCCGCAGCTACTTCCAGTGGGAACTGTCCCCTCGGGTTTTGATTGCTCATTGGTCCGAACTCGGAAGTCGGACCGTGACTTGGGGGCCCTGCGCCGCTTTCCGTCTCGCTGGAGCCGGTACCTATGGGCCAGACGTTGGAGGCGTGTTTCAAAGGCACCAAAGGAAACCAACTAAGGGCGAGGTTCCCGACATTGAAAGAACGCATTCTTGCATGGCCTTTTGAATGGGTTCTAACAAATGCTGGGGTGTTCAAGCTACTTCATAAGCAGGATATAGCTATGGAAAAGACGGGGATTTAACCCAGTTGCCCCAGATGTAAACCTTGGCTATAACCTACTTACTAAGTTCGTTCAACATCAATTGGGTCCCTTTCGGATGCTACACGCATGATTGTGGATAGACAAAAAAATCCACAGCCAAGAAATAGGCTCCCCCCTTCCCGCAGAGATCCCCCTTGGTCCCTCCAAAACTGATCATGGATGTTCCAGACAGAACCTCATGTGGGCGGCTCGTCTTGTTTCAGGGTACTCCTTTTTTGTTGTGTCCTAGAAAATGCAAAAAGGAATGCCACCGTTTTGTGGGTGTAAAGACGAGCCACCCATGTGGAAGAAGAAACACCGGTTGGCAACTCACGGGGTCCTAGCCGAACTTTGCCGATCACCATAGCCTAAGGGCATCCCAGGGTACATGTATATACATAATATATGTAAATATATATATATGCCCCCAAAGTTGTGTTCGAAATGTTGTTTCCCTTACCAGCATGAGCATCGTACCCTCGAAAGCAACACATACGCTTGCCAGTGACCTCCGGTCCATATTCTCTTGGGGCTATTTCAGTCGGAATCAACATCTGGTACTTGAGTCGGAATCTACCCAAAACCATGTAGGGACCCCAAAACTGTGTTTCGTTTTCCATTGGCTTCGCTTTATATAAAACTATCCAAACGGCACCCTCCCCACACATCGCACCCATTTGACAGGGTCCCAAAGATACACCTAAAATTCACCTACCAAATCCTTGGAAACAGCCGGTAAAGGTGGTTTGTAACTTGGCCAAAATGTTTCGAAGGGTTTGAAGAACCTCTCTGACCTGTTTCAAATTTGAACACCTCAAACCCTTCCATCCCTTGATGATGTGTCCCTTCCTTTCCCCTTTGTTTCCCTTCACCGCGTGTCCTGTAAAACGGGGGAGAAAAAAAACAGCAGTGACACTTTCCCTTTAAAACCAACAAGGGTATTATTTTAAGAACGAAAAGCGAATGGAAGTCGTGGGTTGACCCCACTGAACCCTCTTTGACTCTTTAGCCACCCGGGCCGCCTCGCCTCCCTCTGGTGTTGCGAGCACCGCTGCGCGCCGCCATTGGCGCAACGCGTCCGCCTGGGCAGCTGGAAAGCGGGTGACACACCTTGGTGCTTCGTCCCTGAAACGCTAAACTTGTTGGATATGGGGTTCCCTTTTTTGTTTGACCTCTTTTAGTTGGTGGCACCAAAAAGCGAACACTCATTTTGGGGCGGGTCCCTCATAGCTCAAAACACCCTAAGCCCAAAGTCTGAGAGTACCCCGGTTGGAGCCCGCCAGGAGTTGTAAGCCAAGCAATTCAGGTATAACCAGGGCGACTAACCACATAAGTACCCTACCCCATTTAGAGCTACAGGGTTTGCATTTGCACATTGCAACAGTGTTAGTGTGTGTTTTAGTCCGGGGGACGACACATACACATCAAAATTTAATCGTGATTGATGCACAAACTGCTGATATGCACAGTTGACATAGACACTCGAAGTGGGGATCCAGTGTTTGATGCCCCTCACGGCGCTGAAATCCATCGGTGATATAATGTCATGAACACCCAAACATGGCTGCTGGTGAGCCTGGAGTTTACTTGGCTACGGGTTTCAACGGCGAAGAGGCTCCGAATTTCCAAAGCGAAAACGTGCTTTTCTGGCTGCAGGAATCAACCTGGAGTTTTGCCAGGGCACGACCGCTTTGTGGGTCAACCCCCGAAGACTATGCCTGAAAGCAGCTGCAAACAAACAACGCATGGCCATGTTTGCAGGCTGTGTTTTCCTTCAGACTGCACGCATATGGTAGGGCCTTTTGGCGGTTGCTAGGGGAACAACAAAAAGTGCACCAAGTCCCTGAGTCTCAACACAAGACACACCATCAACAGCTTCTCTTGATTTTTTGAAAACATGGGCAGGGGTGATGGGTGCTTGTCTTTATTCCAGGTGCATTTATCAATTCCTATGTGGACATTACCTCAACCCCCGATGCCTCGGCGCGGAAGTCGGCAGATGAGGCCCAGGAGAAGAAGAAGTCCTCAGACCTGAAACCCGATGGGAAGCCAACCATAGTGGCTTCCTGGTCTCGGTTGCTGTTGACCCCCCGGCAAAAAGTTTGACTTTTTGGGGGTGTAGTGGAAGCCCCCTTGATTTCCCAAAAAGCTAAAGTCTAAAGATGCAACCCAATAGCAGTCAAGTGGTAAGCCACCCTTTTTGTTCCCCAAGCATGGGACATAAAGTGGGATGTCGTGGGTTTATTGCAGGGAGTTCAAGCAACTACCGGAGTGTTTTTCTGTGGGAACTGCTTGGAACCGAAAGAACTACCCGACTAGAAATGGTTGGCATCGCCTCATTTCCAACCAATCGCACCAGAGGCTCGCCATGGGAAGCCAACCATACTTGCTTCCTGGTCAGCCACCAACGGGTGTCACCAAACATGAGAAATAAAACAAAAGGCGATGGGCTTCCTTGGGTGTTTATCACCCAACCAAGCATGGGACATAAAACCCCCTAATGGAACGCTTTATCGCAGGGTGGAATCCGGTTCCAGCTGGCGACCCTTATTGGTTTGATCACACGTGGGTGACCCGAAATCGGACACGCACATGGTTGTTTGACTGCGGCCGAACAGGCCCCGCGTGTCAGAACCCGTTGAACGGGAATGACACACATTGGAACTATGCTATTTCAAAGGGTAGTCTGAGTCCTTTTCAAATCCAACCACCTGGACCTCACAGCAATGGGCTCAGTTTTTGGGGCTTCCATTTTGAAGAGATTTTGGGGATCCGTCTCATGTTTGCCCTGAGTTCTTGCTTCTTCTGTGACACTAACTGTGCCGTCATGGTTCCTTGGGTGAATTGGGGGGGGGGGGTGGCTACAAAAGCCAACGGAAACCGCTCAGGCGTCTGCATCCCCCGTTTCTGGACCCGACCTTTGGGAGAAAACCCGGGGAGGGGGGCGGGACTCCTAGACCCTACGCATTTGCCCATATGAAGGTCGAGACAAAGCCGTTCCGCACCTGCGCCTTAGGGTTATTGACAAAACCCAAAGAAGGGCACTTGCAAATATCAATTTGACTCCTAGGTGCTGGTCCATGCGTTTGCTCGCCTTGTTGGATTCGTGCCCCCTGGTATATCTGGCTTTGGCGTTTGTATGGTACAAGACATTTAAGTCACCAGGTTGACACAAGCCACAGATTCCCCGGCACATTGGCGCTGAATTCCCCACAAAAACCAACGAAGCGAAGGGCCAGCAAACCCCTGCATTCCCACAAGCAACAACCAGCAGGGCTTGCTTCCAGACCCTCTATTAAAAAATCATGTTGTGTTTGTTCTGCACCCTTTGTCAAGACCCTGAAGTAAAAACCGCTGGGTTGGGGGTCCAGGTTGTGGGGAGTTCGCGCAAAACCAAGCAAAGCAGGCGAGTTTGGTCCGCGGATGTCAAACAACACACTGCCCCCTGCATACTTTAAGTTGGAATGCGGACAAGTGCACAAGATGAGGCAGCCATTTCGGCTTTAGACCATTGCTTTGCATTTGTGGTGGGATCAGGGAACGCCACATTTCCACAGCCCAATCCATTTCCATAGCGGCACATTGCGGCGCCGTTTTTTTGTGGGGCATCTCTCCCCCTCGGGCGCCTGTAGCAAAGTCGGGTAGCAAAGAGCGGATGCCGCTCGATCACCGCCCGTGGCACACCTAGGACTGCTCAAACCACCCACCCGAACCCTACAGCCATTTGACTACAGAAAGCGTGAAATATCTGGCTTTCCAAGACACGGTGGCTCAACGGGATACATGCCCACCGGGCCACTATGTTGCAATTCAAAGCGTAGGAGCGTTTTTGTTATCTAAATATAACACACACACACACACACCGTTGCAAAATATTGGCAGTGCTTTGAAGGTAGTGCAAGCAGTCTTAGGAGCGAGGCTACGCTAAGGCGCTGATGGCTGTCCTGTTGTCCAAGCCTTCGTTTGACTGCAGCCATTGCCACTTAAGGAGGCAACACGTTTTGGCATAGGCTGAAACAGGACCAACCGGTTTTTTCGTGCCACAAAGCGCGCACAAATGCAATGCATGGGGGTCCTTTTTCACTAGACCCTCAAAGTTCCGGCAGTGCGGTCAAAAGCGGGTCTAAAAGACATGAGGGACTCTAAGAGGTAAATGAGGATTCTCGACCTTTTTTGTGTATTTAATTTAAACCTCATTTTCGGAACAACATAATATAATATCCGTAATGCTAAATTATGGCATAATGTTAAATTATGGGTAAACAACATTTTATCTTCCAATTCTATTTTATTACCTCGACTCCAAGCTACCCTTTACAACGGGAGGTCGCTGATAATTTCGAGCGAGAACAGGGGTTCCCTCTAATCTGAAGCGCCCGCATCTGATGACTCGGTCCACTGAGGTTTCGGACACACACCTCCGCGGCTGAAGGGCGCTTCGCTTTGAGATGCGGGGCTCCTTTCGGGAGCGGGGAAAACATCGGAGCACCACATGCGGCGAGTGGCTCCATTCCACGCAAGGCACGGTCGAAATTACGTGCTTGCCCAGGAAGAGCGGGAACAATTAGGGAGTCCCATGGCTTGTGTTGGAAAACTTTTTTTGGAGCCGCTCCTACCTTTCAAAGACACCACCCCAATCACACCTGTATCTTAATTCTAGTCTCCGAAGGGGCTGTCTTTCTCTTGGGCGGTGGGGGGGTCCCCAAAAACAGGCCCGATTCAGTTTGGGCTTTGGCTTTCTTCATGATCTCATGGCATCGCGCATGAAATCTGCCCCCCCCCCCTCAGTTTTGGGTGGTGCTCCTTTCGTTTCACCTTCAAACCCACCCCTTGAAAAGAGACGCACCAAAAATGGGCGGCCTGAGGCTTCGGAAGCCTCAGGACCCCCCCCCTTCTCCTGGGATTCAAAGGGAAACCAACCGGGAAAACCGTTTCGTCCTTTTGGGGGTTCACCTAAAAAAGACACACCCGCATTGGGGCTTCTCAAATTGTGGTCCCCCAAAATGGTTGGTTTCTTTGTTTGGTTTCCCGGGGGTGGAAACTATTTGGTTTGGGGGGGACAAGGAGGGTGGACTAGAAGTAGTCCAAAACCCCTTCTCACGGCTGTCCTCAGATCTGCTAAAAGTTTAACTTTTAGTGGGTTAAATGGAACCCCCACTAAACCCTAAAAACCTACAAACCTAAAAAACAAACGGGAAACAAGGTGCCGTTCCCCGCTCCTGCGTGTAGCGCTCGTGCTCTGACCTATTGCTAAGGGGTGCTCAAAAGAACGACCCCTCCAAGTTCCTACAGGAGGACCTAGTATGATATTTTGTACCTATATATATATATGTATACATGCATATATATATATATATACACCCTCTTGCCCACTAACCTGCAACCTGACAGAGGGTCCAGGAATACCCTTTTTCCTTTAAAAGGGACCCCTCTGGTGGATCCATATTAGTGGACAGGAGGGGCATATACATATATACATGTGTATATATATATATATATATATATATATATATTATACATATATATATATATATATATTTGTGGTTGCTCAGGGAGTGATGCTGACTTGAGAGGCTGATACAGAACATCTTAAACTCCACAGTCTGACTTTAAACAACTCTCTCTCTCTCTCTCTATGTATATGTACATATATATATATATATCAGAACCCTCCCGTCAAAGTTCGCAGTTAGCAAAACTACTGCTTTCTTTATTTGCGTGATGTCCATGGTCATGACTCCCAAGTGACAGCATGTCAGTGACATGCCGCGGCAAGCAAGTTCTACGTACCGACACGCATGGACTTGCGTGTCGCTGCGTGTCACTTGCGTGTTAATTGTGTGTTGAGTATGTGGGAGCAACAGTAGATCGCTGCAAATAACGGTAGTTTTACCGTATCAGTGCGTGTCACTTGCGTGTCACTTGCATGTCACCCGCGTGTCACCTGTGCGTCACCTGTGTGTCAGCGCGTGTCACCTGCGTGTCGGGGCTTGGGAAGGGGTAGGGATAGAAGCTCGAGGTTTAGCGTGGGAAGCAACGGTAGTTTTGGCCAAGAACTGCCAATGTGTTTACTTGCGGGACCATACTGCCAAATGGACGGTAGTGGTACCGGGCGATATCGCAGTCGGAGACAGAGTTGCTCCCTGGATGTACTTTCAGCATAGTGAAAGCTGCGTTGAAGTGCTTGCCCATCCAAGTCAAACTCGGGTTCATGGTGTAAAGGATCCCCTTGAAAGGATACCGGGACACCCCCATCCGAGTGTGACAAACCATACGAGAGCCGTTGGGGCGCAGTGGCTGATCAACCTGGAGGCTTCGGCTGAGGGGGTTCAGCCGTGGCCACTCGGAGCTGACTCACTGACACACAGCAAGACAGAGAACCTAACACGCGCAAAAACCACTGCCTCTTCAGATGTCCCAAATCCGCTTGGTACGGTAACCAAAGAGCAGTGCTTGGGAGGCCTGGGACATTGGTGACGCAAAAACCGGCCTTTGTCGACCGCAAGGCTTGGGACTCAAGGCGGGATTCATGAAAACAGGGTGCCCAAGATGGAACCCACTCCGCGGGAAAATAGGGTGTAGACCCTAAAAACCGTGGCTATTCAGAGGCTTTAAAAAATAAATAAATAAATATATATATATATATATATTTATGGAGCAAACATTGTTACACACTTTCTTCTCTATCAATCATGAGTTGGTGTGTGGTTTGTTTAAAATATACTGTGCCCCAGATTTTCCTTGATTAATTAAGCCCTTATAGTGCATGATGTCTCACTTCCCAAGTGAATGGGCACCAAAACAGTCCTGGAACTGTTCATTTACCACTAACTTCGATGTCCGTACAGAACTCCTGGTGGCTCCTTTGCTCCCTGTTTTAAAACACACAGTTGGATACCCCGGCTCTTTGCTTCCCACCACCAGCTCGTAAAACGGTCTACCCTCAGAAATCTACACCCCACAAATAAGTCCACTCATGTTCCGATTAATCCGGAGGACCGTAGGAATCAGGGGTGGTTCACTTTTAGGACATGTATCTACGGGGTTCCTGGGACTGGTAGGATCCTCTGGATTAGTCCGAAGTTGACATCAAGTCGTCGATCTCCTTGCCTGGTGATGCGCTGGCCTGGCGTGCCAGGCACAGAACGGTTAGCTTTGGTAAGGGGAAACCTGCCAAACGAGCGATCCACTGGCCGATCCGCTGCTTAAACAATGGCAACCTGGCATAGCTGGACCCTCAAAGTACCTTCAAACATTCTCGTATTGCCCCAAGATGTTGTGGTTCAAGAGCACTGGACAATCCATGTTTGTATGTGTCAAATTAAACCTGAAAGGGTGACCTCACACACATACCCAAATAGGGAAAACACACACACATGATCCCAAATAGCACCTGCACAATTCCACTCGCTACGGAATCGCCAACACACCCCGGCCAAACTTCCCGCCCCCTTGCTGCTCACTACTGTTGACCCCGGATTAACACACCCGCTCATGAGTGGCAGACTTCACTTTTGGGGTCAACACGCCCCTATTAATATGAAGTACAAAAAGACGAGGATTTGGATTTTCGGTAGCCAAAGAAACCAGGCGGTTGCAACCCGGTTGGTGGGGGGGGTGGAATGCTATGATAACGTTGATCCAGCCCAAAACACATACTTTCAGATTCTAGTCCATGTTTAGTCTACCTCCAAGCACAGAGGGACCCAGCCAAAATGGGACATCGCCCCCATCTTGCGAAGACCTCGCATTCTACAGGGTAGTCTGAGGGATGCGACATGTCGCACCCCAAGGACCCCGACCTCGCATACGGGGCACTTTGACACAAAGCTCCAACCTTCGGTCCCCTGGGCTTTCACCCCTCTCGGGAACCGCTTGCCAGAGGCGTTCCCAAACTGGCGCCTTCTCGCCCTCGATGCTGGAACCTGTCGCCCGGGCAGCTTGACCCAGCGGCCAAAAGCGGGGCCGGGGCCCGGGGAGGTTTGCGGGTTTCTGACTTCCTGGGGACGGCCCTCCTGTGGGGGGTGATCAAAAGTTCTTTGCATAGGCTGACCCTTGTGGAAAACCCCCAAATAGATTTGATAGTTCCCACTAAAGTTACCCATGGTCATTTGGGGGCCAAGGAATTCTGATCAGCCCCCATATCTATGCCCAAAGGGTCCTGACCCAGGTCCAGAAGATCGAGGCTGCGTGTATCGAGCACCATGCTCCCTCCCTTTGGCTTCATGTTGAGTGAGCAAAAGTCAAGCCAAAAGGGGGTGCATCCAACCAATCGAAGCTGCAACATCTGAGCCCCTGAACAAATATATACAGTACTGGTGTCTTGTTGGCGGAACACATTGCTGGCCCCCGAGCCCGTGTTTTCTACCAATCACATTGTCCCAAAACCCCTAACGCCAACTTTAGCTGATGTTATGGGGTGGTTCTACTGGTTTCAAGGCCTACAAAAGCCTTCTTAAATGACTGCTTCTCAAACTGGTGGACCCAGGTTGGCTAATTACTTTTCTTGACAAACAAAAATTGGACCCCCGTCCAGGGAACCCACCCCCCCGCCCACCCCAGCCCGTGGCTTCTGGGACCCCCGGCAGGACAGACGCTCCGGCTCCGGCGGCTCCGGCGGCTCCGGCGGCGGAGCCGGCGGCTCCGGCGCCGCGTCGGGGTCCCGGCGCCGGGGCAGCAGCAGCAGGCGGCCGCCCGGCAGCTGCCGCGTCTCCTAGCGGGTGGGTGAGTTGACCAGGCTATCTTGCGGCGAGAAGTAGGGAATTGGGAATCAACACGTTTTTTTGGGATTCCCTCAAAGGAAGCCACAGGGGGATTTTGTTGTAGGGGTCATTCCATTTCTGATTTCCTGCTGAGAACCAGCAAGCTACTATTAAGGTTAGCGGGAACAAGGCTTAGTCTCTTCATAGCCACGGTTGTAACCTACTTAGCCTGTCACTTCCCTGTGTGGCAGAGACAACCGCTGCCGGGTGCAACAGCAAAAGCATGTCATGACGTGTTGTATTGCTTGTGAAAACATGAAAATGCATGTCCAAAACAATGAGAAACTGCAGCGCTCAGCTTCCTAATCCGAGACAAGCGTTCACACTCAAGCTCCCTTCCAAAAACAGTTGCTTTCATACAAACTGTCGTTTGAGGGCAGCAATGGTCGTTCGCGTTCGCAACGGTTTGTAAACGGTCACATCAGGTTACCTGGTGGTATGTGTCAGTGGTCGTGGCTCGCCAGCGTACGAGCCACGATTGAATTTCTAGGGATGACTTCCCGCGTTTTGAACCCAGGGATTCTTTCCAAAATAACTGATAACACCTGTGGATTTTGAAAGAAAGATGGTTGAACAGAATGCAAAAGGTATCTACTAGTAGGGGTTCCAATTTGGAGCAAGTTCCAGAGAAAAAAGGGATACCCTCTTTCAGTTTGGTTGCGAAGAACCCCTACCCCGAAAAGAATGGAAAAAGGCAGAACAGGTTTCTGGTTGGTTGCTTTTGAAGAACCCCTACCCAAACAAAAAGAAAAAGGGGTCAGGGGAGGTCTGCGCATCCTCAAGGCTGACCCTCCTCTGCTACCCGGCTCCTGATCTGGGGGTAGCCAGCCTGGGCCTGGCAATCGGATCATCCTCATCATCCAACATGTTGAGTTGAGAAATTCCCCGCCCATGGTGGTCCCCTTCAAACATCACCCGAACAAAACCTCACTCACCTTGGCCACAAGGCACTGGCCGATCCATGTGCTCATCACAAAAAGACAACAACCATCCCACCATCCATGGCCAAAGTCTGATCGGCTCCTTATGGCTTCAAACAGGGGAGCTCCAACAATGTGGCTCCCCCCCAAAAAAAACACACACACAAACACACCTACAATAAGCGAATAAAGAGTGTGTTGCGTGAAATGGGAAAAAAAAAGGAAAACCGAGAATGAGAAGGATTTCAGCGAGCGGAACGATCCCCCTACCATATGGCAAGTAAACCAACACACACACAGACACCAAATAAAAGAGCAACGACATGGACATCACGGCAAAATGGTGTGTTCCCTTGTTCCCCCAACTTGCGAAGGGCATCCAACGTTCCGCCTTCTAGCGGTCTGGTTGCGATCGGATCGCCTGGGTCCTTCTCATTCTCCCGTGACTCCTCGGTTGGGCCTCAGAAACACGCGGAGGTTCGTGGAGTCTCCATGACCCGTAAACAATGGGGTCACTACCCAAAATAATGAGGTCATGGACCCATGTTTTAAGGGTCATGGAGACTCCAGGCACCCACAAAAAAGAGACATCACCCCGTAATTTGGGGGCAACAATCAATGTTTAGTCGGGTAGTTTGAGGGTCCAGGTGAACTGTTGGTGGGCTTTGTGCTAAATCCCTCTCAACTCCACACTCAAAGTCTCCAAACGTATGGCTGCGAACCGCTGTTTGTCAAACTTAAATCGGATTTTCAAGAAAGGAAGCGCGTCTAGGTGAAAAATGGCGGAATTCCCCCAATTGGGTTTGGTCATCTCCTTTATCCAATGTTGCTTACCCAAATAATGAAGACTGTGTCGAGCTTCACCGTGGGGTAAAATAAGAGTAGCTCCTTGAACAGTGGACATGTGGAAAACTTTCCTTATACCAAAGTGACCATCCCCAAGACTAGCAACAACTTATCACTCAGGGCAATCAGCAAACCAAGTGTTCTACAACCATGTTTTTTCATCTGAAATCAAAGGGAAACCCAACGATTTCGGGTTCCCGCATTTAGAGACACACCCTGAAAGGAAGACCAAGGGGAACACCACTACTGTGGACGGACGAAACCCATTTCGCACCACTTTAAACAACTCATGGTTAAGTTGAAACCACTAATTGTTGACCTTCACGCTGGGAAATCGAAAATCCTTCCCGGGTTCAGAGAACGGCCGTGAAGAGGATTTCGCAAAAAAACAATCCTCCTGTTGGGGGGTCCAACCTTCCAAAAGACGAGCCCATCTTGAGCCACGCCTTCGGCCGAGCGGCTCGGGATCTCCTCAGGGCCAGCCTGGCGCGGCTGGCAACCAGCGGCTTGACCCGCGGAGCGTTTGACTCCGGTGACGCGTTGGCGTAGACTTGTGCCACTGGCCCACTGCCTTTTCTTTAATGTCCGAAAATTCCCCTATAGGGTCCAACAAGCACCGGTAATGATTGATATCTTCCGCGAGGAAAGCGCCAAAACCGGACCTAGGGACAGGTCAGTGAAACAGCGTTAGAGATCGAGCACCATGTCCAGCGGGTGGTGAAGTTGAGGGTTGACATGGGGGGCTCTGAAAATTTCAGCCACGCAAAGCCCCCGGTTTCCGCGCTGCGCGAAACTTGCAGGGCTCCGCGAAACTTGCAGGGCTCATGACCTCTAGAGAATCTGCAACGACCCCTAGGCGACCACAAGATTGGAAGCCGGGCAAGGAAAGATAGTTGATACAGAGTATACACAACCCTTATAGGGCACTAAAGTGTAATGGCCGCATGTTCCAACCTGGTTTCAGGGTAGATCCCCCAAACGTCTTCTGGGAAGGGAAGCCACGGCTATGGTCCCCGGGTTTTGTCAAAAGAGTGATTTACCTGTAAACGGTTTTGACGTCTGATCCTGTGTCTGCCGACGTGGGTCACCATTTGATTTGACCTCCTCCTGGCAAAACGAGTTGAAAAGCGGGGTCTCTTGGATTTAATCTGTTCCAAGAGAAAACGATCCAACACCTGCACTCAGGGTTTGCTTCAGACCAGAAAGCCGCCAAGCAATTCCCCAAGAAACCCTCATGTGGCCTTGGGTTATGATCTCATCTATGGCGTTCGCCCTTTTCGGCCACAACCGCAGCATGTCCGAAACTTGTGAGACCCTGCCTGACTGGCTTCGAAAATGGCCGGCAAGGACGCCTGGGACCATTCCATGGCATGTCTGATCTTTGGGAGTGCGGATTTCAGGCGATTCTCAAAAACCAAACGCTGGAAACGATGCAACTGGCTTTGCCAGTCTCAACACCTTCCAGTCCAGTCTTGGGTCCAAACCAAGGGAAACACAGAGCCTCATTTTCCTTCAAAGTTGTGGACTTCAGCAACTCGGACTCCCAGAACTGGGAGCAGCCACCAGGGGAGGCAAAGTGCAACTGACCCTGCAAGTACCGCCATTGGCCAGAAAAAACACGGGCAGACTTGCGGAAGAAAGTTGCTAAAGCTCAGGGGGTGTGCTCAAGTACCTTAGAAAGACTTCTCCAACATAATTTCGGCTTCGTAGTTTGAGGGTCCAGTCCAACCAATTTACAGGCCCGCCTTGTGTGTGTCCAACCCTGTAGCTAAGGGAAGCGACCTACGGTTTCCATTTCCACTTCGCCAGTTGCAACCACCAGCAATTTTGAATTCGCTGGAACCCGTTGAAGTCAAGCTCATGATGATTTACGACCATTTGAGTTTCTGTGCCTGGAATTCGCTGGAACCCGTTGGAGTCATGCCAGCCCAGAGAGTTCCTGCAGTGGTCAAGAGCTGGCGTCTGATGAGTATGACTTTTAGAGGCCACGAGCAGCGAACCTCTGACGAAACTTCCCAGATCAGCCTTTGTGGCGTACTATCTTCCTCCATAAAAAATGGAAAAAGGAGAGGAGCCGGAACAACTTGCTATGTCAGGACGGGATAGAGCACAAGTGTGTTCATGCCGGTTGTTCGTTTAACGGCCCGGCATTGGTGGGGTCTGCCCACCCAGTGGATGTGCCCACATGTGCAAAATGAAACATGAGAGAAAGATACAGCAGGCCTTGCGCCCATAAAAGATTGGCCTTAGACACGTCAGTAAGCTCATGCAGAAAAAAAGACACGGCACACCTAATTCACAAATGTCATGCATTAAAAAATCCCTCTCTGAGCCCGTGCGGATTAGTTCGGCCTCTGCAGCTAGTCAAGGTGCGAGGTACTGACTGGCCGCAAGCATTGTGGTCAGGTTGCGGTTGGCCATTTTGTCAACCAGGGAAGGGTCAAGGCCGTACTGGGTGGCAGCCTGTTGCACTGCTTTCGAAGCAGGCGTGTAACAGTGCTCATGTGTTCGGTAAACTGAGAGGCTTTGGCCTTGGTCATTTTGCCGGTCACTTTCTCGACCCATTGGGTCACAAAGGTCTCTGTGTGCCCCTCCGGCTGATTCTGGATGGGCCGGTACGGTGCAAGCAAACATTCAGGGAGGGTGGGCGGTTCTGTGCGAGGCTGCTTTGCAGATGCTGGATCAGAAGGGTCCAGCTCCTCGGTTGACCTTCGAGGTGTCAAATTAATGCCTAATGACTGCATCTTCTCCCGGCGTCGCTTTAACTCGGCGGCTTCGCCAGACGAGCCGGTGGAAGGAGAAAGCTCCTGCATCAATGACACCAGCCGAGTCACTAACGGCGTCACAAAACGAACAGCTTCCTTGTGTGTGTCGGGTGGGCCATCACTGTGCAGGGCGGCAGCCAAGCGATCCAAATCTCTAGCTGCCTCCCTGGTGGCCTTAAGCAAAGCCTGAACAAAAATCGTTTCGGCCACACTTTTTGTGTACACCAAACCTTGAAATCGTCCTTCGCTTAACAACCTCAGCGAATACTCTTGAATTCCATGGTAGCTAAGCTCATGTAACTTGAGGTCATCGACCTGCCTTCCTGCAATGCCTGCCTTCCGCCTCCATGCAGTCGGCTGAACAGTGCGATGGAATTGGTGGCCTCCCAACACTTTAGAATCCCAAAAGGCATCATCGGTGGAGCAATGTGAAGGGGGAACCGCCCGAGGCGAAGACACACGAAGATTACTGTCGTAAATCGAGGGGACGGGCTTGCTCGGAATCTGTACAGGGGTTGCGGGCTTTGCCCCGGTCTGCCAGCTAGAGGGTCTGGCGTGCCAGCTCGAACCTGGGGTGGCGCTGGCCGGGTGGCCATCACCGCGCCAATCGTCATTGGACCAAGACTGATCCCAATTCTTTGACGAACTCCACCAAGAAGATTCTTGCCAGCGAGACATGGCAGAAAGTTCGTTTGGAATTTTGTCGGATCTGAGCTCGAGCACTGAAGAGCTCACAGACATCGAATACGACATCAATTTTATCTTCAACAATGCAAAAATTCAGTGGGTCAGGAGAGGTAGACCATCAGAGGCCCGGAGGCATGCAGTGCTCAGAAAACATCATGGGACTCAGCATCAGGGTGACCCTCCGTGGAAGGGCAACATCAATATACACAGCCGTGAGGCTGAGATCAGTGTTCAGGGGCCGAAACGGCAATCAGTATTCGGAGACCCCAACAGTCAGACCCAGTGTCTTCGCCAGAAGTGTGTCGAGATGAATGCCGCTCCTGCCAGTTATCGGTGGGACACTTTTTCTGTCCCTTGCGCTGTTTACTGTAAAGCACCAGTTGACTGGAAGCCGCGGCGGTATTACAAGCAACCCAGTCAGATGATCTATGTCGGCAGCACTTCCGTCTCTGTTGCAAGAAGAGAATGGAATCGCCATGCGGTGCTGCGCCGCCTGGAGCACACCCCTTGCGCACAAGCTGAATTATCGTTGCGGTATTGGAAAAGTAAGCAGAACTTTCACAATTACACACTTTTCAAGCTGTCATCCCATGAGAACTACCGGCAGGCTTGGGTCCTTGAACATCAGTTGATTGCAAAATGGCAGCCTCGCCTAAATTACCCTTTTGTCACCCGGTTTCTACAAAGAAAAGCGTTGGGATTTTGAGTGGCACCTAGAACGCGACAAAGCGTCTCTTTTCGCTTTGAACGAAGACTATGGCTGAAGTTGCGACGTCGCCTTTTCTGTTGCACAGCTCCTCCCATGTGACTCGCAAAGAAGCTTGGGAACTCCTTTTCGACCTCACGAGTTGCACACAAGCCTCCTTCGCCGCTGCTCAAGTGATTCGGTCTACACGATTTACCGATGATGAAGTTTACGCACTCATCAAACTGACGCACGCTCTAGAACAGCCAGCCCGCGGCCGAACCCTGGGCATACTACGGTCTGCCTGCAAGTTTCGACAGATGACATGGCCTACCTGCTCTTCGTCTTCTCTCCGGCTTCCTTTTCTTGCTCACGCCAGTTTCCAGCGCAATGTCGAAACTTGGTTGAGACAGCACGCCATTCTCCCTTTCAAGCATGTCCTCATTCCTTTTCATCTTCCTTCACACCGACTCCGAGAACAAGCTCATGACAACGTTGCGGAACCTTTTCAATTTCAGATGGTGGGAGGATAAGCTGGACCACTCAATGCCAGCTCCCTGCACTTGTCAAGAACTCATCAGCCGGTTTCCATCCTTGGCCGATTATCGCGCAGGACCCGAGAACCACGTTGTCGCGGGCCTTCACCAGCTCAACACGCATGAACACGGTGTTTCCGTTACCTTGGGCTCCAACTCATGCTTTCCCAGCAAGTCCCGTTTCTTTGACACAGTTCTCCCCCACTTTGAAAAATGGAGGAAGCGCCGTTGCATCCCGAATCAGGTCAGCCCACAGTTTCGACAGCTGTTGGAGGAACAGTGGCACCTACATGCGCAGGAGCTGAACCAGCTACCGCGCACCAGTTGGAGAACAGTCCAGCGTATCAAGCACCTCCTCCAGCATGTGTCAGTGCTGCATTGTGAAGATCATGCCCCCAAACGTGTTGTGCTCTTTTGTCCTCGTCTATACTTCTGCACTGCGCGCCGAACATGGAGTGACCCCTCTGTTTTTCAGTCCCTTCCAGGCACAATCCAGTCGTGGCAACACACCGTGTCAAGATTAGTGGGAGCAAACTTACGAAAGCGCTATGCATGGGGCATTCGGTCAAGCAGCCCTCTTCCCCGCGGCCTCACCTTGCTGAAGAGGAAGAAGTCTTTCCAAGTTGCACGAACCATCATCTCGTACAAGAACTCAATCATTGAACGTTTGCTCAAAGCAGCAGCTCAGGTGTTGCAAATGATGATAGCCACTGTTTGGCCCCATGCTTTGGGACTACTTTCCTTGCCTCAAGTGTGGCAGCAACTGCACCCGTTTTTGGAAACAACGGATGTGACAGTGCACTTGTGCGAGGCTAATGATGACCTTTGGAATCGCTTCAGTGTCTTACGGCAGATTTTCTCCAGCAGCGCGGGGACCAAGTCCTTGCGGTCGACCTTAATGCCAAGCCTAACCATGAGAAGGCGTTTATTGGTCGACACCGAACAGGAACCAGTCGTAACCTCAAACACGTCTTCATCAATGACCTTGAATCCATCGCGCAGGCTTCCTTCGACACAGGCATTTTCTGGGCTTGCGGCGCGGTTCGATGCCAAATTGATGGCACGGCAATCGGAAACCAAATCAGTCCAGTCTTGAGCAGCTTGCCCGTCTGCATGAAATGGCTTGGTTAGCCTCTTGGACTGCTCAACTTCGTGACTCCAGCATTTTTTTTGTGCCGGTGCGTGGACAATAGGCTGGTTCTTGCTACAGAGGAACAGCTCCACCAGACATGGATGCAGCAGTTCACTGATTTGGGATTCTATGGGAACCAAATTCGGTTGGAAAAGGTAGATGACCATTCTTGGCTTGGATTCACTATTGATGCGGCTTTTCGCTCTATACAGTACAAGGTCCCTACCCAGTGGTGGCAGGTACGCTCGTTTGCTTCCGCTGGTTCTCTCCGATTGCGAGTGGCAGGTTTGTTGTCTCGATGTGCATTAATTCGCAAGTATACCAGACCCAACAGTCAAATTCGTCCTAGTACTGCTGCTCTCCGACAATTGTATATTCAGGCCGGATTTCCAGATGAAGTGCTGCCTTCAGTCAGTAAGCTCAGTAAGCTCTCGAATGCTAGACTCAGTGTCACCTAGTTCTTGCAACTCAGGCCCGGCCCTCCCTCGTCCTCGTGCAGTACAGCGTAGTTTTCGGGTGTGCAACCTACGGCGCCCCTTGCTCGAGACGATGCATTTGAACTTTATGAAGTCCCTTTGTCGCCTCGCAAGGGTGCATGAGCAGGACACTGCCTTGCTTTCGTCCGGATTTTCTACTGGCAGTTCGTTGCCTTAGTCACTAGCAATCCTTCCGAGTATCGTCAATGCACTGCGCGGGTTAACCAATGTTATTTGCATGAAGTGAAGGCAGAAGGTCCAGGATGCCCCTTTTAGATACTTTTCGCGCTGCTTCGAAGCGCACGGCTTCACACTCTCGGAAAAGGAAAATAAGCCAATGCTGCTTTCCGTTTACTGAGTTTCTGCCGGCACGAACCGTGTGTGTGTCATATTGCTGTTGCGCCTTTTTGGTTGTTTGGAGTGCTTGTGACCTTTTCTCCACTACCAGCGTCTGGGCCCAAGCAACACCAAGTAGCTGCCAGCCCTGCGCGCTCGGCATGTCCAAATTATTTTTCCAATTTTTCCCAGACGGTCAGCTCGATCGACTCGGGCAACCGAGCCAGCCAAGCCAGCCAAGCAATCCTGGACCGCTTCAGTCACTCAGTCTCAATGTTTCACCCCGACACCAAAGTCCGGCTTCACAGCTGCCAGCGGCTTTGCCTGAACCCAGCACCCACGTGGGGAAAGAATCCTCGCGGAAGATACGATCCAAGCGATCCGACCGCTCCCCAAGCCGTCAAAGACGGCGACGCCGCTCGCGTTCTAGGACCCCAAAAAGGAGAGACGATCGACGAGCCAGGCCCAGTGTGCCTGCATGAAGCCACCCCCAGGGTGCTTCTTTTGGCATTCGGCTATGATGGCCCCAAGCGTTGGGCCTTGCGCGTGTCCACCCGTGGTGTCTCCACCATGTTCGTCCATGCGAGCCCCTGTTGCAAATATGGCTAGCGGTACTCCGTTTGTACAGACTGCCTGTCCTCCTTTTACGCCGGTCCCAGTCGTGCCTGCACAGCGTGGCAGCGCAGAGGCGTATTCCTGCATGGCACCAACACCCGTGCCAGAGTCTTACTCTCACTCAGCGCTTGGATGTTTTCGGCCAGGGCCACCTCCCAGTTACCCACCTCCGGCTCCAAATTCGCAAGACTGCAGCAGAAGAAGCGCAAAGCAAGTTCGGTCCTAAAGGGCTCTGAAAATGAGACCCGCCCCCTGAATCCTGATCCCCTCCGGGCGAAAAGCTCTGGGCCCCCTCAGCCGGCTACTGTTGTGCTTTTTGATGTCTACCGGCAACTCATGCAGCAAATCGCGCTGCAAGAAGGGATGACAAGTGCTAACCACTCTTTCCCTTCGGGCTCCGTGGTTCAACCAAGTGTCCAGGACATGACCGGGCCTGTACCTACTGCGGGTACTGGCACCCCTGTGCCCCGTAGGATCTTGTCTCCGGGCTCCAATGTCCATCGACACAGTTTGCAGGCGTCCAGCAGGGGTGCTGAGCCTACCCCCGACGAGAGGCTTGATGCTCTACTTCAAACCCAGCCGGCACCTTCACTGGAAATCTTTAATGCGGCCATGCACATGGAATTTTCCGCTCTCACCAATTTGGTTGCGCATGTCGATCCGGTAGGGATTTTTTCCCAGCCTTTGGACGCCATCACAGCTTATCGGTTACTTGTGTTTCAGATTCGATCTTCGGGGCTTCAGCACTGGCTGATTCCCAAGTTTGAAGACCTGCAAACACTGCAGGGTCGAAAAAGCCTTCAAGCCATTCTGATGCAACGGTGGAATTCAGTCCAAGACTCACATATGGCTGATGTTAGGCGCACCCTTCTTTCACTATTTGGCAGTTGGTACTGGACAAGTTGTGTCACAACCTCCGGCATAGATGTCCGGCAAGCTTTCGCAGCCGGGGCCACCGCGTGGGCAAATGTAGAGCACGATTGCCATGTTTGGCTGCTTCCACTTCGAGGTTTCCCAGGCCCACCCAAAGGAATTTCGTCTTGGTGCCACGCAACTGATCTCAAAGGCCTTCTGGGCATGATGTCAGTTGGGAAAGTACTCAGGTCTGCCACGGATCAAGTTGGCCTAGATCCATCCTCAGGCCAGTACTCGTTCAGTTTTTTCGCAAGGTTTGTGACAAGCAACCTTGGTCGGATGACTGGAAACATTGGGTTTCTGGCACTTCCCACTCCACCAAGAACCAGGCTGACATGTTGCTGTTGGGGTTCTTGGAAACGGTCCACCACAAGGCACCAAGTGCCAACACATCCCACGAAAACAACCTGGCTAGGTTGTATCCCTTGGTGCATTCGCCGGCTGCAGACAGGCGTTGGGCCGTCAGAGAGGCAGCCGCACGTCTGGACTGTGTGGCAATTTGCAGCAAGTCCCAGTTCAGTTATGTTATTTCAGCAGAGCTGACTCGCAACCAAGCTTTGGGACCTCCGCGCTCCCAATTCAGAATGATGACAACTGGGGCCGTTGGACCCCCGCCGGCCCGCGCCACCGCCGGCTCCAGAATCGGTGATGCGCCTGTTTTTTGTCTTGCTCTTCTTGTTCGGGCTCGTTCTTTGGTTTGTGTGTCTCTTTGCTTCTTTTATGGGTTGCATTGCTGCGGCGTCCGCACTTGGGCCAAAATCCATTTGAGCAGTCCATAATTCGATGTCATTGCCTTTTGACTCCGACACTTTCAGTGTAGAAAACCATTACGCATGCTGCCGACCACCTTGAGCTCCGAACTTGAGCTCCGAACGCGCGGTGCTGATATGGTCCACGGTAGTTCTGATATGGTTTCTGGCATTGCGTGCGATGTGCCGTGTGCAGTTTTCTTGTCTGCGGGACCTTTGTTTTCCTGTTTTAGGGTTCCCTCTGCGGTGACTCCGATGGTTAGCTTTTCACTAATGATATGGAGCATCTTACGCCGATTGCCATGATGTCATTCAATGACTTGTGTTTAAGCTGGGCAAACATTGTGCCCTGCAACAGGATTTGTTAAATCCGGCCTCGCTTGTGTTTCCTTTTTCGGTCAGGCGACCGATTCCACCGCACAATAAGGTGGTGCACGAGCCACGGAGTGTATTGGATATGGCCCAATGTTTCTCTTGGTTCCCTTTCTTCTTGGTTGCTGGATTCCCTGCGCGTTTGCCCAAATGTTAGCTTTGAAACTAAGGGCCGGATGTTGACCACATGGATACCACCGGCAGTTTTAGCCTTCCGAGCTACAGTCACCAGCGCGCCCGGGTTAATTGGTGTCTCAATTTTGTGCTGTATGGGTTCCCTCTCTTCTTGACGACTTGGATTCCCTGCGGACCTCCGTTCATGCTACTGTTCTTGATTTATGTCACGAGACTAGCCAGAAGAGGCTGCAAGCCAGGTGACGGCCATGCTGAGACATTGCTAGATCTTTTAATGCGGTTGATGTCCTGACCAAAACCAGGATAGCTTATTGTGTTGTCTGCTCTTGTGCGTATGTGTGTGTGTGAGTGTGCGTGTGTGTCCAACCCTGCGGCCCAGAGGCGCAAGCGCCTGCGGGTTTCACCTTACGATTTGCAGTCGCTGGCACGTCCGAAAGCATTGGAATCCTGACCTATTTCTTGCCCAGGTCCCCTCTCTTCTTTTTTGGGGTGTTTTTCCTTTCCTTTTTGTTTTCTCTTTTTCCCCTTTTTTCCTTGGTTGCTGGATTCCCTGTGCGCTTGTCCAAATGTTAAGTTTTTGGCTGCGGGTATATGAAAGCAAGAGCCAGGTGAAGCTGAGAGGCAAATGCCGGCCAGCCCCTTAAACTCCAATTTCGCATCGTGCATGTCCTCCCAGATCAGCCTTTGTGGCGTACTATCTTCCTCCATTCCGGAACAACTTGCTATGTCAGGAGGGGATAGAGCACAAGTGTGGGCAAAACTCTGACATGGTCGTTTACCTCCTAAGTCAAAGGACGAGTGATTCTGAGCAAGTCTCGGAAGTCCTCGTTGCGGGCACGTCTTAAAACACTCTCAACATGCCTTCGGTCTTCCTTTGGATGTTTCTTCGAAAAACCACGTAACCAAGGGTTTTAAATTTGTGTTTTGTTTCCTTCTGGCGGTTGCTCCATTGGCTCTTCCTTTTCCTTTTTTTCTGCGTGGCTTTCCCTTTGGCCTTTCTTTGTGTTTGGTGGTTTTGGTGGTTTTGGTGGTTTTCCTTTTCCCTTTTGGTGGTTTTCCCTTTGGTTTTTCCCCTTTGGTGTTTCCCTTTGGCTTCAACCAACTCAGAAAAGGCGCACACCCACAACCGGCGCCTCCTCCCGCCGCCGGGAGCTTCCGGAGCCGGAGCCAGAGCTCGCGGTGCGCAGGGTCCGGCGCGCCGAAGCCGGCGCCTGCCATGGGACTGCGTGAGGTTCACCGCGCGGGGAAACCTTTTTGTTTTTGGTTTTTCTCGCTTTTTGTTTGTAAGATTTGGCTTTTTCTTTGGGTTTAGGGCTTAGGGCCTTTTCAGGGTTTAGGTGCTTTTTTGCCATTTCTCTTTTCATCATTTTTGTTTTGTTGGGGGGGGGGGGGGAATGGCCTCATCCATTTCGGTTGACCAGCAATCCTCCGAATTCCAGCTCACTCGTAGAGCTCGCAATCATGCCGCTGCCGTGAGGGGCTTGATAGGGGTGCCAGGGAATCCTGTGCTGTTCAACACAAAATCCATTTCCAAACCTAAGAAACCTTGGTTGAACCACTATACGTTTCTTGGTATTTACGGGAGGAATCACATCATTTCAGATCTTCTTACATGGTGCAGGAATTCATCCACACACTCTATCCCCAGACCAAGACTTCACTTAAGGCTTTTGGGCACCAGGGACGGCTAATGTTCCTGCAGTCCCGAAGCCAAAACGGACCACTGGAAATGTCGCCCACCTCATATGCCGGAAATGATGGTACTCGAAATGTCGCACACACGAAAAGCGGAGACTCACAAAAAAAGGCCCACGTCCATTGTCATACCTCACAAACCTGAACTTAAGTCGGGAAACCCAAACAAAACATAGGTGGACAGTTTCATTCAACCTCGCCACCACCCCAGGCTTCATCACGACTTGTTTTCAGGCAATCTCCCATTTTCAAGGGCAGCTTGCATTGAAGAGGCCGAACCAAACTACTTTAAACACACTTCACCCCTTCGAACCCTGGACAGGCAGCCAATGGTGCTTTTATTGCCCCCCTTGTGTAATGGTGCTGGAATCCCACAGAAAGAAAGGGGTTGCAAACAAAAGCTTGCTCAAAAATGGTGAATCCTTGTTGGTTGTGCTTTAAAGCAAAACCAAAAGGAAACACCCTTGCCATTTGTTGGTCCATCGCAGCCTACTTTGAGACATACTCAAGACCCGGCCGAAGCTTCCCGGCCTGTCCGTCGCAGCCTTTGGACCGGAAGTACTTGAGCAAAGACAACAAGACCTGCCCCAACGGGGTCTATGGCTTCGCAAAATGGACCTGGTCACCGGGTCTGTGGGTGGGTAGGACCACTGGAATGATCGGCTTCCTGTTGGTCTCCTCAAAGTACCCTTAAAAGAAGGAAATCTAGCCATGGACCAAGGTCTCATTTCTGTGGCTAGGACCCCTCAAGATGATTGGCTTCTTTTTGACCTCCCTTTAAAGTAAAAATGCCAAGCCAGCGTCGATACTCAATGTCTCCGCCTTTGGATTTGATTTAAACAAAAAATCCCGGTCAGTGTGCTCCATGCTATCCCCTTTTCCGATACATCTAAGCCGAGTTCTGAGCCCTTGCTGGCCCCGGCCCCTACAAAGATGCAACTGCTCCTATTTCGAGTTACCTCTGAACCAGTAGGTTTAGAGCATCCTGTTGGGGTCCTGGGGACCCCAGTTCAATTTATTAGGTTCCATGTGCACATGCGGGATAGGTGTGGCCGAAACAAAAGGGTGTCCTTTGGATTTCCCTTTGGTGACTGGTTCCCCCCTCCCAAAAAAGAAAAAGAAAAACATATATGGGCCGGGTTTGTCTCAGGCTCTGGGAAAACCATCAAAATTTGCGTGCTTTCCTTAAACCCACCCCATGGCCCAGAACGGGTACCCGTACAAAACACAAGGAGCCACTGAGCCGTTGCTCCAATCCAACCCCGCAAAAGCCTCCACAGTGTCGGAGACGCGGCGCTCCATGGCCTGCGGAAAGCAACACATTTGTGTGACCTTGGGGCCCCTTTGAACTCGGTTGCTTTCTGCTCCCCTTTCAGTATGAGAAGCTTGATCCATATGTTTAAATCCAGATTGGATCAAGCTTAAATCCAATGGATTTGAAAAAACCTGACTTTAAGTTTAACTTTTAGTGGTGTAATGGAAAACCCAGTCGGCAAAAAGTTGAAGTCCTAACATCCAAGCAACATGCACCAAAGTGTTGTTTTGTTGCTCGAAATGGCGGACCACCCTTTGGGCGGTATTTACCCCCCCAACTACCAGAAGGCACCTGTGGGGTTGCACCTTTTGGTTCAGTTGCCAAAGGGAAACAGAAAGGAAACTCACCATTTGGGGGGGTCCAAGGGTTGTCTCCCCTCTTTGGGAGATGTGGGGATATGGGTTGTCAAGAGATGGCTGCCGCACAACTCCCCAAGCAATTGCCTGCGCGGACTGCCGAACCAGGTCCATGCGCGCGTCCGCGATCTCCATGGCACGGTTCACCTGCATGGGTTGGTTTCTGAACAGCCCCCTCCCCCCCACCACCCTCCTGCAGAGCAAACAATCCGCGCGGCTTGCTGTATCCTGAAAAACCGCACAGCCCCAACAAAAGCACATGTCGGTGGATGAAGACTTTGCACTGCCTTCAGTGGACACATGGAGGACAACAAAAAACGACCCCTTCCCGCTGTAAAAGAGCAAACTGGGGCCCTGATATATATATATATATATATATATTGTTTACAGTGAGGACTAGAATGGAGGTTACATGGTGAACAGAGAGACCGAAGGGAGCGGGTAGATGGATTCTGAATCAGGTGTCATTCCTCTCTCCACCACCTGTCAGCTCTTGGAATCGCATGCCAGGTAATCCTTGAATAGACTTAATTAGAAGCAGTTTATCTTAGAATTTGGAATCATTTGTAACCGCTGGAAAGAACTGGCCAGCGGATGGTCTTCCTTCTCCCTTCCACACACCTCCGCATCTGGGATAGACGGAGGAGGTGTGAGAGGGAAGGGAAGGAGGAAATGGTGGACATCTTTTTACCCACCATTTCATTCCCTTCCTCACCAGCCATTTCTCTCTTCTTGGCTGGTCACCGTCTCATCTAGAAATCTCAGTCCTCGAACATCACCCCGCCACAGGGCTACCCAGACATGGCCCCAAAAAGGAGTGGGAGGTCCGGGCCGAAGCCACCGATCCCGCGACTTGATTGCGACGAAGCGCCTCGCCCTGCACCAATTGCGCCATGGAGGTCTCTGCCTTGCGGCGACAAAGGAGCCAACCACCAGGAACGTTTTTGGGAGAACGAGCCACTTGCGCTGCATCTAACCTGAAGCCTGACTGGGAGGGGTCTGGTTTAGACATGTGCTTTTTTGGAAGGACCTTCCTGGGTTGAACATCAGGTGGGGCAAGATGCAATGGCGAAAGAATATGCGAGCTTCAGCCTAACATCGGGTATGTGGTCAAACTGCTATGATTCAAAACGGAGATGGCCACGTAAGCATGAGCTCGCTTTTCTCCTGGGTGAGCTTTTCATCAATTGGCCGGACCGGACCACTCAAGAGCAGACTTGCCACGCACCCTGCAAAAGAACCAAATTGCAGCCGTGAGGGCAACCAAAGGCAACCTCTCAACAACAAAAACGCGAAGGCCTGGTCATCTTTGAAAAGCTTGCAGCAATCCTGAATCACCTGGACATTTCCGGCAAATTTGCCAATCTCACACACACACACACAAACACACACACACACAAACACACACAAACACACACAAACACACACAAACAAACACACCACACACACACACACCACACACACACACACACACCACACACACACACACCACACACACACACCACACACACACCACACACACACCACACACACACACACACCACACACACACCACACACACACACACCACACACACACACACACCACACACACACACCACACACACACACACACACACACACACCACACACACACCACACACACCACACACACCACACACACACACACACACACACACACACCACACACACACACCACACACACACACACACACACACACACACACACCACACACACACACACACACACACACACACACACACACACACACACACACACACACACACACACACACACACACACACCACACACACCACACACACCACACACACCACACACACACACCACACACACCACACACACCACACACACCACACACACCACACACACCACACACACCACACACACCACACACACCACACACAACACACACACACACCACACACACACACACACCACACACACCACACACACCACACACACCACACACACCACACACACCACACACACCACACACACACACACACACACACTACACGCAGGTGACAGCTCCAGGAAATCAGTCGCACATCCACCAAGAACAGCGGAGAAATCCGGGAAATTCGCCTCAATCACCCTGCTTCTGGTGGGTATACCCATAGTGGGGCGAAAATCCTACTGACCATTCGGCTATAAGAGACTTCTCCACAAAACTTTGAGGGTCCACCCTCTGGTTCCTCCAGGTGTGTTGGCCTGAACTTTTCGACGGAGACGAGTCTTGTGAAAAGCATTTGGCTTCCTGAAAATAGGAATCGATTCGAGAAGCCAAATCCCATCTCAGCCCCGCAGAACGACTCGCCTCCATCTCCAGCTTGTGGATCTCAGCCAAAGACCTGGCGAAGTCTGAAGCGGGGATGGACGAAATCCATTTCGCACCATGTTCAAACCAGGGGAAGCCATTGTTTGCTGGTATTTACTACAGGCGAATCACAATTTCAGCGTCTCAGGTGGTGCAGAATTTTGTCCATCCACGGTATCCATGACAATTCATCACATTTCTCAGCCCAAACAAAGCTCAAAGCGGTTGATTTAACACTAACAGTCACTAACATGGGCAGACCCCCCAAAAGCGTGACAGTCCAGAAACATAAAAGTGATCAAACGCACATATCCGAAAAGTCTGGGATTCCCTAAAGGATACACCTAAACACCACCTGCTTTTGCAAGGAGCCCCTCTAAATCAGCTGGTACAGGTGATTTTGAGATTTTGAGGTATCGTTCAAGGGATCCTACAGGGAATGGACGCTTTAACCAATTGCCGTGTTGGAGCAATCCCAATGCCCTCTGTGCTCACCTGTTCAAGGCTCGGAGTAACAATGCCAAGGGATACCCTTGTTTCGAACTGTCCAAACGGAGGGAAGCCAACTATTGTTGGGAGGTAAACCTATATTTCCAATTTTTGAGTGGATCAATCATCAGCTTGTGGAGAGGCCACGTTCCAATGATCTTCCTCTAGGTGGGTGTCCAACGAAGACATATAAGGAGCTCACAAAAACACGGTCAAGCTGGAAGGGTCCATGGCCTATGAAGCCCTCAAGGCCTTATTGAGGAAAGGGGCTTGATCACCACATAGACCTCCTATGGCCTCTTTCTGTGAACACGTATGGGATTTTCCGTTCCCTTCGCCATGAATCGCATTTCTGGGAGTCCCCCTAAGCAAGGGGCTCTGAAACAAAGGCTTTGATGCTTGCCGGAAACTTCCTGGGGTTTTGCTTCACAGCCGGCTCGCATGCGATGGATATTCATGGCCCATGCCTGGACACGAGTTTCAGCTGCCATGGCGCTCTGCATCAGCTTTTATGTTTGACCCACATTTGAAAATTGCTGGCTTCAATCCCATTGGAAACCAACCCAAACCGTTCAACACGGATATCCGAATCAGACGAACCAAGCCCCGATGCCTGCCGATACCGTTCTGCACCGACTTCAAGATCGCCTCCGAGATGGCCTGAGCGGGACCCCGGGACCTGAACCTCCCAGGCCTCTCCAAATTGGAACCAGGTCTTGTCAAAGTCCGTTCGGGAGCTTCCATGTTGGTCGGGAGGGTATGGATTCTGAGGACCCCCTCCCAAATGCTTGGTGGATGTCTTGGTGGATGTCCCCAGATGAAAAAACTGTATGGCACTTTATGGAGAAAACCGACCTCGGAATTGGGTGGCACAGCAGCCATATACCTTGGTAAGCCTCCGCAATCCATCTCTTCCAATTTGATAAACAGGACAAAGAAAGCGTGGGCCGCGGTCATCATTCCCTTCACTTGGCCCCCAAGAGTACACCAAACACCAAACATCTTTGAGGAGACCCCCAGTACAACTGGGAATCAATGTCTCAATTCTCTGCAAGGAAGTTGATGACCGTCCTTGCTCAACGAGTTTTGATCTGCATCTTGGCACATGTGGGGACCCTCATTCTTGAAATAGGCCCAACTTGCGCAACAAAGTTTTCGCCAAATGGTTTCAGCCCTCATTACCATTCCGTCACCAACAAGATGTTCCAGGGGTATAAGCCTAGTACACCTCAGTCAGCAAGTTTATATAATGTTGACCCCACAATCAGGATGAACCAACCCCAGTTTATTCGTCCCTGAGCTTAGTGGAGAATCGAACCACTTTTGGAAGGGCCAACAACCACCCCCCTACCTATAGACTGGTTGCTTGATGAATATGGGGTCCTCATTACACTGGACTCCGACACCTGCCATCGAAGGCCAAGCGGAAACACGCGACAACCGAGTCCAAATGGACCAAGGAAGCCAACCGGAAGACCACTTCAGGAAACCAAAAGGACCTGAAAAAAGGAAGCCATGTCCCGAAGCCATTTAAGGAAGCCATAGGAAACTTCAAGCCATCCACACCCCGGTAATTACGCGGCCTGCTGCGCGGCGGAGTAGCTCTCCAACTGCTGCAGCCGCTCTTTGGCGCGCTCCTGCAGCCTAGTCTCAGGTGGATGCCAGTTTTTTTTTGCAAGCACGAGTGACAAGCACTGGGAACAAGGAACCCTGAGAAAAAGAAGAAAAACAATCATCGAACGTGTGTTAGCATGGGTTGTTTGTGTGTGTGATTGGATGCGGTTGGTTGACTCTTCCAACTTCCAACTTCTGCCAACACATGTGCCATGGTCAAAATATGGTATTAAACTGGTCTACCCAAACCCAGATTGGTGTTGTCTCCAATGAGTGGTTTCTCTTTGATTTTCCTTAAAACCAGCCCCAAAAGGGGTATCTTCTTCTACGGTTCATGCCCAAAGTACCGCAAGGGACCAACGGAAACTCTCCAACGTTCCGTGTTTCACCTTGGTTGTGTGGTTAGATGCGGTTGGTTTATTTGCTCGGGCATCCCCCAAACCATTTGCTCCCCACGATCAATCAACCTGGCAAACCACCGCTGCATAGCCATTGTTCAAGAGTGTATACCCCCTGTTGAACGGTACAAAGCCGCCCGGCAAAGCTCCCAGGCTGCAAATGAAAAGCAAAGTCATCCACCACCTCCGGCAGGCAGGGGAACATTCCGTCAGTCTTCATGTTCCGGTTGGCGGGGCCAGAAGCCAAAGTCTACGGCCGATTTGCGAAGGTGGAGATGCTTTTTTTGGGGGGCAGGGAGTGGGGATCCTGGTCAACATGTCCATGAGGTGAATTTGGCCACTTCAACCACAAAGACCGAAGTACACAATTTGTCCTCACCTAGACCCTCCGATGGCTCCCATGAAGACCCTTCAGCAGTTCCTGCTCATTTGGGTCAGAATATTGCGATCCCGAAAATGGGCGTGCGGAAGGGTTCGTGGCCTGGTGTTGTGGGATTTCGTAGGTTTTCCTCAACAAAGGCTCAACAGGTTCAGGCACCCCCTGACCATAGTGAAAGGAACTTTCAAGACCCAACCTCAGTTGATCCACTGCTCCCGTTGTCCCGTCCCCCACCGGTGCCCGATGGGCCTTTGCCAGGTGGCCTGGGTCTTGTACTGCAACAGCTCTGCCACTTCAGCTTGCAAGGCCTGGCGAATCGAGGAGCGAGACCGGATCACGGGGCAAAAGACTGCCCTGATTTTCTGTGAGTTGATGTCAAAGAGAAACCATTGTCAAGAAAAAACGTAGGAGAAAAATCGTAGGGGGAAGAAAACCACACATTTTTGTTGTTGCTTGATTTGAAAGAGAACCCCTCGGATATGAAAGAGAACCCCCACGCCGCAAAGCCAAAAACAACAAAACAAAGCGCGCCTCGCCAATGCGGCCGATGCGATCCGCCTCCTGCGCCGACTTGGTGCCCGTGGCGCAGGAGGACTGGCAGGCGAGCGGGCGGGCGGATCCGCTCGAGCCGAAGGCTGCCTGACTTTGGGGGGAAGACGAGTCGGTCGGAACCATGTGGCGAGGTGGGCGTTGATTTGTTTTGGGTTTCCGAGGGTTTTGTTTGGAAACTCAGTGAGTCTCTGAGTCCATGTTCATGTCCCTCCCGAATGAAACATAGACTACCAGCAATTAGCTTCAGTAGCTTCAGTAGCTTTATTAGCTTCAGTAGCTTCCTTTCCCGACCGCCCCAATGCAAGAGACCAAGGGGAGGGGTGCCAGTGGATTTGGGCTCCCAAGGAACAACTCATATAAGGGAGCCATCGTAGCCCAGCAACTTTTTGTTCTATAGGGCCCACGGACCATGGGCCATGACCTTTCCTTGGCCCTTGGGAATCAGTGGAATGCGGCCCAGAAGGCGTACCTTGGCAGTTCCGGCGGGGCCCATAAAAGGACATTGCCGGTTGGGAATTTCCATACCAAACAAATCTGCGTAATCAGCCAGGCGGAACCCACTTGATTCTTTGCTGGGGCGGAATCAAGAGATACACCCCGTCCCGCACTGCCATGGGTCACACGGGAAAATGGGTTGGTTGCTGCAAATGGCTTGGAAACCCCTCCCTTCCCTACGAGCGTAATGACTCAATTCTTGCAGATCGGTTTGCCACTTTCCGGGGGTTCCTTGCTAGGTAGGTGGTTCAACAAGGACAACCCAAGGGGGTTGGGCTGACCCCTGATATACCACTTGTACACCCTCCATTTATATTTTTTATATGCCTGTATGTACCTGCTCACACTATGAAATCCTACCATCCTCAAGTAAAGGATAGTGCAGGGCACATTTGGCTACGTGTCCAAGGGGACAAACAAAAAGTCCTGTCGGTTAAAAGAATCCAAACAATCCGTACCCACCAAAACACACCCACCACCCTTGCAATGGGAAACCTAGAAATGCCATGGATGGTTTGAGGGTGGCAGTCCGAAATTCCCATTGCTTCAAGAATCCTGTTCGAACCACCCACCCCTCAAACCGTCCACCCACCCCATGTTGGGACTTCCAATTTCAAGGGTGGTGGTTAGTGGTGTGTGTGTGTGTGCGGAGTGGCAGAAAACCCTGCCACCAAAACCTTTTTCTGTTGTAGCAGGGGGTGCCAGGGGCAGAGCAAGGCTGGCACCAACGAAGACCTTTGCTCTTGCCTGTGATATCAATCTCGGACGCGAGATTGACGTACCTGTACCAGTGATTCAAAGTCCTTTTGGCCCGTTGTTTCTCTCGTGTGTGCTTCATGTTGATCCTTGTAACGCTTTCGTCACTAGAGGGAAGCCGAGTGCATCGCGAGCCGAAACTTATCTTACTCGAGACTTATCAGTTGTACTCGAGACTCATCAGTTGTACTCGAAAGATTAGCACTCTCCATCTGGAGTTCAAGTGTGTACACCCCATTCGTGGGGAATCCTCGGGTGTACCCATTGTGTGACCCCGGGCCGGCTCTGTCGGAAAATTTGACCTCAACGTGCCTATCATAGAACAGCGGAATTTCACATTTAACCAGGAACGAGGTTTCACTAAAGGGAAGACAGCGATCAGACCATAGTGACGTCTCACCACAGCTGCTGGCTGCCGACTTTCATTGCATTTGCTTACCATTGGTTGAACTTGCTGCTCGTATCATAGCGGTTGAAGATTGCTGACTTGTATTTGCTTTGCCTTGTACATGTCGACTTACCCTTTGTCGGATCCATTTCATCGACCATCGCACCTGGGGGCAGTTCACTTGCATTTGTATTGATTTGAATGTTGTCGGATCCGTTTCTCTCAAGGTGGAAGTGTGAAGATTCAGAGTCGGTTGCGTCACCATGTCTCGACGTGATGATCGTGATAGATCCAGGACTCGGCGCAGACGTGATCGGAGTCCGTCCCCTCAAGCTCGCAAAGCACGCCGACGTGAACACAATGACAGCCAGGTCTCGGAGAACATGGATTGGAACAACTTGGTTTCATGGCAACACAACTCCGGCTACAACGCTGCCAACAACTTTCCGATGATACCTACCAACTTTCAATCGACTCACAATCCCACACAACAATTCCAACACCCAGCGATCAACTACATGATGCCGATCCCTCCAGACCCCACGCCAACCAAGTTCATGCCACCCGTGATGCCACCACCGGTTACTACTTCCCAACCTACACCGTCACCTGGACCTCCTGCGGCTCTACCGGTTCGACCTCAGAAAGCCTGGCTTACTCCCTCGCCTGACTGGACACCTGGAGATGGCATGTTTGATGTCAATCAGCTCTACAACTTCAGCCTGCCCATGACTGTTGCCAACACTCCGCATGGCAACCTTCGCGACATGTCAGGCATGGATATTAGGGACGTACGCCTGGTTCAGGTTATCCACGGGGGCCTCACCAACTGGCTACTCAGGCCGTTTGCACACGGCAGATTCGTGACGTGGGAAGGCTTTCGCACCCGCACCGAGGCCTTACTTTGGAGTACCTGTTCCAAACTACTACGAAGATCACAGTCACTCAACCTGCTCACCCTGGAAAAGGACCTTGCCAACACGCTGGGTCTCAACATCGATGACTTCAATCAGCGCATCAAGGTCCACGACCATTTGGCCAGCTTGGTACTTCAATTTCTTCAACAACATCACACCTCTCTCGCACCTGCCACCCAGACAGATGACATGGTCAAAAAGTTCAATGATCTAAATCGTGCGCACGAACTTCTTCAAGCTCAGTATTCCGCGTCGCTTCGCGCATCGACCTCTCCCACGATGACAAACCAGAAGGATGATGCAGAGTTGGTTACACCGCCACCGGTCAACCACACACCATCCTCGTCACCTGCCAGCTCCCTTCCTACAGCCAGCGCAGCCGCCCTGGATGGCAAGTCGTTTGATAGCGTGGTGCAACCTCGGATCATTCAGTCTCTTCACGGAGTGTCGTCACCGCCGTCCAAACCGGCGGCGTCACAATTGCTCACCATGCACAGCACGCCGGATGAAGTTGTCAAGTACTACACATGGACCAGTGACCAACCTCGCCTTTATCTCAAGCAATCACCCACAACCACCACTTTGGCATCGCTGGTTAAGTGGGCCAATCACCCGTCCCGGCTCAACGGCAACAAGTCATTAGATTCTATGGCGACGCAGCTCCTTCAGGCGCGGCAACGCATGCCGAAAGGCGACGCACCCACTCTCGGGGCGATGGCGGCTTCGTGGGGACTAGAGCCCGGCTATCTTACCAAACTCACTGAGAAGGCATTGAGTCACCTCATCGTGACCGCTCGCCTACTCTGTGGATGAGAAGGCATCATGATGACCTTCGTTCTCTTATGAGCCCGGAGCGGCAACAATGTCACGGATGAGTCCAGGTGAAAGCTCGTCCGTCAAGTGTCTGCGTTGCACCAGATTGATCTTGTACTTGCTCGTTCTTGCATTGCCTCTTGTGTGATTGTCTGTGATGCTTGTATTCATGTCGCCGCCTTGTGGTAGATTTCATTGGTTGTATCTCACCATGTTGGATGAACTTCGCCGCTGCGGAATCTATGATGATGTTGCACAATGGCAGTCGCTGGACGACCTTCTACGCTCGTTGACCATGTTCTCTACGTGCTGGCAGTACTGTTTTCCTGGACTACCACCACCGTCGATTCCAACTGAGGAGTACGAATCCATCACACAATTGCCGTGGCTGGGTCTCATCCTCGAAGTCTTAGTTGTGATCCGGATAGCCCTTCAGATTCCGAATCACGCTATGTCACACTCTCAGCACACCGTGGCCAACAGGTATGAGCTTCACAGATGTCGGTGCGCTGCCTATTTATTGATTAGTTTCTTACAACGTCTCATTTCACAAGATCACGGCTACTTCCCGCCGTTCTTTGAAGTCCTTCACTTCTACAAGACTTCTCTCTTGTGTGAAATCATGCACTCTACTTTTGCTGACACGCGACATCTACGCTCATTGCGGGCGCGATTTCCTGACCTCTATGACTTCATACACGATCCAGGTCATCATCAACAACCGTGCGTCTACATTCGACTTTCCCCATGGCACACACCATACTATGTTGGGGCGACTGATCAGGATGTTCTACGTCGTGAACACTCACGTAGTCGCAAATTTCTACAACTACTTCGTGGACGGCATGCCTTCTTTGAACCAGCGCTTCACTACTGGAAGAGATCCAATACTTACTGGCTCTTCTGTGCTGTTCCAGTGGAAATCAAACTTCCTGTTTCCTCGGTGTGGATTCAAGAAAGCAAATGGCAATACCTGCTACGCCCGCATTTGAATGCGCCCTGGGTACACAGAATCTTGCGCAAGGTGGGCTTCCGGGAACATCTTGTGGATTTTCGACGTCACTCGTTGTCGTCTCCCACTTCACTCGGCTTGCACAAGCGCTTTCGACGACGACTACATCCGGATCTCCAACGGCAACTACGGCCTGACATCCTGGATGACATTCAAGCCCATTACTCGATTCTCTATCAGCTGGGATCGAATACAGGAGCGTCGTTCCAAGTCATGCGTGACCTACTGTCGGCGGCTTTCCCTCCCACTCAGCTGTACTACTTATTGCGGCTCGCAGTCTTTGTCAACGAGCCCTTCCGCTCCAAGGCGCAGAAACTCCTCGCCCAGGTGCTGCGCAAACGACGGCTACAACCACCCACCACTTTGACACAGCTACTCTTACCGCCGCTACATGTCCGGAATTGGAAAGCTCTACTTGGCACATGGCTACAAAGCTGGATTGCTTCTCATCGGGATCTGTTCCCTTCTCTTTTCATTCCGAAGATCCGGGTGGTGGAAACTCGCAGCGCCACATTGGGCGACAAGATATACAACTACCGCACATGGCAGCGCAGATGGACTCCTGAAACATCCTTTCCGTGTCGCTGTTTGGACATCGATGATCACCATTTACACCGTGCACATGGTCACGCTGTAATGGTGGATGAGTTTTCTCGCATCA